TCGGAAAGTGTTTCGCTCGGCTGTTATTCGCTTGTTTTGTTTTACATTCCAACAAAAGGTTGGGCCATCATACAATTATTTTCATCTGCTTTATACGGAGTTATTTACGACGCCAGATTTTCTTTCATGGATTTTGATTAACTGCAAGTATAGAAAATGTCGACTAAATTCTGAATGGTATCACCGCAAATGAATTACCGTCTTTGAAATATTTCACTCAGATATTTCCTCCCTTCTGCCATGCCCACGACGTTGGATATTCACGTTTTGGTTGTTTTTGTTGCGTCGCTGCGTTGTCCATTAATTTTAATTAAAACAACCTGCTGCTGTGGCATTCGCGATACATAACTTACATACGTAACATTAATTAATAAATCAGGCATGTTTTAATTTATTGTATTTCGTGTTGTATTTCGTTTTTTTTTTGTGCTGGTGCTGCTGGTGTAACACGGTTAATTTATGCGCGAATGTGGTGGTTACCAAAAGTGTATTCTAGTGTATTTATAGGCACAGGTCTAAGTCGGCGCCGTGCCGATATTTCATATTTTTAATGCATAAAATCATAATTCATACTTCATCGCGAATGTTCACGCGAAACACGACATTCGCGGGTAATTAACAAGCGCCAATTGGAATTCTTTGATGTTCTGCTGTGGTTATTAATATTAACGCAGTCATTCGCGAAATTTTAAATGGATTGCGATGATTTATCTTTTCGCAGAAAATTGGATTCAGGATTAACTAAATATTTGAATAAAAATATGTTTTAATTATCGTTCTTCTAAGATTTAGGTATTTCTTTATTTTTTAACTCGATTTTTAGACTTTTTTATGTTTAATTTTTAGTTTTTCTTAATTTTTCATTATTTTTTTTAATTTTAATGCAAAATGAGATTTTAACTTCGAAATTTCAAATATTTATGCATAATGCAAAACGGTGATATAAATTTATTATTAAAAATTATTTTTTTGAATTTTTATGCAAATATTTATGAGATCACTCAATATTCTCTAAGCTGGCCACACATAACCTCATTAAACCTAACCTAACTTAATAAAAAATACAATTTTTCAGTAAATTTTCAAAATAAAATTCTAGTTTTGACAAAAAAAGGAAAATTTAAAATTTTTTGTATAATTTCTTTAGAATTTTTGTTTTTAAGTAAATTTTTAACAACATTTTATTAAAATTTTGATTATTTATGCATAATTTACACCTGATACCAATTTTTTCTCTTTCTTTATGATATCACAAATAATTTTTGCTTCTTTCACCTCGCGTATCTCCATCCGCATTAACACCGTTTTGTTGTTAGCTGCAACATTGTCGCCGCGCGGAACCAGAACAGAAAAACGATTAGATATGTCCACTGCATGCAGTAATGCGATGCGGTATCTTGCCTCTCGCGCTGTATTTGCATGTCGCGATTAGACTCGCTTCTCTTGCGCTCCGAGATGCTGTCCGAACAGTTCGATGTCGATGGCGATCGATCGATCGCTCTCTGCGCGCTCGCGCTATTGGGTTACTAGAAATCTAGAACTGGAACGCAGCCGGCCACGAGAGCCGCACATCTCTTTCGCTGGTGATTTTATTGCTTTTTACACCTATTAACTGATACGAACAAAAAATCGGACGTACACGCGAGAGCGCATTCGCTGTCTATTTATTTACGAGCGGATGGCGAAAATGCGCAAAGCGGCGAGGAAGTTGGCGATTTCGAACGTGTAACAGGCAAATGGGCACAGGCACAAAAACGAGGAAACGTAATAACTACCTCGAAACTGTGTGCAATGGTATGCACGAAAGAAATAGTTAACTTACACGTCAATTTGCTACTTTTTCATTGCTTTTTGCTAACTTTCCATGAAGGTTTTCCTGTTTTCTTGTGCGTTAGACCTGAATAATGGTTATTTACGGATCATGACATTGAAATTGCATTTTTTATTACTTTTCTGAAGATAACTTAAGATTAAACTTAATATTTGCTTCTAAAATGATCTAAAAAGAAAGGCGAAGATAAAATCGTATTTATCTGTACATAATTACATTTTTTACATCAATACTTTAATAGCGAGAGAGAAAATACTGATTTTCTGCCAATATTTATTTTTATTTTTTACGCACATTGCAGTAATTGATTGTTTGTTGATATTTACACATTTGTATGTGTTCCAGACATGTTGTATAATGAAAAACACGTGTTTCGAAAGTAAATTTCAATTTTCACACTGGCGCGCCTCTTGTGCGCGCACTGACACACAATGTTGTGCCGCTGCGTCGTAAAAAGTCGCATTGAATGTGCGCCGCACGTAAATCATTTTCATTTCAGCGCGAAAACAAACGCTGGACGTGCCAAAAATTTCGCATTCCGCCAGCATGTACCATATACTCGTAGTTAGCAATAGTGGCGTGGCATTAGCGCGCAAATCGCTTTTCTTTTCAGGGCGCACAACGCGTTCCCTTTTTGAATACGCTCCAAAAGTGCATTCGTAAATAAACATTGCGAAACGTTGTTGTTTGTAAATGAGACGTTTGCAAATTCGCCAGCTAATGACTCTGCCTCGGCGTTTTAAGCGCGCGCGCGCCACGCACGATAATAAATATGACAAAAAATTGACGGCGGTTAAAAATACACGCCTACGCGAAAAATTGCAGAAATTGTACGGCAATATAACGAGGCGTTAAATGTTATCATGGAAGAGTATTTAGCCTTTTGTTGAAATCATTAATTAAATTTTTAAATGTTTTTTTTGCATTTTTGCATATTTTAGACATTAATCTATAGAAAAATTTGTTTCAAGTCGCAAAAGGAACAAAAAACGTTTTTATTTATTGATTTTGACCAAAAAATATCAATTTATTACCTAAACTATGAAGTAAAAGGGAAAAAAACCATATTTTTCTCATCTTTTCCACACTGAAGACACATAACCTCATAAAACCTAACCTAACTTTTAAAAAAACTTATTATTTGCCTAAATTTACCTATAAACTTGACTTATTTTTTGCAAAAAATGTTTCTGAAACACCTGGTAGTAAGTAAATTAATTTATGTCACAAAACAAACAAAAAAAGTTTTACTTTTTTGAAAACAATGAAATACCAGTAAAAATCAATTTTTTTCAATTTTCACGATTATTCTCTACACTAACGACACATAACCTCACAAAACCTAACCTAACTTAACCAAAAACTTACTTTTTTCATGGATTTACACCCAAATTTGTCATTTTCTGTACACAAAATGTTTCTGTAACACTTTGTAGTAAGAATTGCATCGAATTACAAAGGTAGCTGAAAGTGCTCACTTTCGAGCCGCGCAAGTATAGAGTGAGTAGTAGAAATATGCATTTTCGTTTTTTTCATCATGCTCGTAAATATTCAGCGCGTGGGTTACATCCATACCGATCGACTTGTTTGTGTATGGGCAGCATGCGCTGGCTCACTCTTCAGCACACTGATTCGTTCCTCAGACGTCGCTTTAGGTATACGCACCGTGGGCGTATATATTTTCCGCGTATTTTTTCCGCTTTGCAGTTGCAACTTGCAAACACAACCGCAGCGGTTTGTTGTTGTTGTTGCTGCTTTACCAATGCACAACAACATCGCTGGACTCTTGGAAAACTCCGTGCGCGTGCGCGCAGACTCATTAATAATCACAATTAACAATAACTGTTTAGCAATCGGTTAATACGCGCCGTGTCGTGCTTCATTGTCGTCGCAATCGCAATTACAAATTGCTGATGTTGATGTCAGTATCGAAGGAAGTCGATGGCAACAATCGCGTTATGCAGATTTAATGAAACGTGCATGAATTGAGCTGATCGTGTAATTATTGCGCTGACGCAAGCGCGAGAGGCAATTTGTGAAGAATCGGCGAACAATGTGTGCGCAATGATTTCTTACTAGAGGATTACTATGATAATGTCATAACTAACTTTCATAATAATAATCTATTACCTATAAGCTATTATAGGGTATTTTTTAATACATTAAAAGTCATAAAAGGTAAAATACCGAATTAATTTTTCAAGAAAAAAATTATATTTACAAATATTTACAACATATTTGTTGATATTCTAATTTTATTTTTGATATTTTGTCTAAAATATCATTTTACTTCAAAATTTTAGTTGTTTTGGAGTTTTTTTTTCGTTTTAGACTTTAATATGTTTACAATTTGATGTTTTTTTTTCTGTTTCACTGCCTTTTACTGCAGGGTTTCCTGTTTTCTTGTGTGTTAGACCTGAATAATAGTTATTTACAGATCTAAAGATTGTAATTGCATTTTTTATTACTTTTCTTAATATAACTTAAGATTAATCTTAATATTTTCTTCTAAAATGCTTAAAAAATAAAACTAAAACTGACATTTTAGAAATTAATCAAATTGAAAGCGATAAAAACTTTTTTTGTGTAATTTTCCGGTCAAATAAAATATTTTTGCTATTTTTGCTCAAAAATACTTAATACCTTTGAAATTGTGTTCTGTTAATTACAATATTTATTTTCTTTGCTTTTTTTGTGAAAAAAATATTAATTTTTCGCAATTTACCAAAGCTTTCTAACATTTTCTTTCAAAAAACATTTATTTTGCAACCATAAAAGTATTTTATTGATATCTTTGCGTCTTTCTGCAAAAAACAATTTTTTTGATTAATATCGTGATTTTTATAAAAATACACATGAAATTTGTATTCCGTGTCCCATGAATATCTCCTAAGCCCGATATTTGTGTGACAGGATGAGACTGGAATTAATAGAAAACCATATGTCAGAATACCTCTTCATTTATTCGCTTATTATGCCAGAGGAGTCAACCACTCCGCGGCTTATGCCGTATATGTTCACGCATGTTTTATTGATGAAGTAATTTCGCAATTTTTCCTGCATCCACACGACGTATTGCGCACTGCGCACTTGCATGCATCATGCACGTATTTACATTGCGTCTTATTCTTATGCGTCTTACGTTTTTTTTTCTATTTTCTGCTTGCAGCGATGGCAGAGGCGCTGGTTCGTGCTGTACGACGACGGGGAGCTCAATTATTCCGTCGACGAACACGTAAGTATCGTTGACACATTAAATTAAACGTTTGCCATTTGTTACTATTTGCAAATACACTATACACACACAGAGAGAATAAAAGAAAAAAGAAAAGAAAAATTTTCTCGATCGTAATTAGTTCTCACGATTGCGTGAAATTTTTACGCGCGTCTAATTAATGCCCCTGGACGACTTCCAGCTGAGCGTAAATCTCTTCCTCAAGTCGAAATCCAACCAATTTGTATTTGTTTATGTTAATTAAACGTACATGCGATCAAACATCTTTATAAATATTATCAGAGTGGCTCGAATTAGAATTAGCAGCGCGCGGCGGTCGGGCGTGGAGTGGAATTATGATGAAGGAAGTGAAACACGCCGAATGCGTTTTGTCGGACGCTATAAATAATTTAAGTGCCACGACATCGCCGCAGCGCGGCAAACTGCAACCATAATATTTCTTCGTTAGTCGGTGTGCGCCGCACCACATGCGATGTGCACACTCGCATGTTTTCCTTTTAGCTCTTTGCTGACCGGCTTCGAACGGACATCGAGGCGGCTCTATTTAGAGACGAGCGCGCTTTCCACGCTCGAAACAAATTTATAAAATTATATTCGCGAGTGTGCACAGCACACATTAGACGTTACTGTTAACTTAATTTGTTGCCGATCGAAAACAAACTAATTACGCTCTGTGTACACATGAGCGTAAAATACAAATCGCTAATAGCAGAGTGTGGAGCATGAAATAAATGACCACGAGTTGCTATTATGCCAATATCTACCGGTTGAGTATTAGTATCGGTTTTAATGAAGAAATTGTTGCGCGGTTTTTTTTTTCTTTTGCGAGATTTGCATTTTGAAAGTCAGTCGAAATTATGCTTTCTCTGTATAGATAAAATCATTAATTCTTGAGTCACAGCTCATAAAACGCAATCATCATTATTGCATGATTAGAACCCTGCGCCGGCGCAGTAACGCTGCGCGCGTAAAACTCGACCGCGCGCCGGTGTCAACAACCCTAAGCTTTCCACGCACACACTGGGCGTACGCCAATATATCCATGTCTGACTACTGCCAACATGACTTACCTTAAGTCTACTTAACTATTTTTCACTTTTTTAATTTTTTTGTTTTTACAGCCTGATACAGTCCCTCAGGGTTCTGTTGACATGTCACAAGTATTAGAAGTGACTGGAGCTGAACAAGTCACCGGACATCCCCATTCGTTGGCACTGACTGGTCCCGATAGGGTGACTTTCGTGAAAGCTGCGAGTAGGGAAGATGCGCGTTGGTGGGCTGAGCTTTTGGCGGTGTTTCCAAGGCGGCATAAACGCAACGCGACTTTTCCCGGCGGGCGAGCATCACCCTCGCTGCCGCAATTGGGGAGAAGTGCGTCGCCGCAGCCACCACGACCGCGCCATCTCAGTTGCACAGGGCCTAGCCCTCGGGCGAATTTCACAACTCCGCCTGTACAAGAGGAACGCGAACGGGAGTCCCCAGCGAAGGACGATACGATCAATACGAATTCGAGCTCGACGCTGAAGCAATACGACAGTATAAATAATCTGAACGCGATTGGTGGGGCTTCTACCCTTTCGGGGGCGAATCGGAACAGTTTGGTTACTGTCCCTCTTCCAATTGAACAACCAACAAGAAGCGGTAAGTAAAAAAATAAATTTTTTTATTTTTAAAGAAATTTTTGCAAAATTTTTGGGTTATTTTTAAAATATCAAGATTTATGCCCGGCGCCTCCACCATTTAAATGATAAAATCAATAAATAATTAATTCTAGGTTATTTTTATCATAAAACTGATTAAATTTAGCAAGTTTTATTCGAGTAACGCGGATATTTCGAGTAATGAAAGTGTTTCATTCCATTTCGTTTCCTGCATTATTCAATACGTTGCGCTGCGAGGTAAAATGGAAACCGATCGAAACACACCTATCCGAAACGTGTTTCGACTAGCACAATTTCTCATTTCTTATTTCTCATTACGCGTATGGGTCACGCATGCATGTTGGTCTTCCATGGTGGCCACTTAGCTATGCGCGGCGCCGAATTATAACAATTTAAAAATCGAAAGTTCGATTTTATGGCCGTGCGCTATCGAAAAAAACCGCTCGCCGATACCCATAATGAACCCGAAGCGAAAAAGGTAGAATTATCGCTGTTTGTCTTCGGCCGGATAAGGAACAACATGTAAAACTACTTCTTTCACATCGCATGAATGGCAGCAGCGGCGGCGCAGTCTCGAAAATCATATTGCTCACGAATCGCATTAAAAGATAAACTACATTAAACTCGTTCCACGGCTGCAATTTTCGTTTTCTCGTTCTTCAATCATTCAATCCCACAATTCTCTCCGCGATTCGCATCGTCGTCGTCGTTGATGTTAACGTTAATGCGGTGGATCTCTCGGTGATTGTTTCTTTTTTTTTTTGTCTTGGCATGGTTGAGGTTGATTCTTGTTATTTTCCACTTACCGCCGGTATATTTATTCGTATGTATGATTCTTGAAAATTAGCCGCCTTATTATCATGAGCGTGCGTTGCTGCGTGAGTTATTTGCCATTTTCGATACTTTTTACTTTTGCATCGTGTCAAGCGGAGCAGCAGCTCATTACAGGGCGTTTTTCTCTAGCCAAATCAAGTCATTCGTGTGAAATTACCCTGCAGGAAAACAAAAGTATTTTCTTGCTTTCTGAGTATAATTTTTTTGTCGATAAAAATAAATAATTCAAGCCAATTGAGGGAAAAAGTAAAAAATCTGTAAAAAAAAAACGTTAAAATTTAAAGGTTTTATTCTTTATTTGTTGCTAATAAATTTATTTCACCATTTTTACTAAGTTATTAAGTTATTTATGAAAAATTGTGTATTTTTTGCTTTAAAACACGATTTTAACCTAAAAATCGATTTTTTTAGATACAAAAATGAAATTTTCAGTTAAAAGTTTAGTTTTGTGACGTGATAAATGAATTATATTGTGTTTTAGAAGTGTTTAATTGCTTATATACGCAAATTTAAGCATAAAAATCGTTGTTTTGCTTCAAAAACGTGAAATTCGATGTTTGACATTATAATTCAGTTTTTTTTTCGAAACTACAGCGCCCTCTATTATTTTTCTATCCAAATCAAGTAATTTGTGTGAAGTTACCACAATATTTTCCTAACTTTTCAAGTATTTTTTGATATAAATAAATAAATAATTCAAGCCAGTCGAGGGAAAAACTTGAGCCCCATCGCATCGTGCATATCTTCAAACGCACATCACTCGACTCACATCACATCACATCAAGGACACACGAGACATGCACTATATTCATGTCCATCGGATGATCCCTGCGTCTGCGCCGGCGATGAGATCGACTCGCGTCGCATTGTAATCGCAGCCGCGCGGCTCTCGTGTCTTCGCCGGCGCAGGTATCGGTGGCTGGAGGGTTTTTCGACGGCACGATGAGATGAGACGCGCGAGATGAGCCGGCGAGGTGGACGAGATGCACGCGTAACGTGCAATCATCAACGTAATCGGTCTTCTCGCTGATTTGCATCGTGCCAAGAAATGATCATGCAGGAGAAACAAAAGGCGCACGAGACGCGTACGTCGTATGCATGCACGTACGCCGCGCGGCGTGCGGCGCAAAACAAAAACCAGCGCGCTCGCCCTGCGCGAAAGCAAACAAAAAGTCCGCGACGACGAGAGCCAGAAGAGACCAGGATTAATGTTCGCCGGGGATTCGTTTCGAGTGCATCGGGTAATTTTTCAATTCATTATATTGATGTGCGCAAACAATTTCACGTTACTTCGTGTTATAATCTTCATCAATTCCACGCGCAAACGCAAACAAAAATCATCAAAAATTTTATTATTTTTTGCGTCAATTGGAAACCACAGCAAACTAATCCAATTACAAGTATAATATTGTGAAAAAATAGAATCCCGTTCGTATGCAACTTGCATGGCTTCGAAACAATCGATGCGCAGCGCACAATTCGCATGCATATGCATATTCATGGCAGAAAAACGCGCGGCGCGAATAAAATGAATTATTATGAAAATGCATGAAACGAGTGCATCGCATGCGCCTGCACTATCTTTTTTCCAGCGCGCTTGGTAAGAAAAAACGAAATAAAAAAGTGCACGCGCACAATGCGAACGAGACTCTAACAATCACACGTTATTAATGCATAAAATGATGATGATGATGAGAAAATCTTAACGAAACAAGAGCGCACGCTGCGAGAACAACACACCCGTACATGTGATATTCGAGATGATTTTGTCTTTTTCTCATACAGGCTGTTGCGGAAAGAGCAAAATCCAGCGCGGAAAATTGCCGTGGGATTTTTAACAATTTCACATCTCCCATTACACTGGCAGTAATAAAAAATAAAGCAGCGAGATCCTAAACTCTCGTGGTCGTGGCAATCGAGTGTATAATCTTGATAATTGCGTGCAATAAAAGATTCAATTTGTCCGCGCTGCGCCGTGCGCGCAGGCACACACCTATTGTCTATGAATATCGTAGTGTAGAGAATAATGCGGTGCGCTTCGTGAAAATAAAAAATAAAAAAACACAAGCGGCAGCGGATGCAGCAGACGAGAGATGCGCGAGATTGAATATTGTCGATCGTCGCACGCCGCTGCATTGTGGGTTGCGTGTCCGTGGATGGACATGCAACACTCGAAGAAAAGATTGTGACTGACAAGACCTGCCCACCGATTCCAGCTATTATTTGATGTTGTTTGATGCGCTCCTCATGATTCCGATTTTGATTCGAGGCGTAATGTACAATTGCACGCGCAGCAACCTTGAAGAGAGGAGGATCAAAAGATCGCGGCGCGCGGCGCATTTCAGTGGAAATGATATGGTTATCATTGCTTATTGTCGGTAACAATTCAACAATGCGATGAATGATGCAACGCCAATCTGGCCACAATTGAAGCGCACGACTCGGAGCATGAAAACCGAAAGTGAAGAAGAAGAAGCGCATTGAAAGTGAAAATAATAAGGCCACGTAGGGATTGAGAATTTGATTGTTTCACGCGCGCATGCGTATTGCAAGAAATAGATGACTTCCAGTTTGAATTTTTGTTTGCAGATTACATCGTCAGTTCGGGTTCTCCTCCGACGCGTGATAAATTGCGATGCGAGGACAAGGAGCGAGTGCGGCGCGACTGGCGCAACGAAAGACTGCGAGACATCGCCACAGCGCTCACCGACCGCTCGCCGGAGTCGTCGCTGGCGTTGCCCGCCGAAGGCCTGCTCCACCTGAAAAAGGTAAATTGGTTGCACACACACAGAGTGCACTTTCACTCACTGCGCTCGCAAATTATTAATTTTATCGATCCGGCGCGATCTTTAATCATTGTGTATCTTTATCTAGGGTTGGTTATGGTTCAAAGACCACAATAACGGCGAATGGCTGCGGTTATGGTGGGTCCTCTGCGGGCCAACGCTCAGCGGTTACAAGGAACAAGACGAGTCGACGATGCCGGAGGTGTCTGTCGAATTATCGACGGTCACCGGCTACAGCGAAATTCAAACCGAGACGCGTTATGGATTCCAGATCCAATGGTCCGGTCCGACGTTAACACTCAGCGCCGTGACGGCTGGTATTAGATCCAATTGGTTGCAGGCCTTGAAGAAAGCAGCGCCAAATTCTGAAAGGTACGTTTTTATCTGATCGAGAGATATCGCAGGTTAAAATTAAAGTGGTACGTGTTGTTTTTGTTTGTGCAGCCCGGTTTCTACACCTGCAACACCTCGCTCATCACTTCTTTCATCCGATGAAGAGTATCGGACCGCTTCCGAAGGTGGCGGCCGGCGTGATTCGGAAGATTGGGGCGATTACAGTGCCAGCTCGCCGATTCCAAAGACCCTGCTAACGCGCGTGAAGGATCGCAACCGGTTGCGACCCAAGCTGCCGCGGTGTCAATCCCGCCAGTCGACCGTTGATAGCGTGTCAACGGACGAACTGGACGGATTCAATTTGCCCATCGTCGACCTCAAGTCCAGCTTCGGTGCTGGATTCACCACCTCCGAAGTGGACGACCTCAAGAAGCAGCTGAATCATGCGCGCAACGACATTCAGAATTTGGAGATGGAGGTGACCAGGCTGAATCTGCTTCAATCTGAGACCGGCGTTAAAGAAAAGCAATACAAAGAGATGCTGCATACATTAGAACGCACGCGGGATGAATTGACGCAAAAGTTGCGCCATGCGGATGAGAGGCACACCAGAGACATGAAGTCGTATCAAAGGCGGCTGACGGATTTCGAGCAGGACGTGCGCGAATCCGAGGACCGTTGTGCTAGTAATCAGAGGGAGTTGCAGGCGAAGCAACGCATTGTTACCAGTTTGCAGGAGGAGTTGAAATGCGCCAACGATCGTCTCTCAAGAAATCGACTTGAAAACGATCGATTGTATAAAAAGTTACAGGAGTTGGAAGGCAAGAGTCTGCAGAAGTACAAGCGCATTGCGTCGCTCACTGATTTAACCGATATTGACTTGGAAGTTGACTTGGACACGCTGAACCAAAACGAGCTGATTGAACAGTGTCTGGATTTGCGGAGTCGATTCGAGAAGGCGGTCGTGGAAATTCGAGCTGTTAAACGGGAGCTGCGAGAGTCGCATGCGAAATACGACGAGTTGGAGCTTGAAAATGTCAGCATCAAGCGGAGTCTCGAAATAGCCGAGCAAGAGAATCAAGCGCAAGCGGCGTTGACAGCTAGCCGAGTCCAGGATTTGACTTCGAAGCTTGGCAGTGCTGAAAAACAAGCAAGAGTTTTGAAGTCGAAACTACAAGATTCCAGAGAAAAGCGTCGTTCGTTGTCACTCAAAGGCAGGGAGAACTTTTCACTCAACAAGGAAGTGGAAGATAAAGTGACGGAGCTGGAAGCGAAAGTAATGAGTCTTGAACGTGGGCGTTCGAGGAGAAGACGACGGGATCGTAGTTCGGAAGCTGCTTCCCCGATTGATGACAAATCTTTGCGACGTTTGCGGCGTAAAAGTTTGGATAGCGCTACTTCCTCCGAACCTATGAAATTACTCATGCGACTGAGTTCGTTGGAGAGCAAGGTCAATCAGGTGAACACATCAAATGAATCGTTGACGCCGCTCAATGCGAGCGTGAACGATTTGACAAAGACTGATATTAGCATTAATTCGAATAACATCGTCAAGATGGCGAAGGGGAAGTTGGCGGAGGTTTTGTATATATTGACGAATATGAAGAGCAAGAAGCGACTCAACTTCCAGACGATAGAACACGAACTTGCCGAATTGCAGGAGATTCTGAATTCTAAATTTAGCGAAAGTGAGACACAAGTCATTCGCAACTCAACTACCACTGTAATCAGGCAGTTAGAAGATTCCCTGCATGATAAACTGTTGGAATTGTCAGAGAAAAAAGCAATTTTGAAAGAATCAAATCAATGGGACCAACATGCAAAGTTAGAAGTTCTAGCGCAAAAGATGGCGTTTGAAGAGTTAATTCTGTCACGGCTTGAAGATGCAATGAATTCTGAAGCATCATGCGAGCGTTTGCTTCTAAAAGAATCCGTGGAGACTTCCAATTTTTTGAAGAGATTGGAACGCAAGTTGAATGATGGCGAATGTGAAGAACTTCCCCAGTCAAACACTAGTTTAGAATACCTTACAAATGTCCTCACAAAGCGACTCCTCCTTTCTTCAATGAATAATCCTCAATCCGTGCAGAATCCCTTCAGAAATTTGAGACCTGCTGTTGCGTATTTGGAAGAAGAACAAGAAAAAATTAACAATTTGTTGTTCACCTACAAAACAACCAAATTGCCACTTTTGGGAGAGGCTTTAGCATTGGAAACATTAAATCTTTCAACGGACGATAGTTGTCAATTGAATCAAAGCATTGGCCAGACATGGAGCACCACTCGTCAAATTGTAAACTCCGAATTGATAACCTCAGAAATCAATCATATTTTGATGAGGACCGCTCAGAAATATGAAGCGTTGAGTAGTGAAGATCAAAATTCGTTTTTCACATTTTTCGCACACGAACGCGCAGTGCTAGAATTGTGGTCCGACACTGTTGAGAACACACTACGTGTTGAAATGGATAAATACATTGAAGAACTGACAAATGTTTACCAAAATGCGTTGGGCAAACAGAGGAGGAGTTCGTATCGGAGCAGTAATACACGAAAAATAGAACAATCCACCAATACATTACTTTCGGAATATGCGGATGTGATTGCACATAAAGCATTGGTGGATGCAAGGATTTTGGTGCTCAAAGGACAAACGAACGATGCAAACGAGATGCAAAATCAAGAGGTCAGTGATAACATGTTGATGAATTTGCTTGAGTTGGAATCTTATTGGGATTGCATGGAGAAGTTGGAATTGGTGCATCCTAGTCCCAATATTGTAATGGAGTTCAAGTTAATGCTCGGCGAAGCGAACCGGGAAAGTGACAACAATGTGCGTGCATCGCATGTTGATGGTGTGTGCAATGCTGTGCGGGCATTGAGTCAACATGTCCACAGTTTGGGTGAAGCAGTCGGAATTGTACCAAAGGATGCAGAGAGCAGGATCTACGGATTGGAGAATGCGTGTCATAGATGTAGAGAACTGCATGAGTCGTTGAGGGCCATCGAGGAGAAAGTACTCGCTTTAAATCAGACTAAAAGGTAAACATTATTGAATTGAAAATGAAATTTATCAGTGCTAATTTCTGTGTTGTGTTGTTTTGTGTAGATCTTCAATCGAAGAACGTCGTCCGATTTATTTAGGTACCGAGTATCTCAGTCAAGTCGAATCGCTGCGTAGCGCGTATCGCAACAAAATGGCCGAATGCACCGATCGTAATCATCAGGAAAACCTGGAACAACTGCAGGTACTTTCGGAGCGCGTGCTTGCCACCCTAGAATCCTGGCATCGTCGGACGCTGCAAGATCTCCGCGAGACACATAATCAAGAGCTGGCTGCATCAAGACGCGACAAGGAACAGGCGCTCGCTGAAGAAACTCAGGCCACACTCGCTGCATTGGACGCAATGAGAAAAGCTCATGAAGCTGAAGTAAGTTATTTAAAAAACCATAATTTAAAACAAAAAATATAATTGTTTTCAACTAGGTTCAAAGGGAGGTGGCCAGATTTAAACAAGAATTCGCCCGGGAGCAACACAATGAGATTTTCGAACTGAACGAACAACTGTCGGTGAAGTGTCTGGAAGCCGCCACGTTACAAGAACAACTGGGCAGCGCCAATCGCCAACTGATGCACGCTCAGAACCACATCATGCAATTATCGAAGGTATAAACAATTTGGTCGCAATCAAAGGTCATCAATTCGTACTAGTCTTAACGTCAGCCTCATACGATACGTAAATTACATATATTTTCTTAAAGTTTTTCAATTTCGATTGTTGCACCGTAATGGAACGTAGTGCAAAGTGCAAACACCTAAATACACTTAGGTGGAATTATGCTATAATGTTTTTGTTGTGTCATATCTATTCATTACATCTATCTTCGTTGTATATGTATGTATTGTCCTAAGTGTATTCGTATATAAGTATGTAGTTTTTTGTATTTGTGTCACGTTTGAGTATGCATTCTGTGTGTGTAACATGTAAATATTGTTTTTATGTTGTTATTTTATGATTACCCGAATATTTTAAATGTTTATCCTGTGCAATTTGTCACATGTTTGTCCTGTGACTACGTAGTGCTTGTGTTGTGTATGTATTATCAGAGTAAAATGTGTATAAAATCGGTTTATTGTAAGAAATCAAACGTGAAATGGGAGAAAGAGAGAGTTATTTGTTTAAAGAATATTATTTGTGTTGGGTTTATATAAATATGGAATGTTAATTTCATTAAAATTATATAGTTGATAAGTCAATTGCTACTAATCTGATTGTTTTGTTTTCTTTGTACAAGTTTGTATACGTCTACTCTACTTTAACCTTTAAAAGGGCAACGGAATGAAGCGAATTGTTGGAACTGAAATAATATATTTGATATATCATAAGCTACAGTAAAATATTCACCAAAAATCAAGTCAATTTTGCATAGACTAAACACAAAATACTTTAGGTTTATATATTGTTCTTCACAGGCTTCTTTAAGCCGAAAATCACGCGCATGTTTGCAAAAAATAATAGAGCAATATCATCATTAATACAGTGGTGTTGTGAGATATGCAGACTTGCAGACGTGATGATAGTAAAAGTATAAAGACTAGGCGAATCACATTTATTTGGAATTTTGAAGCAAGAATCTCATGAACGTTTCGGTATTGTTCTGGTTTCATAGATCACATTTAATTTTCGAACGCCTTGACGCAAATATGTTGAAAGTTTCCCTGCAATTCAATCATTCAAATATTAGTGGTAGATTTATAACATTTATGTACTAAACTTACGGGTATACCCAGGTCCCAACCAGATCCAATTGAATTCTCAGGACATACGCCTAAACGTCGTGCAATTGTGCCGCCATTTGTAACAGCCCACACTTCCGTCTTCCCCACAGAAACTTGTTTGAAAACAGTGGTATTTGAAGCAGCAGCTGTAATAGGGTAATAGTTGTGGTGTTTTTGTTTAGAATTCGAGTGTTTTCAGGTAAATCTTACTCAGTAGAACGGGATCAATACTAATACAATGCCAATAAGTCCCCTCCTGGAAGTTTTCGGTGATTTCCTTTCGTACTTGTATCCTTCCGTTTGTGTCCACTGCCCAGACACCTGCCGGGCCAACGGAGATCTGTTTGAGTTGAGCGGAAGATGGCGGCTCAACGCAGTACCATTTCTCGCCCTCGAGGCACGATGCGGTGATGCCGTAGCGCCAATAAGCACATCCGTTCTTACCAGTTGCCCAAACTTTATTAAAAGGCCCGCAGCTGATACTGGTGAATGACTGATCAGTGGAAACATGCTCCCATTTTGCCCCTTGATTAAAATCACAATATGTTTTTTTTATCCTTTTACTGATTTATGATGATGTACTTACACTTGGATTTGATTTCGAAACCCCTGTACGAACCATCACTTGCCCATCAGCCGCCAGAGCCCAAACTGATATCGGTGCATCCAGAGCGTCACCAACCGGCTCCAGCGACACATCAATAAGTTTGGTGTGTCCTAACTCTTGCCATGGACCTGAGGTAGACACCGCACAACGCCTGTACCACCTAGATATATTTAAATTTATAAATTTTTAGCTCAATAAGATGTTAAAAGTCCTCTAATACCTCCTGCGACGAACACAATCAGTAAACTGCTTGTTAGCGTGATACGTCGATGGAAAATCAACAGCATACTGCCAGCCATCTCTATCAACACCACCAGGTACGTGGAAATCAACTAACCAATCCGAAATCCATTGCCAACGCATCGACAACAACTTGACCTGATCCCTTGTGCGTTTCTGTTTCCCCGTTATATCACTCCACATTGATCTATCAGTAGGTAAACCAGTACTGGTGTAACCCGTGACTGGATTCCACCTTTGATTTTCATAAACTCTGTAATCCTGCGAGTCCCCAACCGGATTTACATTGTTGCTATCCATGGCGCTTATAAACCCACCGCCCCATCCGCCATTATAAACCCAACAAGTGTGATCATACCCGATTCCCCAAGTAACACCAACGCTACAACTCTCGATTCTCCTCAAATGCCCACCTAACTGCCGGAAGTATAAATCTTTCGGATCGATGATTCTACTCGGTGTGTTCATCGAGAACTTAAACATTTGCACGCGGTCTTTAACGGTGAATAAGGTAGCGCTTGAGCAAGGCAATCTGTATCGAAACGCGCAGAGCTCTTCGCCATTAACCAAAATGAGAAAATCATCGGTTCTCGCGAGAATTTTCATGTTGAATTCAAGTCCCCGTACGAAAATATTCTTAGCATGTTGCTCATTACCCCATTTATCTTCAATCATCGAGTTCAGAACAATTTTACCGTCCATGAAACGTGGGTTAATATGAAGCGCGTAGTTTTCATACTCCGCATGTGCTTTATGTCTGAGTTTATAAGTGTTATAAGCTTGTAAATTGATCGAGAAACGCTCGGCATCATCAGGCACGCAGCCATTAAGAGAAATAACAGTCCCGGGACTGACGCAACCATGCAATGGGATAGATATCGGTGATTCTCTGCCAGACAAATCCATGGAGAGCTCATAAGTGTTATCTTCCTTCTGATACATTTGTTGTTGGGTGGAATCCCATGCGAAGATATCACCGAGATTTGATATCGCCCAGATTGAAGCATCTGAGGGACGAGAGGAACAGTTGTGCAACTGCATGGTAACACTGGCGAAATGGCCCTGCCACTCTTCCATCACGGTATCACTGGAGAATTGCAAGCGAATTAACTCGGGTTGAATGTGTGGAGTGTGTATGGCGAGACGGGCGTTGCCAGGTTCACTGATGCATTGCGTGCAGAGGATTTCACTTATTGGAAATTGATGCTGTGGATTAATAAAACTGTTGATAGAGACAATATTTATGAATAATATATAAGTACCATTGCTGAGGCACCATCAGGATGAAGTATTGTCAATGTCCCCGTTGTGTTCATCCATTCAAGTTGTAGAACACAATCGACGAATGCACCAATGGCCGCTTGCGAAATTCTCGCTTCACCTGTATGTACCCAACTACTGGTATCCACAGCTGGAGGATACGCTGCGTACTTTTCTTCATCTTCAATACGCCTTCTCAAATCGTCCAAGATTTGCAGCCGCCATGGTTGATCTAATTCAACCTGTTGACCAGTGGCCATTTCGGCGAACCAATTGGGAAGTTGATTGGTGTCGACATAGCAGGCACCTGCTTCCACCCAAGACCATGGCGCTTCATACTCCGCCCAACCAAGTTCTTCATCCTCTGCGAATATGCAGGAATCTTGGCGTTCAGACTGGTAAACACTTTCGTCTGAAAATACTTCAGTGCCAACAACAGAGCCGACTGATCTAACTGGACTCCATGCTTTGGGGTTTTTCAATTGAGTTTCAAAATGTTTATCAGACAAATCTCCAACTGGGAGGGAGACTGGAGCTGTAGGTGCTGAATGACTTTGTTCTTCCCATTCGGATATTCCGGAAGATTCACAGAGACTATGAGGCCGATTCTAATATAAATTTAAAATTTGATTTAAATGATAAACAAATAATTGTAGTAATTCTTACAAGTGATGTGTTGCTCCTGTTTTGAAATCTGTCTCTTGTTAAACTAGCGCTACTGCTAGCTCTGCTAACTTGCAAAGGCGCATGCAACGCCCGCCATCTTTTACCAGTCAAGTCGCCATTTTGCACACCTGTACGATGATACACAGCGCGATCATCCGCACCGATAGCAAACACTTGATCGTGAGCAGTGACAGAAACCAACGACATTCGTCCAACCATTTCTACCCAGCCGCATCCAACCGCCATTTCTTCACTGACGCCGGAACCTTCACCCTTCACACCCTTTCGGAACCAAACCTGCTTGTCATGGGTAACAGCCCACACACTATTCAGACCCACGCTGAGTTGTTGCACTCGTAGATTCTCGCCGGGGCCACGAATTTCCACCCAGGAATCACCACTGATTGCGTCTCTAGTAATTCCTAAGATTAAACATTTTTTACTTGATTAAATAATCAATATGGTGGTATTATAAGAACCTATGCGAACGAGAGCTCGACCATCTAATAACGTAGCCCAGACTAACCCGGTTGGGCCAACTGACAGTTGACCAACTTCACAACCAGCCGGGGTAGAAATATGTTGCCATTTTGCACCCTCAGGCGAACGCGTGGAGACACCCGTGCGGAACATCACCTACATGTTTAACATGAGCAAGTAATTTCATGGTATCTCAGGATTATTACTTTGTTTACCCTGTTGTGCGAAGTCACAGCCCAGACGGTCATGAGACCTTGTTCGGCACCGCTCACATTCTGCCCACCTATTGAAATATCTATGAAAGGTTCCTGAAATATTCATTTATTGCCTTTTTAAAAAATTCAATTTTGTGCGATTGTTATGCAACCGAATGTGCATCATAAACGAAAACAATTGCAAGTTTTTAAACTCACTGCAGTGGCGTCTTTGTGTAATGGAGCAATAGCACACCATGAATTCATCGCGCTGTATTTCCTCGATCTCACCCATAATCTCCGCCGAACGCAGCTTGACCACTGCTTCTTTGCATGGTAAGTCGCCGGAAAATCAACCGCATATGTCCAGCCATGATGATCCAATGGCTGGCCATTTAGAGTTAGATCAATCTGCCACTCACCCTCCCATTGCCATGCCATCGACGGCAATCGAATCTTATCGATGGAGCGATCAACGGTGCCATCAGCGGAAGAATGTCTATACCTATCAGTTGGAAGAAGTCTTTGAGAGAAGCCTTCAATTGGTATCCAGCGCTCGTTCTCATAACATTCTTCACGCACGCGGATCGGAATGTCTAAACCGTGTACAAAGACATACACTTGATGGTCACCGCCGAGTGCCCAGAGAAAGTGCGGCACTCCGGAGAGCTTTTTAAACTCTTGGCCGACGTAGGGCACCTCTCTCCACATCGACCCTGTCGTAGACAGTGTATGGACGCGTCCTTCATTGTTTATACCGAACAATAACGAGCTAGGCATTGTTTACTACGTCGCTAGTAAATAACAACTACGCGTCACCGTCTATTGTTTAGCGCATGTTTGTTTAAAAAATGTTTAAACAATGATAATATAACCCCTTGTAGACCAGCTAGTGTCAGATTGACAACTGAGATAAACATTGACAACTATCAGCTGGAAGTGAGAAAAACAAGGGTTATATTATGGGGACGTAAAATACATAAAAACAAGCGCGCATGGCTGCTCTCATGATACGATCAATTAAAATACATATGAAATAGAACTTTGAAGGTTTTCGATTATTCAACAGTTGCATATTTGTTTTCTCGGAGTAAATTATTTACATTCCTTGTTTAAATTATTAATTTTATATACACCGGTAGTTCATGCAAATGCCGCTAGGGGACATCTATTTACGCATGTAAATTGCTTCAAATATGGAAATATCTGCGTATATCTAGCGCCAAATTAGATAAAATTGTATTTTATTGTGTTTGTTAACAATTATTTAACTTTACTAAAGTGCAGAAAATGTTTATTGGGGATTACATGGAACTTGTCTTCCTTTTCGAAAGTGACATTTGACATGTTTAAATGACGTAGTAAGTGTCAAACCAGCTGATGAAAATATGCGGTTTAGATTCGTTTAGATGTGCTTGAAACTACAAATTTAATATATTAGAAATAAATTACTGTAAAATGGACGACGCTCTAAAACTTCAAAAATTAGCTGCTGCGCGTAACAAGGTATTGTTCTAAATAACCATTTTAAACACTTTCTTAATGCTTAATCCCTTTAGCCACATCATCACATTCATGTTTATACATTTTGTTTTGCAGCTGAAAAGCCACCAGCAGAAGAAGCAGAAAAAGCCGGAAAGTTCCACCAGTGATACCCGGAGCATTGATTCAGTCACCAGCAGCAATGAGAGTGAAGTTTCCACACAGAGAACCAATGCCAGCCCAGTGCCACAAATACAATCCTACTTTACAACACCAGCTGCAATGCCCACAACAGCATCTTCCACAGCAAATTACTTTGATACTGTCACCTCAGCATCAGTTGCAACATCCCCAGAATTATTTTCTATAACCAGTCAGAATCTGACACCAAGTGCACCAATTGTAGACAATCTACATGCAGACAGCAATAATTATGTCACTTCTACAGATGCAGTCTCATATGAAGACCCAGAAATCAACCCAAATGAAATATTTGACTTTGCCAATCAACAGCAAAATAACAATGTGCCTGAATTGTCAATGTCTGAACAAATGAGGCAATTGACTGACCAAGTAACACATGCTGTGGATTCCAATGGGTATGAAAATTACAGCAATTATTCAGACTTAGAGAAGAGAAATCTTGAATTGGCAAGTAGTTTTGAGAAGGAAAAATTACAATGTGATCAGTTAAATGCCACCATAAATGAGTACAAGAACCACATCAATCAGTTAGAGAGACAGATTGAGTTGTTGAGAGTTGAATGTGATAATAAAATCAGGGTTGACTTAGCGCCGCTCGAAAATGAAATATCGACGCATAGACAAACAATTGGGATACTGGTGGGTGAGAAAACCGAATTATCAGCAACACTGAATCACACACAGATGATGCTGAAACATAAAACAACTGAATGTGAAGAGTTACAAGCAAGGTTGAAAACGTCACGGTCACGCGTTGCTGACTTAGAAAGGGAGTTGAATTGTTTGAAGGAGGAGAGAGGAAGGCATGCTCAGATGCAAACAGGGCATAATCAGGAGTTTGAGAGGATGCAGAATGATGTGCAGGTGTTGAAGGCGCAGAAGAGTGAAGCTGAGCATGACTTGAGTGAGATGAGGGAGAGACTGAAGAAGTTGCAAGAGGAAAACGCGGTAATTATTCAGAATTGTAATGAATATGAAGGCAAATTGGATCTGGCCCAGATAAAAATTCAGCAACTTACTACGGGTAAATATTAATTTTATTATTTTTGCTTCTTTTTAATTTTTTGTATACGATACGCGACCCCAAACTTTTTGCGACTGGGCTGCTGGGCGACTCAGCAGTTTGTAAATTGCGCGCTACTTTTTTCATACTTGTGGGTGATCCTCAAAATGTTGGGAGTAAGGATAGACGTAGCAGTACTCGTTACTACGTTTAATTGCACGAGAAAGGAAATGTTTCTTTTGTGTATTGATGAAATTGTTGGCCTAATAAAGAAAAAAAAAACATTCCGGTACCGGGAATCGAACCCGGGCCTGCTGGGTGAGAGCCAGCTATCCTAGCCACTAGACCATACCGGAGATATAAAAGCGTGATCATTTTTAGCCGGTTTGTGCGCGATTTCGAAATATTCTACTGCAATTAAATTTTATCATCGGCTTATGTGGTTTATTAAATTATAGGTAGTAAATTATAGTATAGGTGTGTTCGGCCATGAATTGTACAAAGTACAGATAAAAGTATGCAAGCTATATTTATAGTGCGATTTTCATTTCGATTCGATAAAATGTACTGGCAATGTACAACTCCGATATGGTCTAGTGGCTAGGATAGCTGGCTTTCACCCAGCAGGCTCGGGTTCGATTCCCGGTATCGGAATTCCTTTTTTTTTCGCATTTGCAAAATATTATATTATTATCATTAGTTCACCGTACAGATAATTAATATTTTTGTTTTTTAGGTGCTGACCCCGGTGCCAGTGAAAAATTCATGCAGGAAAAACAAGCTCTAGAAAAACAAATTCTGGACTTAAATTCATCGTTGAAAAACGCTCTGGGTGAACGTGATCAAGCCAGTGCGCAGTATCAACAATATGTCCAACAATTAAATGGAAATATATCTAGTCTCGCCGAAAAATTAAATTCCTCAACCGTTGAAAACGATAATCTAATGAAACGTGAGAATGAATTAGTTCAACACATAAGTGAACTTGAAAAACGCCTTCAAAGCCAACAGCAGGAATCAAATCACATCTTCAAACAACCTCTGCATTCAGAACAATCTAAAGAACAATCTGACTCTGAGATTGAGCAACTGCACCAACAGAATGAACGTTTAGAAGCTGTTGTAGCGGATCTACAAGCCAAATTCGATGCGGTGCGAAACGAACGCGATGAATTCATCCAAGACGTGGAAAACAAGAAACTCACCATTGAGAGTCTAGAGTCAACGATTGAGCGATTAAAAGGTAATCAAACTAACAACACTCAAATGCTAGCTGATATTGAAAGTGAAAAGGTAGCGGCCTCACGTGCCGTCGAGCAAAACATCAAGTTGAAACAACAACTGGAAGAGATGCAGGAGGCGTTTATTCGCATGACTAATGATAAAGCTGAATTATTGACGCAGTTGTCTAGTGAAGAATTTAGGTATAAAGAGTTGGAGGACTTGCAGACGCAGACAATTCATCAATTGCATATGCTTACGGAAGCAATTGAGATAAAAGATCGCGAGTTGACACAAATCCGCACGAAAGTGGAGGATGTTGATAAGCATGTGTTGCATCAGGATCAACTTAATGATAGATTGCGACATTATGAAGCGCATGAAAACAGTGCACATGCTTTAACACATGAATTACAACATGCTAAAGATGAGATACATGCATTAATCAATAAAAATAAACAACTTGAAATGAAGCTAGCCGATATGGAAAGCAGTGAAATAAAATTAAATCCAGAAGTGCATGAAAGTGAAGACGTAGAAATGGTAACACAATCAATACAAACCGAAGTTGAAGTTGATTCTGCTATACCACAAGTGAAAAACACCGAAATGACTTCCGCGCGAGAAATTGCAATGCGTCAACTTGAGAATAAATTCATGCGCACAATGCAAGAGATTGCAAACCTGCAGGACGAAAAGCAAATGCTTGAGCATATCGTTCTCCAACTGCAAGGAGAAACCGAAACAATCGGTGAGTACATTGCGTTGTATCAACACCAACGCGGTGTGCTTAAACAGAGAGCCATCGAGAAGGAAACACAACTTAAGCAGTTGGCGAAAGACCGTGAGCATATGAAGTTTCAGTTGCATATGTTAAATGAGTTGATACGACGTCTCCTCGAAGAAAACAAAATATCCGATGGTGATCTCCAGGAGCAGAAACAAATCAACGCAGATGCTTCTGCTTTGTGCGAGGAACATGCCAAGATGCACTTGAATATGCAAGATGGCGAGTCGCAGGGTCAGGAAACTGCGCAGCAGATTATGGCATTACTCGGCGAAATCAAAACCAGTAATCTGGTGCAGCCGACTGACGTCTCTGAGAATTTCCATCCGTGTCCGCTCTGCTCCGGACAATTGATCACGGTTTAATACGCGTTTACATAGCTCGCGTAATCGAAATAATCATTTGTATTGTTTTTATATTTCCTATAGTAATCCTCTAAAATATTCATAACGCCTGGTGTACATAATGTGCAATTTAAAGTAAATTTTAAACATTTAAAGAGGATCTCATGTTATGCATACGCTAGCTATAAGAATACGTTTTAATAGTTTTTATTTCTTAGATAAGATTGAAAAAATGAAAAGTGTAAGTTAACTCAAGCGAAGATCATCTCATCCCTGCGTCGTTTGGGTTGATTACCGGGCCGGACTTGACATTCGGAATGATTCATCAACTCAGGCGGACAGTTTGACACCGGCGACGACAACAACATCTGCTTCAGGTCGTAGAACAACGCCGAATCATCGTTGGTGCAGAAGCTGACAGCGATACCAGTCTTACCCGCACGACCAGTACGACCAATACGATGAGTATAATCTGAAACATGAGTACAAATTTAGATACAGATACAATTAGAAAACGCATGATCGTACCTTCAATTGTTTTGGCCATGTCGTAATTAATAACCATCGTGACATCTTTGATGTCGATACCTCTGCCAGCAACGTCGGTGGCAACGAGGATGTCTTTAGCGCCACTTTTAAGACTGGCCAAAGCATACTCTCGCTGTTCTTGTCCTTTACCACCGTGAAGTGTACACGCGTTGTACCCAAGTTTCTCCAAGCCTTTCGCCAGCACGTCTGCGCCTTTCTTTTGATTAACGAATATGATAACCGGTGGTTCGACACCGCGTGATAAATACTCCATAAGTTTCTTTCGTTTGTCATTCTCGCCCATGATATGTACGATCTGTTCGACTCTTTCGACTGGTTTACCAATGGAACCAATGTAGACAACCGCAGGTCTTCTTAGATAAGTCCGTGCTAGTCTTTCTACTGCTGGAGGCATAGTAGCTGTAAACATCACAGTCTGCCTGTATTTCTTTTTGCTGTTGTAATTCGCCAGTAATAATTTCGAGTCTTCGGCTTCTTCTGTATCTGGTTTAAGATTTGTAACGGGCATATATTCTAGAATTCTTTGCACGTCCGGTTCGAAACCTAAATCTATCATTCGATCAGCTTCGTCCAGAACAATGTATGTACATTGATTGAGTACTAAGTAACGATTTTCTAGAACATCTATGAGACGACCCGGGGTAGCGATGACAATCTCGCAACCCATACGCAGTCGGAAGCCTTGTTCTTCACGACTTAAACCACCCACGACTACAACTGTGCGGATACCAAGAGGTTGGCCGAATTTAACGGTTTCTTCTTCGATTTGTTGCGCCAACTCGCGAGTAGGCGCTAGGATAATTGCATAGGGACCTTGATCAGCATCTTCTGTTCGTTCAATCTTTGGTAGGGATTGAATCCATGATAAAAGTGGAATGAGAAAGGCGAGAGTTTTACCGGAACCTGTCTCTGCCACACCAATGATGTCTCTGTTTTGCATTCCGATGGGAATTGCCTGTCGCTGAATGGGTGTGGGATCTTTATAGCCGACTTGATCGACAATTTCAAGTAGTTCTTTCTGAATGCCTGATTCTTTCCAATTACGGATCGGCTCGGGAATTTTACCTCCTTTGATTGTGATATTGTAATCCTCGCGGAAGATACGCCAGTCTCGTTCGGTCATCTCGGGACAGTCTTTTTCAGACCAATGGCGATCGTCCCACTCTTGTTTCTGCTCCTTGCGTCGTACTTTCTTAAGTCGAACTTTTTCTTGAGCCTTTTCGGCTTCTGTTCGGCGTTTCTCCAGCATTTCGCCGTAAAATTTGCTTTGATCTCGCTTTTGTGCCTTGATATCTATTCCGGCTAAGTTTCCACGTCCGAAAAATTGTACTTGATGGCGGTCTTTATACAAATTATTATAGTCTGTACTTGTGTCCTCCCCAGCATCCCAATCAAAACGAACTTTCGGTCATTCAACCGTCGAACACGTCGTTTCTTCTTGATTAAACCGAGATAACGCTCCTTGATTGCGTCTGTTTCACGTTCTTTATCTTTATCCTTTTGTTTTTCTTCTTCCTTGGCCTCCCTGTCTCTTCTTCGATAGTCTCTGTCCCTATCATCTCTACTTGTGCCTGCATTAATGGGATCATTTTGTTGACGACTTTTTCGTAAATCCTCGATTATTTTCCGTTCAGCCTCCTGTTGTTTTTTCTGCTTTTCGACTTCATCCTGTCGACGTTTAAGGGCTTCGGCGACGCGCTGTTCCTTTGTAAGAAATACTGGTTTGCTCTTTGCTGCCTCTTCAGCTTTTTTCTTTGCTAGTATTTCTTCCAGTGAAAGTGGTTCCTTTTTTACATTTTTGGTGTCTTCTGGTGGCACCTCTTCTTTGACCTCTTCGACGATTTCTTTCCGAGGTTCCTTGCGATCTTCTCGCCGTTGATTTTCCTGTTTTGGTTTATCGTGCTTTGGATCGCGCTCCTTAGATCTGGACCGGTGCCTCTTGTGGCGGTCCTGGCGATCTCTTTCACGACTGTGACTTCTTGAACGCTTCGACCTTTTATCACGTTCTTTATCAATTCGTTCGCGACTTCTAGAGCGCCGTTTCTTCTCGTTACCCATTTTTAATTAGTCCATAAAATAATGTTTGTAACTTGACTTCTATTTCGTTAGCGGACGTATTTTGTAAACAAAATTATTGGTTATGAGAATAATGAATGGGAAAGTATGGTAGTATTATTATTGTAGGCAACTAAATGTAACTTATATTTGAACACTTTAGGTACAGTTTCCGTGGTAAAGGTAGAACAAACAGACAAAACTAGATGGCGCTAGTGTACGTTTATAAACTTTCTGTAATTTGGTTTGCGTTTTCGAAACTAGATGGCGCAAGTGTACGCATAACCGCTTCGCTGCAGGGCATTTCGCCGCCTCAATAATTCAAATTACTAAATAACTTTAAAGCGCAAATTTTTTAATTTAAAAAAATACATATTTTAAATATTAACACTGTCGGAGAAATTGATGTGGACATGCCTGTTAATCACGAAGATTACAAAGAACCCAACGTGAGCTTCGAAGCTGTGGCGTTTCTTTTAAACTGTTCCCCGAGACTAAATTGGTATCCTATGAAGAAACAAATAGACGATTGATTTTGTTTTTCAAAAGCCAGAATCTTATTTGTTGAAATTCGTGGTATCGTTGATGGGAAAAAATGTTGGTTGCTATATGATACCCGAACAGGATGGCGTGGAACAAACCCCAACTAGATCGACTGAACATCATTATTCAAAATTGTGGAGTTAGAGATTGTCCGGGTCCAGTCCTACTAACACGATTGGAAATTTGTCCGTCAATCAAAACTCTGATGACAAATAAAAGACGAGATGTTCAGCTGATTTAGTTGCCGCGTGTTCCGCGACCACCTTGTGTCGCGTATCACAAATCACGCCACACATTCATCTTCTTGGTTGCGACAATTATTCCGGTTTAGTTGGTCGTGCGCTGTGGGACGTCGTGCACGTGTTCTTTTCGTCGGACGATCTTTAAACACACTCTGCATTTCTTGTGAATTTAGTGCAGTACAAATAAATCGGTGTGTCGTCGACTGATCGAGAGTGGAACACAGAATTAAAATATTTTTCCATGCGTGCGCCTTTATGCCACCGGCGGGAATTATTTATTAAAATTGTTGAAGTGCAAATAAACCACGTTTGTTTTCCGTGACGAAAGTTTGCCCCCAGTTTAAGTAATAGCGAAACATTGTTTCTGCTATCAATTTACGAAAATGAGTTTTGCGCTATAGTACCTCATGAATAGATGAAGAAGATGAAGAATAGATGAAGAGTAAGTATCATTAGGTAATAATTTACACCCGTTTAACTTTTTTAATTTTACAATTACGATAGCATTGTTTTAAAATAATAAAATATGCATATGCATATGTCAATAAAGAACAATTCAATTTTATATTCTTATTTACACTTATCCCTCGTGTTTATTTAGTCGTTTTCAGAATTAGTTTTAAGTCATGTTTAATACTAAGAGTATACAGAACATAAATAATGATAAACATAGGTATGTAAATTATATTCCCCGTTTGTGTCGAGCGGTTTTATATTAACGATTTCGTTATCGACTCACGAGTTATTTAATATAATTTATTTATTTATTGGTTCGAATCGCGATCGCGGATTAGAATTGGTTTTAGACTTTGATTCACTTTTGTTGGTTTTTAGAATTTGTTAAATGGGTTCTTGTTGATTGATTCAGAAGAACTTGTTAACTTTCACTTGTTTATTCAACGAACTTGGATGATACAATAATCACTTAGGTCTAGGTCTGCGCTCTATTTATATGGCTCTAATATGCGTTTTAAATAAATATGAAGAGAAGATGCGCAACGAAACAGGAAATGCGCAATTAGGTGACTTTGAGACAATGAATTCTAGAAATTGATAATTACGTTTGAAATAAATAATTACTGCGCTCGAAATAAATATCATGATTGCGTCTTAACTAATGATTCTTGTTTGGTCATCGGGTTCTGTTCATATAACTTGTATATTCTTTTTACAGTTGTTTATTCATTTGAAACATAAATAGAATGGACAAATTGTGTTTGATAAGAATGTCAGCGGATTGTACCTATAAAATCTTATATATAATCTGATGCGCGCCGAGCGAGTAGACTATAGCAGACTTGTGTTGTTGTTTTTAAAAAAGTTGAATAAAGCAGAAACATAAATAGAAGAATCAAATATCAATAATAAAAACACTCGGTGGTCGAGTGGAGACGTGCACCTGATGGCATGCTAGCAGACACGGATCGAATCTCAGGTAGAGAAGGCATTTTTCTCAAATATAAAAATATCAGGTGAAATTTGGGTTGCATATATGAAATATAAGAGAAATTGAAATACAAGTGGAGGCAAAGTAAGAGAAGTAAGAAAGTAAATGGAGAACGGGAGAACAGAGAAATAGAAGAATGGGAGTAGTAGAGAATAGGAGAAGATAGAAGGAAGAGAACAGGGGAGGATCAGATTTTTAAATTTTTTGGCACGTGTCGTTATAAGACAGTCTACGGTCGATCTCCCAGAGCGCCTCCGGTCAGTCCACTGCTTCGATGTGTCCATTGCTCCCGGCCCATCCTACAGCTACGATGTCTCTGCGCTTCATCCCCGGAATTATCAGGCATATCAACAATTTTCATGGTGGGGGATTACCCCCAGAGAGAGGGAACTCCTTATAAGGACAATCCTTATAAGGACTTGTTCAAATATTTCTAAGTTTTAAGTCGCCTCAAGAGAGGTGACACTTAAAAATATTCTTACAAGTTCTGACCTGTAGCTGAAATGAAAGAAGGAGCACACAAACCACAGAGGATACCTTAACAATTTTTATAGAGGGGATCATCCCCTGAGAGAGGGAACTCTCTAAGAGACCTGTTCCTGAAATGATAGAACACACAAATCAAAGAAGTCAATATATCTTACTATTTCTTTATTAACAATAGAATACAAGTTTAGATTTTACATGTCAACAAAATACATGCCGCCATATTGACACAGAACTTACGACTTGCATCGTCGCGCATATATAAGCAAGTAACACGTCAAAATGTTCAATTGGGATAATGAAATTAGCAAATTGTCCATTTTCTAGGTGATGGAAAATGGAAACAAATATACAGGGTGTTACAAAAGGAAAATATAAAGTGCAAACAAAAACTCTAAACACCACAAACGCCGCTTGACGATAAAGGAAACTAATATACAGGGTGTTTCAGAAAGAAAATTCGAAGTGCAAAGAGGAAAATGCTAAAAACAACAGTTGAAACAAAATTTTCACGGACACGAATGAAAATGAATATACAGGGTGTGCCAGAAAGAAAATCCCAAGTTCAAAACAAAGAACATTCAAAACTCACAATTAAAGACAATCTTCTACGTGGTGTTAGGAAAACTAATATACATGGTGTTACAAAAAAAACTTTCGCAACTAGAAAGATAATCAATATTCATATCATGACACGGGAAATTTATAATATAAGAAAACAACAATATTTTAATATAAAATCCAAGATTTTACCCGAAAATCAACGGGAAATTGAGCAAAAAGGTGCTACAAAAATTAAACACTTACATTTTAATATATTGTGAATATATATTTATTAACTGATGGTAGCATCAACTGTATAAGGTAACCGACAGGTGAAGCATCATCATAAATTGATAGATAATCCGGCGGTAAACATCTAAAATTTAGATTTAGATGTAGATTTAGATTCTAAATCAACAGACGACAAGCGACGGCGCGTAGTAAATAGGACAAAAGTAACTATTTCTTTGTAAACATTTAAATATACGCAAACTACAAAAACAAAAAACTACTCATCATACAAGACTTTATTAGATCAACAAGAAACTTCTTAATTTAATGATGCTATCGAGTGCAATTCGATTAAAAACGTTCACGTGTTCAGCGAAAAGCTGACCGAGCCGACGGCCGACGGCAAAGTGAGCGCGGTCGACCACATGCATATTGTCATTTTAATAATCCGCAGATAATTTTTAAAACCGTCTTTGTAATAATTAAATCATGCATGTTATTTTCCGAAACGCGATTAAAAATTCAGATAAAACTGTTATCACGTGTTTGTAATTTGCAAGATGTTACATGCAAAAATAACATCCTTCAAATGGAATAATCAATTTGTTGCACCGCCTTAAGTTTCCATGAAAAAAATGTATTACACACTTACCTTTGCATTGATGAGGAGATTTTATGTCCTGTAATATATTCTATCAACTGAAAATTCACACATGCTCGCTACGAATATTTTGTTGATGACAAAATGAATGCACGACGATTAATTGAATAATTGAAGTCTAAACACGCGTGGCTAGTAGTGAGACGCGCTCGCGGACCACGCGGTGAAACGACTGCCGTGTGCGCTGCGCGGTGCCAGGTACAAGGCAGGTACGTCGCGATAGTACACGTCAGTCGAACAAAAAAGTTATTTATAAACAAACGTAGTAGTAAACACGTACTTTAGCAGCGAAAGTAAAAATTCACAATATTGAAATAACACACATACACGAAATCTACTTTTACTTTCAATATTTCTTGGCATAAGAAAATAATATATTGGTTTTGAGATGCAATAAGGATGAGGAAAAGCAGGAATTTGTAATTTACCAACACTAATAAATAATTACTTTAAATAATTAATTAAATAATAGCTACCAAAAAATTGCTGATTTTGAAACATTGGAAAATTCTCTATCAGCTAAAAATAAAAAATAGTTATATTTCCTACAGAGAAAGGCCGAAAAACGATACAAAAAGTGCTAAAAAGTGACATTTATCAATTTTTGACGATTTCTTATAATTGCGAATATCTCGTAAACTAAAAGAGATAAATAGGAACGAATCTCAGTGTCTTAATCTACGGAAAATTCTCTATAAGATAAGCTAGTAAAAGCGGAAATATGAGAGATAAAAATTTCATTCTTAAGAAAACATTGTCAAGGGGGGGTGCTTGATACTTTTTTTCGACGATTTTTGATAATTAATATCTCTTAAACTAAAAGCGATAGCTACCAACGAATCGTTGATTATGAAAGATTGGAAAATTCTCTATCAGATAAAAAAATAAAATAATTATATTTCCTATAGCAAAAGGTCGAAAAACGCGGCTAAAAGTGCTAAAAAATGACATTTTGCAATTTTTGCCCATTTATTCAAACGCGAATATCTCGTAAACTAAAAGAGATAATTAAGATCTGATCGCAGCGTCTTAATCTACGGACTATTCTCTATCAGATAGGATAGTTAAAAGGGAAATCTGAAAGATGAAATTTTCATTCTTAAGAAAAAAATTGCCAAGGGGGGGTGCTTGATACTTTTTTTCGACGATTTTCAGAAATTCATATCTCTTAAACTAAAAGAGATAGCTATCAACGAATTGTTGATTATGAAAGATTGGAAAATTCTCTATCAGATAAAAAAATAAAATAATTATATTTTCTATAGCAAAAGGTCGAAAAACGCGACTAAAAGTGCTAAAAAATGACATTTTGCAATTTTTGCCCATTTTATTCAAACGCGAATATCTCGTAAACTAAAAGAGATAATTAAGATCTGATCGCAGCGTCTTAATCTACGGACTATTCTCTATCAGATAGGATAGTTAAAAGGGAAATCTGAAAGATGAAATTTTCATTCTTAAGAAAAAAATTGCCAAGGGGGGGTGCTTGATACTTTTTTTCGACGATTTTCAAAAATTCATATCTCTTAAACTAAAAGAGATAGCTATCAACGAATTGTTGATTATGAAAGATTGGAAAATTCTCTATCAGATAAAAATATAAAATAATTATATTTCCTAGAGTAAAAGGTCGAAAAACGCGACTAAAAGTGCTAAAAAGTGACATTTTGCAATTTTTGCCCATTTTATTCAATCGCGAATATTTCGTAAACTAAAAGAGATAATTAAGATCTGATCGCAGCGTCTTAATCTACGGACTATTCTCTATCAGATAGGATAGTTAAAACGGAAATCTGAGAGAAAAATTTTTCATTCTTAAGAAAAAATTGCCAAGGGGGGGTGCTTGATACTTTTTTTCGACGATTTTTGATAATTAATATCTCTTAAACTAAAAGCGATAGCTACCAACGAATCGTTGATTATGAAAGATTGGAAAATTCTCTATCAGATAAAAAAATAAAATAATTATATTTCCTATAGCAAAAGGTCGAAAAACGCGACTAAAAGTGCTAAAAAATGACATTTTGCAATTTTTGCCCATTTTATTCAAACGCGAATATCTCGTAAACTAAAAGAGATAATTAAGATCTGATCGCAGCGTCTTAATCTACGGACTATTCTCTATCAGATAGGAGAGTTAAAACGGAAATCTGAGAGAAAAAATTTTCATTCTTAAGAAAAAATTGCCAAGGGGGGGTGCTGGACAATTTTTATCGACGATTTTCTATAATTAATATCTCTTAAACTAAAAACAATAGCAACTAACAAATTGCTGATTATGAAAGATTGGAAAATTCTCTATCAGATAAAAATATAAAATAATTAAGTATCGATGGGTGAAAAGGCAAAAAATGTGACTAAAAGTGCTAAAAATTGAAATTTTGCAAATTTTGACAATATTTGAAATGAGAACGTTTTTAGGATCGTTGTGATAATTAAGATCTGATCGCAGCGTCTTAATCTACGGACTATTCTCTATTAGATAGGATCGTTAAAAAGGAAATCTGAGAGATGAAATTGTCATTCTTAAGAAAAAATTGCCAAGGGGGGGTGCTTGATACTTTTTTTGCTTGATAAATTTTATCGTCGATTTTCGATACTTAATATCTTTTGAACTAAAAGCGATAGCAACCTACGAATTGTTGATTATGAAAGATTGAAAATTCTCTATAAGATAAAAATATAAAATCCTTATATTTCCTAGAGTAAAAGGTCGAAAAACGCGACTAAAAGTGCTAAAAAGTGACATTTTGCAATTTTTGCCCATTTTATTAAATCGCGAATATCTCGTAAACTAACAGAGATAAATAGGATCTGATTGCAGCGTCTTAATCTACGGACTATTCTCTATAAGATAGGAAACAAAACATTAGTTACACAATTTCGGACAATGAGTTCAGGCGAAACCCTAAGTTTACCATAAATTTCGTCTTGTTCTCCATAAATATTTAAATTAGTATTCGTACCAGGTAACACATTAATCCAACAAGTTGTACAGAAGTCAAAAATGGTTCGCACAAGTGCAAAATATTATTTATAATCAATTACATACGCGATAAATATTTACCGATAGACCAAACACTACAATTGACACAAAATTCAATTAAATATAACGCGATATACCGAATTTACAACGAGAAACACGAATACTCGACGGAGTATTCTTATCTGCCGCACAAAGTAATAACTACGTGCCGGCATCACAACTGTGCATGTCGACTTTCACTCGCAGAAATATTTTTAGTTAAAACATGCAGCGTTGCGCTACCTGAGAATACTTTATTATACCTCCAGAAAATACAAAGCGTTTCAAAAAGTGTGGCGTACATATGAGGCAGTGAGCGATTGCCTATGTATCAGTGAGTGGTCACGCATTTAAGTGGCCGTGTCCGTGTATCACACGTACACGAGAGTGTACATGCACCACTCTATATAAACAAATGTTTACACCTAACTCGTAACTTCAAATATAAAAGTCAATAGGATATACTTATTCAAAATAAATTAATCTAATTATATTATATATATTATATAATTATTATTATATTATTAATTGATAGTTTTTATCGACGATTTTCGACAGCGAATATTTTCTAAACTAAAAGAGATAGCAACCCGAAAATTGTTGATTACGGAAGATTGTAAAATTCTCTATCAGATGGAAATAGTTAAATAAATAAAATAATTTAATTTAATGGGGCAAGAGCAATGGAGCAAATTTTGACGATTTATTTCATTTGCGAATATCCGGTAAACTAAAAGATATAGAAAGGGACGAATCGCAGAGAAATCTAGGAAATGAAATTTTAATTCATAAGAAAAAATGGGCACTTGGGGGTGTTGCGACACGTTCCGAAACCGTGTTGAAAAGAGCTAAAAATTGGACATTTTCATTTTCTCTTATTTTAATATCTATTATATCGGAAACTACGCGGTAGAGAGGTGCGGATTGAAAATTAATAATCTACTGAAAATTCTCTATAAGACAAAATATTAAAAGTGCATGCTATACCTCAGCGAAGCAAACACGGCCGCGACAGTTCATGATAAGACTACCTGCTGCCCGAACGCGCAAAGCCGGCGCAAGGATGGCACGCGACGATTGCCCGCGATTTTGTGCGTGAATTGCATTTGGCACAATACATGCGATCTAAACTAAACTAGAAGACCAGCAGAGCGAGGCGTGAAAGTATGGCAACGACAACACACGGCAATCTTGAACGTAGCGATTCGCACGACGATAAGAAAGTGTAAATCGGGTTCAAAACAAACACAATTCTCCTGTCGAATGCTCACGTTTGCTGATATAACATATAGAAATGAACAAAACAAGTCTATGATTTTTAGTTCATGCTAAGGCTATCTATAAATGATACATGTACCAGTCCCATAATTTTAATTAAGTATTAAAATAATGATAAATTAAAATTAGATTTATGTAATTTTAAATTCTTATGATGAAATATTATCCGTTTTATACATTAAATATTTAAGCGATATATAAATGTTATTAAGATGAGATGATGAGGAATATGTCTTATTGAATCATCACCAAATAAAATTCAACAACATTGCAATATAATTAAGTGTAGAACTAAACTGAAATCTAAGTACACGGCAAACAGTTTCTATATCTAATGAAATTATTTTACTTACCGGTTATGAAAGAAGGTATGTAGATCGACGGCAAGTTGGCGAATGCTGAAATAAATGAGAAACAACACATTAGCTACAGCATTTCGTGCTATGTTGAAATGAATCTGCGTTCCGTCGGAACTCAAACTTTGAATTAAAATTCTTGTTATTCGCATAATAATCATAACAATGACAATATTTACCTAGTAGCACATTGATCCATGCTCCTCTGTTGATGACAAATATATTTTTCATAAATCAATTAGTTATTAGCGTTCATAGCTGTGATATTTCCATCGAACACGTGAATACATTAAACACGCAAAATCTACAATTACGAAGATTACACACGCGATAAATAGCTGATATAAGATCAAACACGTTTATTAACACTAATTATCACCGGCAATCAGGAAATATAACACGATTTACGGAACTTGCATCAAAGAATAACACAAGTCGAAAGTGTGGAATGTGCACTCGCCGTTATCGCACCGATTGAACAAAACAAAATTCTCTCGCTGGAATATTTCGAGGTAAACCTACGAGTACATCGTTACGCCATCTGAGAACAGTTTAGAGTACCTCGCAAAACAACAAAGTGTTTCAAACAGTGTGGCGCGCATGTGTGTCAGTGCAAAATTGTCTATGAGGCAGTGAGTGGTCACGCACTTAAATAGCAGCGTACGTGAGAGACACGTACACGAAAGTGCGCATGCATCACCCTGTCTAAATAACTAGCAAATTTACGCAAAAATTCAATAAGTCAAATCTTGATGACGCATGATTTTCAAATTTAATCTATCAAATAACAAGCACAAATCACAGACTGTTAGGTCTTTAAAACAACATGACGACAATGATGACAACACACAAATCAAGTTTAAATAGATTTATTGTAATTACGATAGTCTTAATAGTCTTTGTCCATAGTTAAGGCACACAAACTTTCATTAATTTTCATCAATTTTCAATAGTGAATATCTTCTAAACTAAAAGAGATAGCAACTAGAAAATGGTAGATTGTGAAAAATAGGAAAATTCTCTGTAAAATGAAAATATAGAATAATTAAAGTTCATGGGCTAAACGGTTCAAAAACGATTATGTTAATGAATACGAGTCACTTCTACCGCAACCCCTATACGGTGCCCTGAATACAAGTCACTTCTACCGCTACCTTCGTACAGTGCCCTAAACACAAGTCACTTCTACCGTCACCCCCTACGGTGCTCTGAACTCGAGTCACTTTTACCGCTACCCTCATATGGTGCCCTGAATCGAGTCACTTCTACCGCTACCCTCGTACGGCGCCCTAAAGACGAGTCACTTCTACCGTCACCCCAACGGTGCCCTGAAGACGAATCACTTTTACCGCTAGCCTCGTACGGTGCAAAATTTCCTATATATACATATATATCTATACTAGCTGCCCTGCCGAACTTCGTCCCGACTTTTCTTTCCTGAATATTTTCGAAATTCCTGAAAGACTTTTTAGCTATATGTGCCACATCCATTATTATTATAACTCACAGTTTCTATTTCAAAATTAGACAAATTCATTTTTATAATTATTGTCACAAAATGACTTTCAAAAATTCAAATATACAGGGTTAATTATCGAAATTATCGAAAACAAAATTTAATCAAACGTCAAAATGAATCTCCTTATTTATTTTGTTGTTAGTTCAATTGTACGCGCAGTTGCTTCAGCGTACAAGGACACCAAGTCTACCAATCGCACTTACTGATACCGTTGTTGGTACGTGCAAGGTAATTCGATGCACTCACAGGCACACATACACTAACATGCTCTGCGAAATCACCTGATCTATTTTAACGCAAATAACGCATGCTAGAGTCATCTCGGAACTATAAAATATAATTGAAGATGTTACGTTTGTGAGTGTGCATGTGTACCAATGCTTAGCTCGTATGAGTATGATGCAGGACTCTGATAATTGAACATTTTACATTTACGAATTACTGATTTGTAATTATTATTGATATGTGATATTATAATATTACGACCAAATAAATAAAATATTATCTAATTTTAAATATGAATTACGTATTCAAAAACAAAAACAAATTACTTTCTTGTTATTGTACTCGTATTCCAAAGTTAAAAAGTTGAAAATTTGAGCTATGTAATGCTTTTATGTTATCAAAAAGAACAAAATTTCCCGGATTTTAATTAAAATATTTAATTTGTAGTCTCATATAAAAATTCTAGAAAGTCAAAATTTACAATGATACTATGAAAACTGCAACTGTGATATGTTAATTCATTTTATGTACACTTTAAAGAAAAATAATTTTTATTAAAAACTTACCAGTGTGTATCCGCCGTGAACTATCCGACGGCAACTGACTCAGGAACACACACTTGAACACTATAATTTGTTTTCCAAACACTGCACACCTGACAGATCATTAGCAAATCACAAGATTTTTCTGTTGTTACAAAATGCGATCGATATTTAATCGATTGAAACGAAATTTACCACATTTAACTCTCAATTAACGCGTGATGCGTGAGTTCCGTGTTCCGACCAACTGACAACATGTTTACTCAACTAATGTTCTCTCGACTATTTTAGTGCATCCTAGCGCCATCTATGTACAAGTAACTGAACTAATGTCGATAACACAGGAATAAACATAACACTGCTACTAGGTTGTCAAACTTCAAAACTGCTGTTTTTAGTTTCACGTTTTCTAACTTCTCGAAATTTATTTAAATGATACAAATTAAATTTTCTCTTAATTTTAATTTGCAATTTTCAGAGTAAACTTCGAATCGCACCCTTCTGACATCTTCACGAATAATTAATGCAAAATGTTGAGGTTTTTAATGTTTTATTTTCTTAATATTTAGAAAAATCAAATTAAGCCATAACAGCATACTTCCTTGGTGGGAAAATGGACCTCTTTCGAATTTCCTTTGGCGTCTGCATTTTTTGCTGGTGCTTGTTCAATGCACGACGGATAGCGCGAGTCTTCTTAACTCTGAGGTCCAATGGCTTGTATTTCTTGTCTTTGAAGAGTTTGCGCAAATTTTCCTTTTGCTTTTGGTGCATAACAATGTACACACGGGCAATTGCTTTGCGCACAACACGGCTAAATTAAAAAATTAAAATTAATATCATATTGTTCATGTTTTAAGACATGTAACACCTACATCTTAGACAATTTTGATGGGGCACCTCCAGTCACCTTAGAAACCCTAAGTTGGGACAATTCTGTCTTAAGATCATTGAGCTGCTTGTCCAGCTCCTTCTTGTCCTTCGTACGCAACTCGGAGCACTTGACTTTGCCCTAAAATCAAAGAGAAAAACATACTCAACATCAAATAACAACAGTATCGTAAACACACATATACATAACCTTAACAAGTGCATTTTCATCATTTTCTAAATAAATACGAAATTATCCGTAAAACTATTAATAAAACAAAACACCGGTGTATATCCGAATTTGATTGTGAGTGGTTTCATTAATCGATGGTTACACATAATTAAGATTTACATGGAATTTGATAACATACCATTTTGACTCGTTGAACTGAACGTCAGAAAGAATTGCTCCGCATCTAGTTACTTACCAAATCGAAATTTAGTTATTTAGTTACTCGGTATGCGCATGCGTCTCCCTCCAGGCATAGGACGAATCATCGTACGAGTGGAACAGATGATTGAATTTAAATTTCAATTTTTTGTAGGCACATATTTTTAGAATATTCATATTGAGGCGTTTCTAATCGCTCAGCTGAGTTAATTCCACATGTTGATTTATCATTATAAGAAATCTGAAGGTTATGATTTGATTAATCTTTTATTTCCATTATAATAATTGTGCGTAAAAAATATTCGCACGCGTAAGTTGTTTTTTGTTATTTTTATCATATCACATCATAAGCGATAAAATTGCTTTGTTGCAAATATAAAAATAAATTCGCGCAATCATTCATAATTTAAACATTAAGTTTCAAAACGTGAGTCGCAATAGATTAATACGCAAATTATTTACGATAAAATATTTCAAGAATTTAATTTCGAAAGTTTACTTTATTTCAAGTAGCGCGCTTATCATCAACGAGGCTTTATTGACTTTAATTATTTTCTCTAATTATCTATATTATAGTGATTATAGCTATCAAAACGTGATTGGTTGAACAAATTAGCATTGTATTCAAGTAACGTTCAACCTTCAGTGATTTCTTATCACTACATCTCATCAATTCAGATATATAAACAACTAAAAGTAATTTTTATGCTCAGTGGTTTAATCTAAATTTATAACTACCCAACAGTGGCATACACGATGTCTACGTCTAATGTGAAACGCATTATTTTCGACTGCGATCTTGGAACGGATGATGCCGTCGCCCTGTATCTGCTTCTCTTGGCCGAGAGGGAAGGAAAAGTGAAGATAGAAATGATTGTCTGCTCCAGAGGTAATGCCAGTTTGTATCATGTGAGCAGAAATGTTGTGCGCATGTTGGAATATGCGAATAGAACTGATGTAAGTATTCTTAATACTCTGTAATCAATTTATAACTTTGATATTTATACAATAGATTCCAATCTACAAAGGATCTCATGAGGTCCTGCTTCCGAGAACGGAAGAAGATGAATTCTATCATGGCGTCGATGGTTTCGGCGATTTAGTATATGACACAGAGCCGGATACTTCAATAATTCGGCCGGAACCAGCGTTTGTAGCAATGAGAGACTTGATAATAAATAATCCGAATGAAATCACTCTGATGGTGGTTGGACCAATGACGAATTGTGCCATTTTGTTGCGTATGTATGAAGATGTCGCTGATAAGATAAAAGATATTCATATCATGGGAGGCAATCACAACGGTAAAAATATATAATAACAAATACTTATTATTAGATTTTATGAAAACTCTGTTTAGGTGTTGGAAATGTTTCACCAGCAGCCGAATTTAATTTCCACATGGATCCGGAAGCGGCGCACATTACATTCGGCAGTGCCAAATGTCCGATGCATTTATTAACATGGGAATGTTGCTTTAACACTAAAACTCCAATGGTAAACTAAATAATTTTACTTGTTGTGATTGGTTTTATTATTGTTGAAATTTTTGAAGGCTTGGCGAATGAAAACACTGGGAACTTCCGCCGGTGGAAAAACATGGCAGCTTATTCATCGCGGAGAAGCTGCCATTTATAAAAACCCCAGGGAGAATTGGTTTCCGTGTGACGCTTACTTAGTTGCTGCACTTTTATATCCAGAAATAATTCTCGATCAGACTATGGCACACGTTGATGTAGAACTTGCCGGGAAATTGACACGAGGCCAGGTTGCCATTGATCATCTGCATAAAAAGAAACCCAATGTCAATATTATCAAAGAAATTGATTATAAATTGTTTGAGAAACTGATCACTGATGCCCATACACAATTGTAAGTTGAAGTAAAAGTTGAAGTATTGGCAATACTATTAAATTTGTAAGAATATAATAAAATATCTTTTTGCGCAAAAAAAAATTAATACTCAATACAAACAGAAGAAAAAACTCAAGCTACAAATTGTTTCCATGGTAACGATGGGTAAGTATGGTTGTCTAAAAATGTTTTTATACATCCTATAATTTCTAAATGATGTTATGAGTTATCACCGAATGCTTTTCAAGGTCTTAAATAAGTTATATAATAATCATACATTCAAATGCTATTTCCAGTTAACAGAAATTTTAATTTCTTTAATTATACATCATCAAGTGCACACTAGTCTTATCTAGTGATTGAGTATGTTGACTCTACTTATGACTATAAAAAAATTCTAGGTGAAGTGAAGGTGCCATTTTCGGTGATAAGATTTTAAACCAAAGTGTTTTTGAAGGTGTTACTGGTATAACTAATATAAAGTATCTCATACCTTAAATCTAAAATGTCTGCTTCCACCGATGTGAAGCGCATTATCTTCGACTGTGATCTTGGAACAGACGATGCAGTTGCTCTGTATTTACTTCTCTTGGCCGAGAGGGAAGGCAAAGTGAAGATAGAAATGATCATTTGCTCAAGAGGAAACGCCAGGCAGTATCATGTGTGCAGAAATGTAGTTCGAATGTTGGAATACGCAAATAGAACTGATGTAAGAACAAAACTAATATACTTTTGCGATTGTTTTTAAAAACGTGTTTAGATTCCTATTTATCGAGGATCTTATGATGTTTTACTTCCGAGTACATTCGAAGACCAAAACTATCACGGCGTCGATGGTTTTGCTGACTTAACATATGATGAAGAACCGGATACTTCTATAATACGCTCAGAGTCAGCATTTGTCGCCATGAGAGACTTAATTGTTAACAATCCACATGAAATTACAATGATTGTAGTTGGACCCATGACAAACTGTGCAATTTTATTACGTATGTACGAAGATGTCGCTGAAAATATTAAAGATATACGTATTATGGGTGGCAATCATCACGGTAAAATAAATTTTATAAAAATTATGCACCCCAAACCATAAAATTAATTTTTTCTAAATTAGGAGTTGGAAATGTTGTACAAGCAGCCGAATTCAATTTCCACATGGATCCGGAAGCTGCCCACATTGTTCTTGCCAGTGCAAAGTGTCCCATGCATTTGTTAACGTGGGAATGTTGTAATATTAATGCCAAAACACCCATGGTAATATATTTTACACTCAAAATTTCAAAAAAAAGATTATGAATTTCATTTAAGTCTTGGCGATTAAAAGAACTTGGTACTGCAGCTGCTGGAAAAACATGGCAGCTCATTCATCGAGCCGAATCAAAGATTTACAGTAAACCAAAGGAGCATTGGCATCCTTGTGACGCTTATCTGGTTGCCACTCTTCTGTATCCAGAGATAATCGTCGATCAAAGCATGGAACACGTGGATGTTGAGCTTGCTGGAAGATTAACGCGAGGACAAGTTGCTATTGATCATATGCACAAAAAGAAGCCTAATGTTAATCTTATAAAAGAAATCGATTATAAATTCTTTGAGAAAATCATAATGGCTGCCCATACGCAACTATAAACACGTCTAAGTATTCACACTTTTACTTGTTTGAACATTTACAACAAGAAAAATAATAAGATAATAACATTATTGCCAAAAGTAAATTAATCATACCTGTAAATACAATTTTCAACTATGGTACATAATACGTTTGTTGAGTCGGTCTTCTTGTGTAAATTTATTTGATTTCGCTTAAAAACGTGGCTACGTCGTAGTTGACGAGCGATAACTTATTATTATTATTATGCTCCGTCAATCACTTGTCTGTTTTCGCCTGTAAAAACAAAATTAAGTTTAGGTAAATTGCGGATACAAGACAAATTTATTGGCATGCAAAATCTTTGAAATCTTATCCCAGGCTTGCGTATGCAAACAGACAACAAAGTGATGGTGAAAGCTTTGATGGGTTAGGATTATTTTCCGGATTTTGCGGCTTTCGGTGGGCAGCAGGGTCCACAAGCGCAGTCGCCATTGTTAGCATGAAGGTTGGGAGATGGAAGGTCTTCAGGACGGGGGCAATTGGGCGGAGGATAAGGAAGCTCTTCGGGACAATCATCTTTGCTTCTTGCATGCATGCAGGAGCCATGGTGGCATGGGCAAGTCTCGTCACCCTCGTAATATTCAATATTGCGCTGTTGCGCTTCCGCGGGTGACACGTCTTCGCCAGCTTCTACCCGTTTGCGTAGCCCTTCCGCGCGCACAACTCTCTGATAACCACCTGAGCTTTTCTGATTATCGAGCCATTTGCATGGATCATCGGCACTAACCTTTTTCGGATCGCTGGCTTCAGCTGACAGCTTTTGTGATTTATCTGTAAGTGAAGCAGATGTTGAGGATACAAATTCGGACACCACTGACATGACCTCGGATACGCTGCCTGGTAATTTAGGTAAAGTTGGAAGTTCTAGTGGTTTGTCACCTTTTTTGACTGCATAATTTTGAAAAATTCATTTGAGATGCACACAGAAATCAATTTATATTATTGTAAAGTTTATCTTACCACCATAAGCAAAATTGTATGCAATTGTTGCATATCTATGACCTTCATCAAGAGCCAAACCTCCATATTCTCTGGCTTCCTTTGGATAGCACACAGCTGCCATGCCCAGTGCACCAACACTGGTATAAATCACTTTCTTGAAGAAACCTCCTCTTAGACCAAAGATGAAACCAGTCAGACCACCAATTGCAATTGCAGGTGCTTTGGGTGCTTGATTTTCTTCATCACCCAAATAATCAACCAACCCTTAATATTAAACCAAAAACAAGTTAAATTACTACAGAGTAAAGTCATTCGGTGACCAATACTTACATTGTGCATTATCAACACCTTCCTGCAAGTGGCCCCTGGTCATATCTTCATATTTTTTGACTTCATTAAAGACACTGTCAATATTCAATCGGATGGTTCTGATAGTCTCCTCAATAACGCCGGATTTTTCCACATGATGTTTTGTTTTGGGTGCACACTCTGTAGGTAACTTATCTTGAGTGTACAACGGTAATTCCGTGCGTTTACAGCACTTCAGGTCTGTTTCAGGGGCTATTACAGCTGCTGAGAACAGAATTCTAGATATTGCCTAAAAAATGAAGTACACATCTTTAGTATATCAATATTTAGAAACAATGGTTTATGTCAATTACGCGTGCACTCATGGTGGGTCTTTGCAGTGTCAGATGAGGGAGATTTCGACAAGAAATTAACAAATACAGGACAATATTACATAAATAGTGACGTTTTAAATGAGAGGTTAAACTAATCGATATCAACGTACTGTCAACGCGTTTGAAATCACGATGACCATGAAAATGTTTGAAATTTTGATCAAAATAACTCACTAAATAAGAATATTTAAGTTGAATTCATTTCTTTTGCGATTATAAGATATATGAGATGAATAATCATAGATTATGTATAAATATAGAGAATAATTATGATAAATAAATACAAACCGAAATGAATGAGCGCACCATTCTATGAAACAGATAAAAAATCCACAATAAATAAACTATATCAAATTTGGCATAATTTGAAACGTCGTTGTGACAGTATAAAACAAAATAATTAAATAATGCCCAGCAACAATTCCTTTAAAAGAATATTTCTCATACAAATCACAAAATCAACTCAAATTTCTCAAAAAAGAAAATGTATTTGTTTGCTTTTGAATAAAATAAAGTAAAATATATTCTTGAGTTTATTTATGTATTACTTGATTGCAAATAAATCACCCACTCAATTCCTGAATATGCTTCATCAGCACAAGTTACCGACAACTTTCCGCTTGTAAAGGACGCGGGCACTTCTTTCGAATCATCGCGTTTATCACAACTTATATTGATACGAGTCGTCGATCTTGCTTTTATAAACTCCGAATTTGATTGCAGAATAAAATCGGTTCCAGTAACCGCGTACAAAAAAGTCATACCAGTGGTGAACGGGTTTTTGAACGTAATGTTTGTCTGGAAGTTTGGTTTGACTTTGAAAGGACCTTGAGGTTTTGGGGGCAAACCAATGCCATAAAGAGGAAATCTAAAAGAAATAATAATTAAATTACTTAAAAAGAATATAATTTGAATTATATTTACATGTATATTCCTAATGTGGGTGAAGTAAGTGTTAATTTCGAATGAACTCCACCGAGATCACTTGGATCGAAACAAATTTCGATTGGCCCCCTTTCATTTGGTTTGATAATCGCAACCTTCTCCACTGTAAACTCAGAATTATCCAACTGAAACAATAAATTTAATAAAAATTATAAATAAAAAATTATTAATTAATCTTACTGTAGCTGTAACTTCTGCATTAGTTTTGGACCAGTTGAAAACATAAGCATTGTGAACATTTTGTTGTCCCAGATGACATTTAATTGTAATCAACGGTTCAGGTTCAGCCGTAGGTGCAGAAAGAATAAAACTGTAAGGGAATGTGCCTAAATTTGGCGAGACTGCTTCAAAAGTTGTGCTGAATTCAGACGTTGGTTGTAATGGTCTGTATTCAATCAATATTTCAATCTAAAACATTACAAAATGTAGGAAATGTTTTTATTTTAACGTAAAACTTGCTTCTGTATATCCTGGAACTGTTGCTTCTTTAGGAAAATGTAAATCAGCACATTGACTACTCATTTTGTACGTGGTAGGCTCCCCGAGAGGATTTTCCAGTCTCATTTTGTATTCAGCTGAACTTCTTGCGCATGCGTTCAGTGTAATGGTATCCAAAACAGAACATTTCACCACTGTTAACTTTAATTCATAACAAATGTATTCTTTAGTGGTTTCATTGCGAAATTTAACACTAAAGTTTAGTTTTCCTTCATTTAGTGTGTAGATTATCCATTTGTATGTTTTTGTTGAACAAGGTGGAACGTCAACAATGGTGGTACCAGTTAATTTATACAAAACCTTTTTGGGACCTTCAGGTTGATCAGTTTGATTGATTACAGTAAATTGCTGTGTAACTTTCAACCAGTTTAAAAGATCTAATTCAATTACGTTGTACGTTTTAGATGGAATAGATTTTTCGATTATTTGTGTTGTTTTTGGACGTTTTGATTCACCTAAAAGCCCATAGAGCATTCCTTGACCTTCTGGTAAAGGTAAAAATATGTTTCCCTGAAATTAACATTCAGAAAATTAAAAAAGAAAATGAAAAAAAAATTTAAATAATTAAAAGTACTTCGTGATATTTATTTCCTTGTGTCATCGCTAATGGTTGATATGTCACTTCCACAACAGAAGAAGACTTTGCTTCAACTACAATAAGATCATCTATATGGAAAAACTCTCCACTTAAAATTGGTTTTATAACCCATGCTTCAGGAGTTCTAAAATATATTTATAAAACAATTAAATAAAAACTAATTATCTAATTGGATTTTAACATACGAATTTTTCAATGTGAACTTTTTCGTATAAGTCTCACGAACTGGTCCAGAAAATTTCAAAGTATCTTTAGGACTCGGTAGGTTAATACAACTTCCGCATAGTTCCAAATCAAACACAGTTTTATAATTATCGATAGTTAACTTGGCCCAACTTGTGCAGTTGCACTGTACAAATGACGGATGAAAACTAACTTCGAAATTTGTGCAACTTCCAGGGAAGAATAACCTTCTACAGGTTGAATTGTAAATACTTCACTGCGAGCGCTTTTCCAACTCCATTTAAATCTATTATAATTATAATCAAAAAGTGTTTGTTTATTTTAGTTTTTTTTATTATTTTTTACCTGCCGCCCACATCACCGGAATTAATCAATTTCGTATAATATTTGTTTGATGAACCAATAATAAGCGTTCCGAATGATATTTTACTCTTGAGTAAACTATATTCAGGCGCAATGCAGGATGCTTTTAGTACGCAGAGTGGAAATACTGTATCTTCTACTTGACAATAAACTTGCTCTTGAAACGCTGGCATTCTTTCGGTGGGCATGTATGTTATCTTAAATTCAGTGCTGTTTTGCGGTTGGAGTTTAATCCACTTTGAAGGACGAATGCGTATTGAAGAGTCTATCAAACGATGTTGTTTTTCTTCCTGTGTTTCCATACTCTCCCTAGAAATTAGATTATCAAAGAAAATATAATCAAAAATGCAAAACAATTTCAAAAAATTAAAAATTAAACAAAATTTCATTAATAAACTGAAAATTAAATAAAAACACTAATTATTTACGTTTGTATTAATTCAACACTCTTCTTCTGTTTGTTAATCGTCTCTTTTTTAGCTTTTTTATTATCTTTCTTCTTTACACTCTCATTACTTTTACTACTTTTCATAGTTTTATTATGTTTGCCATCCTTTGATGATTTACTTTTCTTTGAGATTATAGTACCATCATTAGATTTTCTATTCTCAGTTTTATTCTTATTTGCAGCAGGTTTCTTCCTAAAGTGTATTAATTAAAAAAATATTATATTACTCAAAAAAGAATTACTTTTTGATCGACATATCCGACGGTTTCATTTCAGGCTGTTCGAAATCAGGCGTCAAGTATCTTACAGTTTTCATAAATATAGGTAATCGATGATACAAATCAAAATAAATGCTCACTGTGCATTTAGTCTTGTTTATAATTTGTACTCCTTTCTTATTGTGTTTTCCAAGTGGCACCGCACCAAAATTCAAGAATTTATCACAGATATTACATAACTCCACTTCCATTGAAACTCCTTCGCCGTGTAAAGTAATCGGATACTTTTTATCGTTGACTAAAATGTTTATTTTCGTCGTGTATTTTGCTATTTCTTTCGGATGAAAATAAAACAAGATTTTAATCGTTTGTTTGGGACTTATAATGGTATCTTTGGTGCAGATTGTTAAATGATCGTAATTTTGTGACTCAATTTGCACTCTGAAATGTAAAAAAACATTAATTTCTTGAAAAATTAAAAAAAAAGAAAAATAAATACATGTAGATAATGCTATCGTTATTGCTCAACTCCAAAGTCCATACATTGCTAAAAGTATTGTGTTTCTGTGCTAAACAAGCGCCAAAATCATGCATTGTGTCAGAAAACTTCAAACGAGTTTTACACGTCGTACACACTAATGTAATAGGAATAGTTGGACCATAAGAAATCTAAAAATCAATATTTTTATATTTTTCAAAAAATTTGTTAGCTTTCTTACGTTTAATTCAAGTTTGATATTTTTCTTGCTAAGAAACTTCACTGCGGTGATCGAGATAACACTCTGAACTTCACAGTTAGTTTTAATATATCCTTCTTTAGGTTCAATGCTCACGGTAGCGAAATCTTCCAAAAATTTATCTGTTAAATCCCATTTGTAATAAAAACCAACTCTACCAACATTTCCAATAATAAACGTTGACATTTCTGGATGTTTCTGCACCAACTATATGAAAAAAAAACAATAAAAATTAAAAATAAAGCAAAAAAATATATTTTTTTAAAAACCTACCACCATCTGAATAACATTCTCCACATCAATCAACAAATCAACACTGGAATATTCTTTGATGTGTTTTAAAGTTGGTTCAATATTATAACAAGTTGTAGTTATAGCAAGCACCAGAGGATTTTGCATTCTTTCGATATTAAACTCAACGTTAAACGTGAATTGTCCAACTTTCGTAGGTCGAAACACAACGTTAATATCCGTATCACTTTTCGCATGTAAAAGACCATGAGTTGGTTCGATGCTTATTTTATGCACGCGCCCTTCACTATATAACGAAGACTTAATAATTCGGTAAGTGAGTGGAATATCTTCGGTGTTTTTCAAAACGACTGTATCATGAACATCGATTCCTATGACTGTGGGTTTAAGTACTTTACCGGTGCCAATGAAATACACACATGGTTGATGCGCATGTCCAACGAGTAAAAACATAACTTTTAAGTTATACTGCATGATTGTGAAGTAGTAAAACATTTCGAAAGTTCCCGCTTTCTCAGCGATGAACGTGAAAGATGCTTCGGCTGTTCGTCCTTTTAACACTGTTCCTTCAGGGTTATCACATTGGAAATGTGCAATGTTTCGTTCTTTTATGCATTTCTCCCATCGATATGAGAACTTTTCACCAGTTGGGTTAATTATAGAGAAATTACTATAAGAAAAAATATAATTTTAACATAAAAATAATTAAAAAATTAAAAAAATTACTTTTTCACTGGAATACCAAATCCTATCACATTAAACTCCAAAACTTTTGTATTTTCCTCAAGGCCCATTTCACAGTTTACTCTGGTACCACGCCGTGCTGATAAATAATCACTCTGTTCGATCCGGAAGTGATATAAAGGTAGAACACTCGTAGCGTAAACTTTTAATGAAATTGGTTGTACATCCGGATGGAGATTTGGCACAGCACTGCTTACATCAAACAAGTAATCCAAGGGTGTGAATGGTGCAAATTTGAATGTGAATGTACAACTGGTTTTTGGAGCTATACACTCGTGTGATGGATGGATTGTGAGCGGAATCGGATCGGAATCACAATATGAATGTACCGAACTCATAACAGATAGAAATGACGTACTGAAGAGACTATTTCTTGATACAGCAGATTTCGGGCGTGTAAACTTTAGAAATTGTTCTGTAATTAACAAAATAATTAATATTACTATAATATTTTTATCAAAAATAAAGTTTTTCTACTTCCACGGTATAAAGACACGAAAAATGGCTTTTTAATCACGGACGGCCAAAGCCGTGATTAAAGTTGCTTATTATTAAAGATTGGAAAATTCTCTATCAGATAAGAATATAAAACAATTATATTTCCTACAGTAAAAGATCGAAAAACGCGACTAAAAGTGCTAAAAAGTGACATTTTGCAATTTTTGTCCATTTTATTCAATCGCGAATATCTCGTAAACTAAAAGAGATAAATAAGATCTGATCGCAGCGTCTTAGTCTACGGACTATTCTCTATCTGATAGGATAGTTAAAACGGAAATCTGAGAGATGAAATTTTAATTCTTAAGAAAAAATTGCCAAGGGGGGGTGCTTGATACTTTTTTTCGACGATTTTCAAAAATTCATATCTCTTAAACTAAAAGAGATAGCTACCAACGAATTGTTGATTATGAAAGATTGGAAAATTCTCTATCAGATAAAAATATAAAATAATTATATTTCCTACAGTAAAAGGTCGAAAAACGCGACTAAAAGTGCTAAAAAGTGACATTTTGCAATTTTTGTCCATTTTATTCAATCGCAAATATCTCGTAAACTAAAAGAGATAAATAAGATCTGATCGCAGCGTCTTAATCTACGGACTATTCTCTATCTGATAGGATAGTTAAAACGGAAATCTGAGAGATAAAATTTTAATTCTTAAGAAAAAATTGCCAAGGGGGGGTGCTTGATACTTTTTTTCGACGATTTTCAAAAATTCATATCTCTTAAACTAAAAGAGATAGCTACCAACGAATTGTTGATTATGAAAGATTGTAAAATTCTCAATCAGATAAAAATATAAAATAATTATATTTCCTACAGTAAAAGGTCGAAAAACGCGACTAAAAGTGCTAAAAAGTGACATTTATCGATTTTTGCCCATTTTATTCAATCGCGAATATCTCGTAAACTAAAAGAGATAAATAGGATCTGATCGCAGCGTCTTAATCTACGGATTTTTCTCTATCAGATAGGATAGTTAAAATGGAAATCTGAGGGATGAAATTTTAAGTCTTAGGAAAAAATTGCCAAGGGGGGGTGCTTGATACTTTTTTCCAACGATTTTCAAATATTCATATCTCTTAAACTAAAAGAGATGGCTACCAACGAATTGTTGATTATGAAAGATTGGAAAATTCTCTATCAGATAAAAATATAAAATAATTAAATATCGATGGGTGAAAAGGCAAAAAAAAAATGACTAAAAGTGCTATAAATTGAAATTTTGCAAATTTTGACAATATTTGAAATGAGAACGTTTTTAGAATCGTTGTGACTTCAAAATTAATGAAGCGGCACTAAAAAAGGACAAACATATTCGTTTATATGGTTTTGCCTGCGAGAGAATAAGAGAACACAAATATACTTGATACTTAATATACAGTTACAAACCATTTCCTGTTAAATGCTGGGATGTTTTTCCAAAATTACAAGTTTGTGGCCGCTTTGGAGGCTCCGTCACACATCCCGCACTATTGTAATTAAATGTATCTTTGTCACTTCGCTTCGGATATTGCGAGATACCTATTATCCAATCAACTTGCAGTGATACAAGTGATGTATTCTTGACTATCACATCAATTTCACTAGTCTACAATCAAAAATATTAGTATAATTTAATTAATATTTAACTATTTTTTAATTTACTTCAAACATAGTAGTAGTAGGAAATTTAATCTCTGTTTCTGAGATTGAATAAGTGCAATAATCCACGATAACGTTAAGCATGAGACGTATTGCAAGTGAAATGTCCGAAATCTCTTCATAATCAGGTTCCTCTTTCTTTCTGATCATTTTTGTACTCATAAAAGAATGTGTGCTGGAAATAGCTAATCGATTGTCTATGGTATCGTCCTCTGGGACCCAGATTGTACATTGTTGTCTTTCATCCCATGCGAGATCATCTAATTCTTCATTAAAGTATCTTATTTTTGTTAGTTTGCATAATTGGATTTTCTGTAATCATAAAAATTTAAATTTATTTTGTTAGAAGATATTTGTAATTAATTCTTACATTTTCGAATATAATCGGCTCCATACTATAGAAGATAACAATAATGTCTTTTGAACTTAGAGGTTTTAAATGTCCAATCGTCGGGATAAAGTTTAAATTATCGGTTGGTGTAAATACAAATTTGTAAGTATCTTCACTTGATATGTTCTTGAGTTTTATATACTTTTTGCATGGTTTGTTGATGTGTGCACAATCGAAATTTAAGTTGTAACATAATAATGTAGGAGCATAAGCGGAACTTTCTTTATCTTTCATAGATTTTGATGTTTTTGGAGCAAAATCAGATGCTAGAAATGATTCTAATGATTCAATAATAACATCTTCTTTGTATCCTTGCCCAGTGACATGAATCTAAATAAATTTTTATAAATTATTATAAATTAATACATTAAAAATTATTTAGATAAATAATAATTTTACCTTGAAACAATCATAAGGATTATGTGAAATAAATATTTTTATAAATATATCAATTTTTTCTTCGGCTTTAGGCGTGTAAAACACTTGCACATCAACTGTTTGTTGAGCTTTTATTAAAACCAGCGCTGTACTTTTAAATGCTTCTTCAAAATCTACAAATTATTTAATGATTATATTTTTATGTTATATTTGTGGGTTAATTAAATAATAAATACCGTTTGGATCAGAAACTTTTGGAAATGTTTGACAATCCGTAGGTTTCAAGATTATATTCATAAATGGATCGTCAATAACCCCATTATGATTTTTGAATCTAAAGGACCTGGATTATATAATGTGATATTTTTTGTTGCTGTGGAGTCAAGTGATACTATTTTAAAATCAAGTTCGTATGTGTTAATAGAAGACATTGTAGATGGACTGACAACTTCTATAATTGGTAATGCTCCTTCACCGTAAAAACTAAAGTTTAGTTTGTTAGTAGATTGTTGGACGGTAAAATTTATACTGCCTTCATATTTCTGAAATATAAAATGTTTACATTTAAAAAATTACATATAATAACAACATTTTATAATAAAAACATGAAACTCGATATTGATATTCAATTTTGATTTAATTTTAAATATTTTGAATGATGATGGTGATGAAATAGGAAAATTTACTATTAATATACTTACTTCTAAAGCAATAGGTTTGAAAAAGACCGAAATACGTTCAGATGTATAAGCTTCAATTGAAACTGTTTCCGGTTCGACCCGGAATACAGAACTCTCACTGGTAATGGCCGCACTGATTTCCGCCATAATCTCACCAACATTCCGTATGTGTAAGTGCGCTTCCACCTCTTGATTAATGCAAGTATTATTAAAATAAAAGAAGTTATCGCTTTTAACAAAAATACAACTTGCAGCCATCTAAAATAAATATTGTTTACATTAAATTTATAAGTATTTTAATATAATTTTAAAATTTAAATACTTGATCTAAACATAAAGAATCTTCTTGTGAATCAATCACCAAGTGTTCCTTGAAAATATACTCCAAACAGGTGAAATCAATTTCCGGCACGCATGCTGTACCCTGAATGGTGAACGCATGCCCATTGGCGTATTTTCCGGTAACGCCAGAGATGCAAAAAGGACTTCTTCAATATAAGTGCCGATAGTTTTTGTTTTGCATGTGAATTGAATATATACTTCCGTATGTGGTTGGACTACACCCGTAGAAGGTGTTATTGTAAATATACCTTGTTTTAACGATGATTGTTTGGTTCTGAAATAATTATTTTTAAATAAAATCATTTTTTGGAGTTGTGCTGTTTATATTTACTTTTTGCCCATAATACTTGAACTTGTTTTTAATACTTGACCGGATAATTTACTGGATTTTAAACTGCCTTTAGACTTTTTCGATTTGATAGATTTCTTTGAGTTTTTTGAAGCGTTTGCTGAATCAACTGAAGCTGCACTTTTTCGTGCTGAGTTAGGAGCACTTATTTCTTTATTATTTTGTTTTTGATTTTTTGAGCTTCCTTTTTTGCTATTTTTGGTGTTTTTGTTAAACACAACAAAAGAAAAACTGTATTTTCCGTTGTTATACAAAACAATATCTTTTTTAACTTCGGTATCAACCAATTGCGGAGCAAAAACTAATTCATTAGACGGGCATAGTTTATAACTACAAATTAATTAAAAATTAATCATTAAGAAATAAAATATTGTTTTATATTAAAACAAACCTTGAACTAAACACTTTTCCGGTCACACGAAGATTATATCGAAGGACTTCTCGTTTTATATGCGGATCAGATATAACCACAGTAAAAATAGGTACATTTCGAAATTCCATCGGGACATCAATTTGAAACCGAATCGGGATTATTGTAGCTTCGTTAGGTTTAATATGTGCTATTTTAGAATCCAAAATTGTATTGTTTCGGATAACATTCATTTCATCACTGATATCTGGGTCCTCAAAAGGACAAAAACTAAAAATCATGTTTTAATTTATTAACAAATCATACGAACTCAAACTCAAGATTTAAAAAAATTACCTTGCTTGAAGTTCAAAATGTGATTTGTTTTTAAATGTGTACATAAAGGTAAACAATTGTCCAATTTTAATATCACCCAAAACAACATCCGAATCAAATTCAAGACCAATTTCAACCACTTCGGCGGAAAGTTTCATCGTATCTTTAAGTATTGGTACTTCACATCGACGATTTTTATCATAAAACTGAAATAAATCATAATTATAATAAAGTAACTTGAGAAATATATTAAAAAAGTGAATTCTTGTTTCTAATGTACTTTGGTGCCATCTACGTTGGAATTAAAAACTAAAACTTTTGTAATACTTCTTTGTGAACGTTCAACCCTAATTTTACACCCTACAAGTTTTATTTTATTGACAAAAAGTAGCTTACATTTCATTTTGATGATTAATCTATTGTATTCTAATGTTTTACCAAAATTGGTTAGGTAATTATGGCGTGAAAGAGTAACAAACATAATATTAGTTAATTATACCTTAATATCAATTTCCTGAACTGGAACGACTTTGTATTCCGCAGCTTCATAAGTGAATGTTACAATATTAATCCCCAACGGTTTGATATACCCACTAGTAACACTAATGCCATATTTATCCACGATATGCTTGAAATTAATATCCCAGCTTGTTCCAATATGCGACATGTTCCTCAACTCGACGTCAATCTTCACAATGCGATTAAGTAGCACGCGCTCAAACAGAATATCATGTGGGCTGATCTCTACATTAAAATGTGTTCCTAATTCCGATATCTTGAAACAATCAACGCGCGGATTATTTCTTTTTGTGATTAATAAATTAGCAGTGATACTTCCTGCATTCACAGGATGCCCACGTATTGTTAAAAATTGTGAATTATTAGATGCAATTGATAATTGAGACGTATCCAACGTAAAATTTGAAGTAACTTCAAGAAATCCCACAGAGACATCACAAGAAAGATAAGATTTATTGATGAGATTCAATTTATCTTCCACAATGAGGCATCTGGAATTAAAAATTGTTAAAAAAATATATTTATAGGTTATATTAACTTTCTGTCAATATGTAGTCATAACCTGAATTGTTATAAATTGTATAAAAGGTTATCTAACCTATAAAAACAATAAAGAACAAATTTTTAACTAAAAAAATATTAAAACATACTGTATACGTGTATCTGCAGGTTGTACAGCAACAGCCCCCAAGTGAAACACTTCCTCTTTCTCAAAATAAGCAACACCCAAGTCATGCCCTTCTTTTTCCGGTAAAATTTTCGGAAATATCATCGACGGATCCATGAAAAGTCTTGGTATATCCGCTTTCCCCTCCAAATAAACACGAAAAGGAATCGGGAGTGTGACAACAGCAATATCATAAAAATGCGTAAACACTCCACAAGAATCCGGAAAGAAATTAACTTCCAGTGATATTTCATCATCCGGTTGCATAATTCTCCTCGGTCTCAATGATTTCGCAGCAGATACTGATGCACTTTTAAATTTAGTCTTCCTACTCTTTCTACTGCTCAAAATAGAAGTGGAACTCTTCACAAAAGAACCACTTTTACCTCCCAAAGACTTAGTCACACTGACATTAGACGGTGTTAATAAAACATGAGAAGATCCTGCACAATCATAGAGAACAAATCGATTCGGCGATGATTTCGAACGTTCAATTTTCGGCTCGCATAAAACCGTGTACAACTGTTCACTTTCTTTAAATTCTCCTAAAGAAGCCATGTATGCGAGGCGCAAAGCTTCCAAAACTTCTTCATTCTCGGATAAAAACTGCGGAATCAAGTTGGAATATGAAGTTGATGATTCTGATTGTGCATTGCAGATATACCACAATGGTATACCACATTCTACACGAATTTGATACTCAGAGGGAGTCAGAAATTTAATTGATTTCTTTTTGATAAGAGAATTATTCTCTTCTGTGCTGTATTCACTCTTTTTGCTTCCGGTTGAAACCGCGCGTTTCCTTGATTTGGTCTTTTGGTAACCGGCAGAATCACGAGAGCTGCGAGTTTTTGCTGAATCAGTTGAACTGCGTTCGCTGATTTCTTTTGTTTTATGTTTATTCTTTGCGTCTTTTTTCTTTTGTGCTTTGGGGACCGAAGGCTGAAATTTTAACAGAATTATAACCTCAAAATTAAAAAATATTACAAATGGTACCTCTGAAATTTTATTCTCAGCACGATTCCAGTTTTCAAAAATATAACGAATTTCAGCGGCTTCTGAATTTTCTTGAATTAAACTTTCCTCTAGGAAATCAGTTTGTGCAGATCCTTGTTTGTCGTCTGATTTTTTGTTTTGTTTCTTAACCGTGTTTTTGCTCCCTTTTGATTTGTAGGATTTTACTGATGCGGATGTTATATGTTTTTTTCCTTTAGTAGACACTTTTGATCCTTCGAATTGTTGTCGACTGAAGAGTTTTGTTTTTTCATTTAAAATTCTCCGCCTGAAGTGAATATTCAAATGTTTTTTATGTGTTAAGATTAAATATTGAACTTTTACTCACTTTCTCTTCTCTAATCTTTGTTGGGTCTCTTTAACTCGTTGATTTAAATATATATCTTTGAAAAGTTTCAAATCGTTTGGATTCAATTCATCAAACTCCTCTTGATCCATTTCTATTATTTCATTCATTAATTCACTAACGTTTTGTGATGTTTCTCCACAATTTATTTGCATTTCTGATTTTTTCACGCGGAAATATTCAGGAGGAACCGAAAGGTATATTCCATGCATGTATCTAATATTACCTGCTCCTTTTAACAGTCCAATAAGTGCTAGTATTTTATTGGTAATGAATAGACTGTCTAAGTTTTCAATAATAAGCCCAGTCGGATATTTTGAAATGCTATCAGCTAATAATTCGTACAATAATTCAACAGGTAATTGCATAAATGTGTCATTGGGAACTTTCTGTTTGTTAGGGCTTTTAGTTGATTTTGCCGATGTTGATGTGCCTTCATCTTTTCCAGCGCTTTTTACTTTTTGTACTTTTATTGTCTTTGGTTTTATGACCGTCTCTTTTCGACTTGTAGATAAATTTGTTTGTTTTACCAAGTCTATTACATTTACCTTGGATTTAATTATCTCAAACATATCTAAATATTTATAAATATTAATTTAAGAGTTTGAATAAATTATTTTATATTATTACCAAAGTCATAAGGAAAGTTTAAATCTTCTTCAGTTGCATTATGCGTAAAGCTTTCATCAATCAACAGATTCACTTTGTTCGCAGCCAAAATTTCGTTTCGTACGAGTGATTCATATATTAATTGATCAATACCTTTGGCGTCGATTTTTAAAGCATGAGCTGTTTTATTTGCAGTTAAGGTATAATCTGAAATATCATAAATTCAAGGTTTAGAAATACTTTATAGTAAACAAAATGCAAATAAGTGCATTCTAGCGCCATCTTGATTCATTCATAGAGTTAGACTTATGCACCCAGTCACGTAAGCTACACAGCCATGCAACTTGCTAACTTTCTGACTTAACTCACACCGGGATCCAACTTCAATAACAAAAACAAATCATATTTAATTCTAAAAGTGTATCTTAGCTCTTACTTTCATTTTCTCTTTTGTAAACCAAGGCAAACCATTTAAGATAACACATAAACGTATACAAAATAATTACCCGTTAAAGAACTCCCATGGAAAATAATCAAAACACCTTCCTTCATCACATTATTCTCTTCAACTTCCACTGGTTCAACACATTCAATCTCAAACAGAGAACCCCTACGTGGAACATTCACCGTTGAGAACTCTTTACTCCTCAATTCATAAATGTTTTCCGCTACAAGTGTTTGCATTTCATCCATTGATATATCTTCCAATGGATCTGGTATCTCAATACTCTCCGAAGATCCCGCAGATTCAATCAACAATGACCTGTAAACAAATTTCGTAAACAACCAAAAATTTACAATAAATTTACAAATCGTCATACGCTGATCTATCTTCCACACTACTTTTCTTCATCATATTCATATACTCATGTTTAATCTTAGTCTTCAAGATGACTTTCAATTGCTCCTTGATATCCTCGTAAGTTTCAACTAACGATGGTGGTAAAGGAGCACCGACATGTCTCGGCGGAATAAACAATTTCTTAACATTATAATAATTCAGTAATGTTTTAATAATCACTGCTTCTTCTTTCAATTTTGTATCGACGTCGGTAAAACAGATCTCCACTGGGAATTGTGACCTGTTGATGATTTTAAAATATTTTACATTCGTGATACTATAGGGAATTGTAGGTTCAAAATAGATTTTATCATCAATGATTTCCAACTCGGGAAGGAAACCATAACCACGTAGAATTATCTTTAGAGGTGATTTGTTTGCTTCGATATAGACAATTAAACGCCACTCGTATTTAGTTCGTGATTGCGGTTGGAAAAACATATCGATTTTAGCGAATCTTCCGGCGTCTACTATACCATCACGTGCTTTTGTGAAGAAAATATTTGCTGGACGTTCGGAACTTGATTGAATTAGGATTTTATAGGAACAAGGTACAGCTCCACTAAAATATAAAGGAAAATAACGAAAAATATAAACAAAAACTAAGTTATTTAAAATAAAATGTTAAAACATACTTATTTTCCAAAAACACAGTTTTTTTCAATGCAAATCCACATTGAACTTTTCCAAAATCAACCGAGTTATGTTTAAAGACCAAAGAAGGTACCGTAACAATGGCTCTCACTTCAAAATCAATTCTAATAGTACCACTGACCTAAAATTTAGTAAAAAAATGTAGCAAATGTTTATTTCGTATTTTATCACTTACTATGCATGAAATATGTCCCACAACTTCTGAATTAGGTTCTGGAAACCGTTTAGATGTAGGTTTAAACACCAAAAACGGCCCCGGTTGGTTTTTTTGAAACACCATACTGAAACAATTCCCCGAACATTTCCTCGACACTCTTAACCAAAACAATTTCACAATTGCTTCTGAATATTTCAAAGGAGTAATCATGACTTCTTGTTCTGTATTCAATATAACATATCCCAAGTCAATAATGTAAGGTGGTAAGACTAAATCAGGTATGATTGACGTTGTATTCTCATATTTGTATTGCACCAACTTTGGATTCGCAATCAAATGCTGTTGGATAATTTTGCGCTCAACGGCCATTGCTATATCTTTTGCAGAAGGGTAATGACGCTAAAATGAACAATATTTTATAAATATTAACACCTGATGAGATAATAACTCACTTTATATCGAACAAACACCCAATCATTGTAATCCGGCATGATTTGCATGGTGAAATCTTCATTACACTGCGAATGAAACGAATATGTAATATCAGCAATAGCTGTATATGATAACATATTTTGTTCTTCATTCAAAAGACGTGGAAATTTGAAGTAATACTGCGGTAACACCGCACATCCTTTAATAATCAACTTAATCGGATCACAAGAAGCAATCTGAAAGAAATATTTTAATATTTTGTACTGTAAACAACAAAAAACTAAAAATTACTTCAAGGTAAGCACTTGTTTCAAAATAACCAGGATACCCTGGAAAATATTTTACAAACACTTCGGCCGAACCTTCCTCACCAACAGAACCACTTGGCGGATCAATATAAACCCACCCCGGATCAGCTTTAAAACTAAAATTCAGGATATCATATCTTACAGAGTAAGTAAACTTGGCGTATCCAATATTTTCAACACGAAACGAAGTCTTCGCTATTTGATTAAAAGCAACCAGACCAAAATCAACAACATTGCTTTTAATGTGATACATAATCTCACCAGACTTGGCGAATATATCCAAGTCAGTGGATGCACCGCCATTTACATTACATACAACAGTGGCGGCCATTTCAATTTTCGGTGGTAGGGTTACCGCGATTGATATAACCTGACTTTCGTATGCAGCTAAAGTCCCTGACCATGGAACAACATCAATTATACGATGTGAAAATTCTGCTTGGGTATACGCTTTAAAGATATCCACAATTCTTGGGTCAATTGTTCTAATTTGATCTTTGAAATCGTCTATTAGGGGATATAAAATCGGACGGAGTTGTTGTTGCATTGTAGCATCATCAAATGTTTGTTTTGCTAGCTCCATACAATCTTCATTTGGAAGTATTAGACTACTATCATTGGACTGTGGTCGGGATAAATCATCTTCTTTTTGCTCTACTTCTTCTTCTTTTACAGGAGTTTGTTCATCGAATATTTCAGGGAGTGAATTTTCTCCCATTATTTCTTGTTCTTCAGCAAATTGGTTCATGATTGCTTCTTCTGCTTCCATGTAATCAAGAAGTGAATTGTAAGAACTAATGGATATTATAGATTGAATTTCTTTCTGTAAAAATTAATTATTTATAACTTTTGTTTATAAAAATAGTAAAATTAATTTTACCGGTTCATATTCAATCGGAATCAATGTTAAATTATCCTCTCTAATTTCAAATTTATAATCCACTGGTAATGGACTAATATTACGTAAGTTGATAAGTCTGGATCCGGTGTGTCCAATTGGTATACATTCAAGGTCAACAAAGTTTGGTTCAAAAGCAACATTCGGATAATTAATAACTCCGAATAAATGCAGTTTATCAATATTAGGATGATACATATATTGTATTTTCATCGCCCCTTTCTTCAATGAACTCTTTTTCTCATTAGAATCCGATTTGAAGGTCACCATGAAAGTCATATCTTCATTCGGTTGCAGTGATACCTCCTGACGACTGAACATTTTATCCCCAGACACAAAATAAAACGGTTCGTCCATTATAATATCCATGAATAAAGGGACATTTGCATTGTTGGTTAAAACAATATCATCTTCAAGAACAGCTGTGGTTTCTTCAGTTCCAATGTCTATACGAAACTGCATGTAGGGTTTTGACAGCGTAACATGCGGAACCTCAAAAGTTGCCTTTAACTTGAACTCAAATATCGCTTTTGTGATAATGTTTCGTTTGTTTATTCTTTTGGCATAGCAAATGAAACGAGTTGTGATTTTGCATGGTGATTTTGCAAAACAATCAAAGTAGACGGTTTGCGTTTTTCCGGCTTCTAGTACGAATTGATTGAGAGTCATTATGAAATATGGACGGCCATTATCCACCGGGGATGATGTCAGTTGTTCAACAAGCGTGTCATATTCTTTGAAAGAAATAATGTGTGCTGATTTTCCTTCGTTGAGAAACTGAACTTCTTTGATGCAGTTTGTCATGGTTGAAATGGCGCCGATGTCATAAAATGGTACCACGGGTGGCGAGGTACTTATACTAGAACCTATGAATTCTCCGGTGTAAACAACACAATCAGGTTCGGTGCCATCAATTTCTAGTTTGATGAGTGTTTTAAAGCGGCCTGCATTGGTGCCGTAGATTATTAATTCCGAAACGACTGTTTCTTCTGGATTTAGTTGGATTACATTATGGGCTGGGGTTATGTTTGGTCCAGACTAAAATATTTAATTTAATTTTGAAATATAACTTTAGTTAAAAAATTTAAAAATCTTACAATATTTATATAAACAACAGCTTGAATTGGTGAATCATTAGACAATTTAAATGGTTTTGTTATTTTTGTTAATGTTTTCACTTTGCCAATGTTTGTATCAATCAGATCTGAATCAATGCAGGGTCCACGACTTAACGCAACGACATCACAAATGACAAAAGGAATATTTGATCCGTAAAACAATCCTCTGAAACATAATTTACATCAAAATTTGTTTAAAATATTTTATGTTAATTTACGTAATCTGTCCGCACATGTCCCCGATAACATCCGTCTTGATTTCCAGCCGAAAATCAAAAGTTTCCCCGGGCTGAATATCACATTGATACTTTTCAAGCCCCATTTGCAAATTGCCGCCAGCATTGATTGTATTCAATGTAAGATTACCCATGAAGTCTGATTTGTTTTCAAGTGTCAACGTGCGATAATACTTTTGTGTAATAAACATGCTTTTCAATGAAATCTTAGGTGTTAGACATTGAATTAACGGCACGTGAACTTTATAATAAATATACGCTGTTCTACTTGGTTGTCGTGCTCCCCACATGGATATTGTAAGTTCCGCCATTTTGTCAACGGCTGCATGTGGTGTAGCTTGTACCTAAACACACAAAAAGTGATTTAAAAAAGATTTAAATGTTTTTATACAAAAATAACATACACTATATGGAATTCTTGAATAAGGTTTAACAGTTCCCTCTGTTGAACTGCAAGAAAACTCTGCAGTACTCAAATCATCGGAAATTGTATACTGGGAGTATTCTCGCGTGGCCACAATTTCAATTTCGTAGTCAATGCTCACTTGGGTATTGTTCTCCAAATAAAAACAGATTTCTTTCGTTTGTCCAACTGAAAGATCTCCAAAGTCCAATACGGTGATGTCAAAATTAAGTAGAGGACATACAATGGTACCCCTTTAAGTAATTATCATTATTATTATGATTATATTCAACGTACATTAAGCATTTAAACTTACTTCATAAGAAAAGATAAAACCTCCAATGATTCCAATATGTTAAACTTTACAGTTTCGGTGAAATTACCACGTTTGAATGATCTAAACCCAATATAAACCGATTTGATTTCTTCGGGTTTGATTACGAACTCGAATTCACTGCAGTAAAAATCACCACCAAATTTGGCATCGACAACAACATATTGTAATGTTGCGTCAATGGGTCCTAGATTATGAAAGATCACTTCGTATCGATGCACTGATCCGATATAAATATTTTGGGCGTCCAGTTCTTCTAAATTGATTATCACACGTGGGCCTTCACCAGCTCCAAACATATCAAGATGGAAGCAATGTTTGCGGCCAGTCACATCTAAATAAGCAATGCTTTTGTGTAATTCTACGTTTTTAGGTGCGTAGATTATGCTGAAATTGACTTGTGTTTTGGGCCATAATTGTCCAGACTACAATTAATTCACTGTTTGAGAAAAATTGTTATTAATGTAAATATTATAGTTACTTTTGGTTCAATAAGAAAATGTTCATCAGAATAAACAGGTTCCAAGCTCATATCACACTCTTTCTTCTGTTCAATAAGAATTCTTTCATAGATCTCTTGATTCATTTCATAGTCAACAATCTCATGATACTCTAGAGCATTGTCTCTGGTTAATTCATAGTCCATTAAGTCTTCAAAACGTTCTTTTATTGCCGAACGCGCGCGTTTTTTACACGCTGGACAATCATGTGTTATCCATCTATAATCTATGATATATTCACTATTGTTTCTCAGTGTTACGACTTGTTCTATTGACAATCCTAAGTAACAATCAGTAAAACCGACTTTTTGAGTTGATATATTCAAATCAGCTTCTTCAGCGGTTCCTTCTAACTTTACATACAAAATCTCTCCGGTTTCATACGTCAATTTTAATTCTCCTTCCAACAAACCAATCTTTTGTGGATGATAAAACAAAGTAATCGGACAACACTCATCAGATTTAAGTATTTTCCTGTTTTCTTCTACTTCAAACCCACAACTTGTTTCAAGAACAAAAGAAGCCCACACCTCGCCGATGTTTTTCACAATAATCGTGCGTTCTGCAGTTATTTTTATACCAGTTTTAGGAAAAACTATTTTATCAGGTAAATCAAGCAAGGGACGCGGTCCAATAGCAACTATTGGTACCTCAAATGTCTCATCAGTTGTAATAAATGTTATTTTGTGTCGGTAATCTTGTAAAATATCAGTAGAAAAGCTTACTTCTACAAAATATTTCAAACCGGGTGCAACTTTAGCACCTGCTGATTCAGTAGAGTGTTTAATTGAGAAATACGTTGAGGGTTCCATGTGAATCCGAAGAGACTTTGAAGTATCTTGTATGTTCATCACACTAAGTTGTACGGAATACACTGTACCACGCACAAAGTTTTGAAAAACAATAATATCCGGTGTGACTTTAAATGATTTCAAATTGTTTCTAATGGCGAATTGATCACCAGCGGGATGAACGAGTTTTTCATATCGTTGTTCAGTTGAGAGCAACATTTCTCTCATAAAATTCGATGGGGTTATCTAATAATTGAAAATATTTTACCTAAAACTTACTAAATCAAAAATTAATAAATAAATACTTGATGTTCGCCATTGCGAGCTTCCATGTCGAGTAAAATAGGCAGAATATGCATTATCGGGCAGTTCAACCAGTCGGCGAAACATTTCTGCAGAAATGTCTTCACCATCTTGAGTAAAATGAATAAAAATAATAAATTATCTAAAAGGTTTTCTGCTCTTATCACTTGCGTATGATAGTGTCACACTCGTGACAGGAAAAAATGTTTTATTGTTTTTATTTAACGTCAAACCATAAAAAATTCATAACAGGATAACAATAGTAACAATAACAATAACAAAGCCAACTTATAAATCTACTAAACGTCAAATTGGCTTATCTGCCAACTCTTCCCAACTCAAACGCTTCACAGGTGAAGCAATATCTTCGGTAAGATTGAATGGTAATTGCAAATTTGTCACTACTGCATTACCTGTTAGTTTCTTCATTTTAGGGGGTGAATGAACAATTAATGGTTTGTCCAATGGAGTATTTAACAGTGATTCATTGTCAGCATTCGCGTCCAGATCAAAGGGATTAACGCGCTTCTTCGGTTGCTTCTTACTTTCTTTATATTTATGGATTTTCTGTAAAAGTTGATTGTTAATATCATCGACCAATGTTGTGGAGAGAGAATTCTCTGCAAGTGTAATACCACGGCCCATAATATATAAGTCCGCCTCATCTAAACCCGGGCCAGAATATAGACTCTTTCGCCAAATGTCATTAATTTTCTCATCGATGCAATCCAGACGGCTGTAGACAATCGTTTGTTCTGGACTCTCAATCATCGGGGGATCGGGAAATTCAACATGGCCGCTAAAGCTGGCGAATGTCAATTGATTGGAAGTGATTGCGTAGTTATTCCCCTGTCCTAAAAAAATGTTTCGATCTCCATATAAGACATTTTCATTGGAGGGCGTTTCGCTTATTTGCGACACGGCAAATTGGGATATTCTGTTTTCGGTGGTCGACTCACCTGTAGACTCAATGCTTAAGCGATTTGTTAGATCTGCAAATGATGTATCAATGCCTGAATCAGGCCAGGAATCGTCGTGATTCTCGTACACGTGATGGATGATGTCGTCTGACATTCGCTGTTTATCCAACATCTCAACAAGCTGAAGAGTTGCTTCCTCGAGTTGTCGTTGCTGTTGCTCGTCTCTATCGACTGGCTGAGTCTTATCCTCCTCAGCCAACCGAAAATTTCCATCTTCGGCATTCATTGGCTTTACTGGCTGAGAGTTATCCTCGTTAACCAAGTGAAAATTTTGCTCCGCGGTTTTCTCATCGGATGTTTTCTGCTTTACCGGCTGAGAATCATCCTCATAAACCAACCGAAAATTTTCCGGCTTACTCTTAGATTCTGAGTTGGATCCTTGCCCTGCCGGCTTTTCAATTAATTGTTTCTCGGCTGCCAGTTGAGCTTTTGACCGCCCGAGCCCTGCCAGCTGGAGTAACTCATCAAGATTTTTCTCATCTTCATCTGCCACATCACTATCGTAATCTTTAAAGCCGCTTGGAATCGGCTCCTGGCTTAATTCTTCAAAGATTCCCGTCAATTTGGTGACAAACGAATTCTTTCGAAATGGCGTATCGTCAATCGTATCAGCATCGCTGAACTTGATACCACATTCGCTTGCACCTTTCCACAACTCTTGCCACTTATCAATTCGGTCACGGACTTGCCAGCTAATGAAACCCCTGGTTTGGAAGAACACCTCCCAGCGCCGAATCACCAGCATGCACATCGTGATTGCATGAGTCTTATCAGGGGTATTGTCGTACCACTTGCGTAAACCTTCCGAATAACTATTGAACCGTTCAACTATGCGATCGTCCCGGGAGGGCTGCGCTTGCCACAATTTCACCATGCTTCGAATTCGATCTCGTAGACCTTTTAGACCCAACTGGCTAATCACTGTATTGAACAATGATATTGTTTTGCGTAACAAATAATCACCCATGGCCTATTATAACTTACAGGGCACCGCCAACCAATACTTTACAAATTACGTCACTTTTCAAGTATTGTTTATAACTATTGACGACCGTGCACTGACTCGAATTCTATAAATTAACATTTATTGCATCCAATATATAAATATTTACAAATGTACCGAAATACCTAATATGTATATAGATAATACAGTTTTTAATAAATAAACGAATACAACAAATGGCGTCGCTATTGTTAGAAATATAACATTGGCTTTAACATCCCTGCCTCTTCCTGCCTACTTTCTACAAATAAAAAAATAAAGAAATTTGCTTCCAAAATCAAGTGACCGAGTCATGGCCTAGCGTGTAGCATGCACTGGAAAATAACACAACATCGAAACAATGGTTGTTATCAAGTAGGTTGTGGTTGTGTATGCGAAGTGATTTCTGTTCACAGCCCAAAATCGAAATACAAAAAATGCAAATTGTTAGAAAAAGCGTCACGCGCAACATGAATTACTACGTTCGCTAGTAAATTTTCCTACAGTTGGTTGATTACAACATTCGATTTACCTAAATTATGAAAAGAATATAAATTAATTCGCTTACAATTCGAATTTGTACCAGAATATCCGAGAATCGAGAATTCGCTAGTTTCGTGATCTATGAGAAAATTGAGCGTCTTGCAAAGACAATCTACATGTAAATATTATCAAAACATTGGATTCGAGTTGTTCATGTGTACCTGAATGATACGCACATTGTTACAAAAACGGTGCCTGTAAAAAGTTTGATTTGTGAGCAATATAGCTCATAAGTGCATATCAAAACCGTTATATAAGGCTTTTATTATCGCGAGTACTTTGATCATGAGTAAAGTGATAGTACTTGTGTATATTGATCCAAAAGTTGCCATTATAGGTTAAAAATGACACAAATTTGGTTAGAACGTTCCAAAATGGACTTTTAGCTACACCGAATATAATTTCGAGACAAGAATGAGTAATAAACTTCTCAGAGTACATATATATGACATCAAGCATAAAATTACCTACTTCATAATAATGATCAACCTCAATAAATTCAAAACAAAACCAATTTCAACATCGATAAAATATCAAATCATTCACGTGTATAAAGCCACCTCGTCTTTACGTATTAGTTACTTTTCCTTACGCTGTGCTCGAGTTTAGCGAAGCGCCGCTCACAGGACTGAACATACTATTCCGTTTAAAGCTGCCCGTTTCGTCGTGCGGCCATAATGCCTCACCGAAAAGATGCGACAACTCGGCGCATAGTTTCTTGTAGTTGCTGCACAAAACCTCTTGGTACTCACGTTGATCATGCGATATAATTTTGCTATTTAGTTGTAGAGCAGAGTAGCAAATTTTTATAAATTCCCTGCAAAAAAATATTGTTAAAAAGGGTCCAGTGACGGTTTTTATGATTTTTAAAACAGCAAACCTGTAAATATCTTTAAGTTCTTCAACTTTGTCATCAGGATATATTGGAATTAGTACTGGATCAAGAAAAGCACTGGCATATGCTAATGGTCCAGCATTTACTTGCACATAAACACTGCCTTGCAGAACAAGTTGTAATCGTTTGGCATCTGTATGCGTCGAAAACACAACATCTTCCAGTTCGTTAACTCGATGCTGCATTTCATCAATTGCCACCTCAATTGGTGATAATTCAATTGAACGTTTGCTCACAATTTTTATGCGCTTCGTAACATATGGAAACGAATATTCCGCTGTAAAAAATATCTCAATAATATTCAAAATATTATTATAATAAAAACACGTACTTGTAACCATTGTTCGTCTCTTCCATTGTTCCTCTGGGTTACCGCGTGCTTTACCTTCTTTGGTGAACGGTGTCTCAAACATAAAACAATTAATGTCATGATTCTGCTCAAACTCCGTCTGGCGATCTTCAAGCTCGCATTTTTCAAAGTACGGTATCACATGCGTTACTTGAATGTAAGCAAACTTAGGATCTAGTTGAGTTGCATCAATCTAAACAAAACAAACAAAAGTTTATTATGATTTACTTGCCGTCCAAATTAAAAATAAAAACTTACAGGAATTGAATCTTGTATCATTTTAACAGATTCTTGTCCAAACTTAAGACAATATTGTTTTTGTAATCTCTCTGAAATCTCACCCAAAGCAGTCACCTTTGGTTCTTTATAAATATACTCTGTACCACTGTCATCTTCAAAAAATGCTTGCCCATACAACCCCACACGATAAAATCTCCCCAATAAACGTTTGCACGATCGAATAGTTTCAATAACTTTACCGTAATTCACCGACAATTTAGTATAACACTCTTGCAACTTTTGATAGTTTCTCTTCTTTTCATACATAGGAATAATCAACTTATATAACTCTCCAAGCAATTCATACCGCTCAGATCGATCAATGAAATCAATACAAGTCTCCAACTTTTCCAGAAGAGTATACTCTGAATACTGCACATCCTGTACGCCAATATCCAACTTAAGTCCTCGTTCATCACGACTAATATTAGACGAGATTTTATCGAAAACTTCCGCTCCCCAATCCTGAATCTTCTTCAGTTTGAGATATTCAGCCATCAGCGCAGCAATATGCAATTGGCACCAAGAAGCTTCTGAATAATTACCATCACGAACGTGATTCCGCGTCATATTCTCCAACCAAGTATGACGAAGTTCAGGCGTCGAAGCATATGAATTAGCAAGTGAATGTTGTAAATCTACCAACATTTCAGGATCATTATGATGCTCCTTCATTTGAACGGTCGCCATCAAAACAGTTCGTATACGCTTGGTAAGATCTTTTACTTCCAGAGGAAATCCCGTGCCTTTCATAGCTTTATCACTCGTAGCATAACTGTTCACAATAGACAAACTCTCTTGAAAGCGCGAATTATTCAAACCGATAATATTGCCCAAGATTTGCGAGACAGAAATGATAACTTGCAGATGCACGCGCGTGAGTGCTTTACGTCCGGTGAACTCAAAGTTCGAGCGCATGAGGAGATACAAAACAGCGCAGGATTCCTGCCGAACGGATGCCAGACGACTGTTGCAGCTTCGCAGTAATTCGTAGCACAAACGACCACACAGAATCGCATTACCTAGTTAAGCATTGTTTATATAATAGAGAATAATGTCGTTCTTAATTATAGCGAATACAAGGCCATAGAAATTATGCATGGTCTCATCAAGCTGGAATTAATAGATAAAAACATACCTTGGAACAAAACCGATGAATAATTGTTGATAAATGAACGCAGCGAGGCAAAAACATGCTTGTACAGCGATTCGCCTTGTCCAAGTTCCAGGAAAGTCATGTAGATGTCAAACACCTTGCGCATAATCGCATTATTCCCCTCGGCTTGCAGTAAATTACTACGAAAGTGTTGAAAGTAGAGTCCCATTAGGTCTAGGATAATCAAACCGGCTTCAGTTGCTAAACTTTGTTCTAAAATCGCTTGGTTCTTTTTATGCTCCTCATTTTCAGAGATGACTAAATTTTCTCTGGTTTCTCTTGTATGTATCACTAGAGTGCCGGTGTTTTCATGATTATTCATCTCGGCAGGGTTCATGCGGGCGGGTAATGTGTGCGCTTTAGTTGACTTTGGTTTAAACTCGTGACGTGGTGTTGGCAGTAAATTAATATTACGCTTTCCAACATATTTAAATGTATGTAATGCAATTTCCAATGTGGTGAAAAAATTCACAACATCAGCATCTAAAGATTTCTGCCACCAGGAGATAATTTGATTCTCGCTGAGATATTTTACCACAAATAGAAACACCAAAAGCACCTCTTTTACTTCCGGTGTCTGTAGTTTATCGTAACGAGGTATGTGGTTTGAATGCGTGACACTTACAGCACGTGTGTGCTTCTTGCCGTTTGTTTTATCTTCACGCACAATTGTGGTTTCCTGTGAGATTATAGACGCGTTGTCGCCGCCAGACAAAGTTGATAAGTCAGATTCAAGACTCATTGAACTATGACCATTCATTATAGCTTTAAGAGTAAATTTAAGTCAAAAAAACATTTTTAATGGGAAGGATTTATGAATGTACTTACATTGTCCTGCTATCGCATCAAAAAACGCCGAATTCTGAATGTGCATTGGGCTATCCGAGAAATGCAAAGTGTATCTATGCCGACTCGGTGTGTCACTCACCGAACTCTTGAACAAATAACTACTAGAAGTTGATATTCGATTGCCTGCCAAACTGCACTCCTCCATTTTGTCATCAGCAATCAAGCGATGCATGTTATCCAAAACAATATTCAACCAAGGTACGTAAATCAGCGCAATTCGAGACATTTGTCCCTTGGTCTGATACCGATCATCCATTTCATGCTTAGCAATCAGATCTCTCAATGTACTCAGTGCTAATTTTCTCGTATTCGATAATTCATTCAACGATGTTTTCACTTCTTGAAGAAGCAACGAGACGATAAAATGATGTCTGCAGAATTCTTGTGAAAGACAATATTCTTGCAGAAAATCAGGCGACTTTGCCTTCGGGCTAATACTCGTATGAGAAATAGGAAGATTAAACGCGATATAATGCTCATGACTGCATATCACGGTCAAAAAAGAATACTTGAGTTCTTGCAGAGACCTCTCACCCGGCTGGAATCTACTTACATACGCGTTTATCAATTTAAACACGAAGCCACGGTCCATTAACGACAGACATTTCTACAGGAAACATAAATTATTCTTGATTACATATTAATTTCTATAATTATTAAAACATACCTTTAAAAATTGAGCAAAACTCATATTAAGCGCGGCAACCTCTTGTAGATACTCCTTATGTTTATCAAAGATATATTCTTCTAAAACCTTACTCAAATCTTCGATTTGTTTGAGATATTCAGCCGGAAATCTCTCATTTCGATGCATTTTAATCCTCCCACTGCGAAGTAAATGCTGTGCCATGCTTTTCGTGATGATTTCAAACAAGAAGAAATGCGAATGTTGCATGAAATAGTTAACAACCAAAAAATCCGTGTTGCTCGGTTGGAGAATCGCTGGCAAATACTTGCACATCTCTTCATGCACAGTCTGATTCTTCTTTCCCTCTGGTGTGACAAACACGTGTTTCACATATGTTTGCAGCACCTCCTTCCTGCGCGCAGTGTGTATCACCATCATCACTAAATTAATTAGTAGACGAATGATGTTCATCCCAACTTCTTCGCTTGTCGTGCGCACGAGTAAAACAAACAGTTGGTTGAACAGTGTAGGCAAGTAAGCTATGAGTGAAGTAGCATCAATCGCATGCAGGGCTTTCAAAACTTTACATGTTTCTGTATCAGAGGGGATGTTAGTTGGTTTGATATCAAGCAATTTTTCCGCGTGTAGGAATAAATTAAACAAGTGTTTATCACGTGTGTTCACACTTGATACCAGGTTTAAACAAACGGTGAAAATCGGTCGTTGTGCGTCGATCCATGTTATATCCGGTCCGGAATTCTGCTAGTAGTAAAAATTCAATGATTTACTATACTAAAAAGTGGTTGGATATTGTACATACCCCTTTATTAAGTCCAAACGGTTGAATACTCAAATAACCCGCTGGTAAATGACTAGCAACCGCGATGGTTTGCGATATCGTCTGCGAAATCGCTTCAGTTTCAAGACATAATCTACCCTTCTGCAGCAAAGGCAGCCATGCATAGCCAACATTACTTTCAATGGTCTCGCGTTTTTTGTTCACATCACAAGAGACATGATAGAACGTAAACAAAAGATGGTGCTTCTCTTGTAAATGAATCGGCAAACAAATTTTAATTTCTTCATACCAAGTTGGCGTGGTGTTATGATGCAAAACAACACAAGTTGCTTGAGTTACCAACGGCGCATGTCCAGGACGACTGTAAATACACTAACAAAACAATAGTGAAAATTAATTAATAACATATAAAGTTACGCCTTTGCACGCCTACGTAAGACAAAGCGGATGTATTAATTAAACCTACTTGCAGACCCTTTGCGTCCTCAGTATCAGAATCGCGCAGCTCAACGATGCAGGCGATGTTCCGCGCGCGCGTAAACATCTTCTGCGTGTCAAAGTGTAGAACAAGTGGGTAAACGTACAGGTGATTCACGTACGTTGTGTATGGATGAATGGTCACTTCGGTGTTGTTGTCGGGCTTGCGCTCGAATTCGGTCACCTCCAGTGTGGGCTCGACTTTCGGAGGTATTGGAAACGGTTTGATTGGTGCTAGGGATGTGTTTAAACAATCTGCACACGCAAATAACACGTGGTAATTGGTGATTCAAACGAAATTTAAAAATTTCAGACTTACTATTTGGCAATTCCGCCACCGGTTCAATTATCACTTTCAAGTGTCCGGGTATCACAGTCAGTTTACTGAATTTGTCGGGTTTGCGGTACTCGGAGAGTAATCTCAACAGTTCTTCATCAGTCATTTTGTTGCTCTCCTGTCTGTAGATGGCAGGAAAATCACTCGAAGTATCTAATTCGTTACTATACAACCTGCAAGTTGTTTATTATGATATAAAACTATGTAAAAACGTATCAAAAGGTAAATAATACCTGTATAAAGGCTTGGCTGCCCATGCAAAAGGCATTCTGTACTTAACCAATCGTTGGCAACAAGAAATAATCGTCTTGAGCACCTTACCAGTGCTCTTCGGATCCTTGGAAGGCTTGATGTACGGTTCGGAAGCTTGACAAACGCCACCCTGCAGCACCTTGTCGATGCGCACGACGATAAAAATATCACAATGCGGATTCGTAACGCTAAACAACGCCTGCCTAGGATACAAAACCCACTCATGCAGCTTTTCAGGAAGATCAATTTCACTAGTTGCCGGTGCTTTCACCCCGTTCGGAATCATAACACGCGCTGTGCTATCATTAAGATCAAAATGAAAATTCTCGGTTAGTTTAACGCCGTTCCGCGCATCATATAAACACAGCGTAGTATAGTACGGTTCAATTTGACATGGATTCGCTTGACCGTCATCAAGCACAGTCTGCAACTTAAATCTCAACGAGTCGCAACGCATAAATATTCGCTGCCCGAAAGTTTCCTTGTAGGGTTCGACTATATCCTGACTAGATGTCTGCGATTTTAAATTGGAATGAATCTGCGGGTATAGCTGCATTAGTTGCCGACGGTTTTCCTTGCGCGCATGCGCAATCGAAAGATCTGTTTCACGAGCGTATCTTATTAATTGTGGATTCATGCTGTGTTCCAATCCTTTGAGAGTACCATAACTTGAGATTGGTGGTTGTGGTGGAGGAGATGAACGATCTTTAAATAATATAAACAAATATTTCATTAAAAGACTAATAAAAATGTGTCAGGCATTGAAATTACCTCGTTCTAACGATGCAGATCTCTTTTCTTCTTGAATATTCTGTTGAATAACTGAACTTAACTTCGTCAACCAATCATGATAGTCATTCTCGTTCTCCGCTGCAAGAACATACCCCTTATGTCCACCCGTCATCAACAAATCGAAACAAAATCGTCCTTTGCGCGAATTCTTCACTACATCTTTACAAAAATCCATAACAATCGTAACTTTAGCCTCGCCTTTCTTCTCATCTTTGTAAATCTCCAACATATAAGTGCCATCGACTTCCTGGCGAAGATAACAATACCTACGCTTGAAACTCTTGGAGCCTATGTGCGCAAACATGCGCTCTGAGCCAATTTCTGGTCCCTTCATGAGATATCCTTCTTTTGTGATGCAATCAGCGGGTTTTTTCGTGTCACAGTGCGCATCCGCCTCTAAATCTATCTCGAAATAGTCTTCCTGAAGACCTTCTAACGCCTTGGCATTCGGTAGGTCCACATAACTGCCCGAATAACCGTTGTACTTGTAGTGAACAACATTCCAGTCCTGTGAATACGTGAGTATGCATTGTTTGGTGAAGAGATTACAGTGTTGCGTGTCGGGGATGGTCTGTTTCAGCGTTCGGAACTTTCTTGGCACAACCACTTGCTGTAACACACAAAAATACAATAAACAATTAAATATTTATGATAAAGATTTGTTTCACGCGTAATTAACGTGTGAATCAAAATCATCACACAAAAAATGAATAAAAAATGATCTATCTTGAAACAATTTATCTTGTATCAGATTATTTTAATTGCCGAGCAGACACAGACAACAGACTCAGACTTGGTGCATAGTTAGCTTCAATTAAATTCGTACTGTAAAGGCAATTAATGTTAATTGCTAATTTTAATAGTTAACTGCACATACACAAACGTTTATTGTTTGTTGGAGCAGTAGGAAAAGTCTTAAACGTAAATATTTACCGGATTATGTGATTGTAGGCGTGAATAATCGCACAAAACGTGCATTTTTGCTATCGGGTTATATGATAAGTTAAAAAATAAGAAAAATAGAAAAACTCGTTTCTATTTATTGCTAGCTGAGTATGTTAGATGAGTGTGTACCAGGAGTATAATAGGAAATAATTTATGCAGACGCTAATCAAACAATTTCTCATAATATTGACTTACTCTCAAAACAAGTTTCAAGATGGTTCAATATTGTACATACAGGGTAGAGTATTGAGGTTAAGTTAAGTTCTTTTTCAAAATCAGTAGTAAACTCAAAATAAAACGAAAAAACGTCAAAAATACAACGAAAATTAAATTAAAAACATTTTTCTGTAATTTAAAGGATTGTATAATAAATACTATGTAATAATACTTGATTTATTCAAAATGGCGTCATAAATTATACATTCTAACCTAAAACGAAACCTATTTGATGCATAATTTAATTAATTTCACGCTTGCTTATGCGAACAACGCTTAATTGTTAGCATTTAGACAAAAAGCGATGATTTCAATGCCCATCCCTGTGAATAGTGAACAATTCATGTATGATTAAACAGATGCTATGTGCTCAAGTACTCGAGCGTCATCGTCATCTTGCGTGAATAATGTGTGAGCGGACTTAATTCGAATTGAGCGTTCACAGGCTCGGAATAGACATTTCAATAGGACTAATGGAAATGATAAAGCAAACCAGGCGTCACTCTTGTTATATTAATTACAAATATCAACTTGGTGTAACCGGAACTAAATATTTGCAGGATAACTAATAACTAATCATATTATCTGAAAATGTATCATACAAATTCAATAATTACTTATGAAAAAAAATAGCTTGTAGTCACCTTTTTGGAAAAATGTAATTAATTTATACTTTCTTGTTTCTAGGACTTGTGTCAATTTCATCAATAAAATTCGTAATTTTCTTCTAAAGAAATAAGAAATACTAATAAGGCACTTTAGCGTCATTTCCGATTTTCATCCCTTATTTAACACTCTTTAATTAATAATTTTTGACATTTTAATAGTTATTCTGCTAATCGGGGCCGAAATAAATCCAATAAATCATAGATAATTAAAATCTCTCCAGTTCTTAATGAGTTATAAATGCTGTAACTAACACAATTTGTTTTATATGTTTTGATTTAAGATTTGTGGTATATTCTTGCAGTTAATCCATAACTAAATATGTCAATGTGTCACTTACGAGTACTTAGAAGTTATAATTACTTATATGTAACTGTTGTACAGGTATGCAAATGTTTGAGTTTTCTTAAAATAGTTTTTTTTTCTTTTGAACTTGCTTGCAGATCATTATAGCGAGAATATTTATTATTGATTTATGGTTATTTATTAATTTATTGATTTATTATTAACACCTGTATAATGAATATGCATGTTTGCATGTTTTAATTAAGGACATCCGTGTCTTCGTCGAATATGTATGTACTCGTATTATTAGAGTGGTAAAGTAGAATATGTTTAAGTACAAATGAGATTAGTGTAATGCCATATTCCTAGCATGACCACACGCAAATATAAAACGCTGGTGATCTGTCCCGGTTTTGCACGACATTAATTAACTAATGAAAAAGTTGTATGCCCGCAAAATATTAATAGGTTTTACATTAGAGTAATAGGTAAAATATATTAGGGAAAGTATCGCAAGTTTATTTGGAATTAAATAGCAATTTTGATTAATTCCCGAAACAAACTTTAATTTCACATTTTAACCCTTTTTAAGTTTTATTTTTCCTACAAAGGTAGTCTATGTTATTCTCCAGAGCATAAAACATTTCTATACTAAATTTTACTAAAATTTGTTAATTGGTTTGAGCGTGAAAAAGAAACAAACACACAAAATTACCTTTTCATCCTAACTAATATTACAAAGGCAAATGCAACCTTGTTTGTATGTTTGTTCGTGACGCTGCTATGCAAAAACCATTAAAAAATTTTGATAAATTTTGGTTTGGAGATAGTTTAGACCAAGGCTGGCCAATGGATTTTCCTGGAGGGCAAAATCTTTTAGATTGCGGCGGCACCGGGCCACAGACTATGGCCATTCATACATAAAATATTATACACATACAAAAGTTCCAACTTTGGTTTTTGCGGCGGGCAAATCCAAATGTCCTGGCGGGCCACTTCGTGGCCCGCGGGCCTGGGATTGGCCAGCCATGGTTTAGACCAAGAAGAACAACATAAGCTACTTTTTCTCGCAAAAAAATCTAGTGTAAAACAAATCGGAGAAGTAAAATTGTAATTTCAATGTTTTTCTCAACTTTCTGAGAACTTTAAGTTCTCATGTAAACAACTCCAACGAAAAAAAACACAAGATGTCCATAACGTAAATAATTTTTCCCGGAGTAACACAAACTAATGCATATTATAGTTTATTCGCGGTAGTATGACCACCACAGCATTTCCCGGTAGTCTATAATGCCAATAAACAGTGTTTAACGATTTTAAAAATTTAACATTTTCACGGACACCTATTTTAAGCCATAGCCCGAGTATTTATATATTCTAGTTCAAAGACCAGAACTCGCAAAAATTAAATCAATATACACTTTGCGAGATCAATAAGAATCAAGTACATAACATAAGTATGTACTTATATATCGAACACCAGGTGTGCTCATCACATCATTCGCTGAATATTTATTACGATCTATCTGTGCAGATACATTTAATTTAATTGATGTGGAGTTAGATCATTTTTCATTGGCCAGATGACGGTATATAGTAAATATATAGTAGACCAAACCCAGAAAGTGAGTTTCTCGTAGTTTTAATGGTATCTATGATCATTGTAGGGTAGGGCAAATGAGTTATTTATTGATAAAACAATAATTTTGCGAAAATTCAGTAATTTACTCATTTATTACTGCTACGGATGAACAAATATTTCATGGGAATGGTATGTGTTTATTAATCTCGTGTAAAATGTCGTGTTCAAGATAAAGCGACAACAATATTTTGTTGACAACAAACAATTCACAAAAAAATATTTTAATTTCATTCGTAATGTGTGTAACCCGCAACAAACAATGTGCTTAACTGTAATACGGTTATAAAACGCGCATTAAAGAAGAAAATGTTAGTTAAGCGGAAAGAAGTAAAGTTTCATTAACTTAGCAGGTGGCGCATGCGCAAAAGAAATGTCCGCTGCAACACCAAACTTTACTTTATCTTGCATTGTCGGAAATATCATCAAATAATAAAAGAGAAATCCGTGATAAAAACAATCTTCTGCTTTTACACATTCTACTTCATTAAAAGAAGTTTAACCTTAGAAATATTCATTTCTAAATTCATATCTAAATGAGTCTTATCATAATACAATTATGATAAAAAGTCATTCTATCCTAATGTTGGTTTCAACAAAGTTAATCGTTTAAAAACAATAATATAATCATTTTCATAAAAATTATTTCTTTTATATGAAACTTACCGATATGTCATCCTGTGGATACATGAGCAACTCCCGCTGAGGATCATTCTGCAGAACAGTTTTATTCTTCTGAATAAAATTCTCAAAGTCCAAAGGCTCCACAAACTGCGGTTTACTCTAAAATTAAACAAAAAAGAAAAACAACATCAATATTAACACTAATCCCATATACTTAAAGCTAATAATAGAACTCATGCAAGTCAAACAACGCAGTCATCCGCAACAAAAAGACAATTTACAAATTTACACATCATGCGTGCAAAATCCACGATTTTACTTCCGCACTACAACACAAGTTGTAAAGAAACAGTAAAAACATCCGGATAACCTAATTTTTATTGTAGTTTGATTTGCTGTTTAATATTACAGCTCCCAAATGAGTTCTAATAATAACAACAACAAATGAAGTGATATTTTTCGCCAGTGGGCGCCGCTGCTTAGCCGAATAAAATAAAACTCATCCTGGCGAACGCGCCAGTAGGAAATCCGCATCGCAATTACATAACGCTCAAAATAAAATTAAGCAGCGCGCCGCACTCAACGGCCCAAACAAAATAGTATGTCATGTATCAGTTTCAAATGTATGTGAAGCATGTGAGATTTATTTATTTGCGTTTGAAGTTGTAGAGATAGTTAAACTTAAAGAGAATTGAGAATTGCGTTTTGGAAAGTGTGCTAGTGTTTTCCTTTTATAATATTTAGTAATGATGTATTGTCTAAACATGAGGAGCACACTCGGGTGTAATTTTATTGTAATAACATAAATTTTCACTAAATTTTCGTTTTGTTGCGATGATTTGTTACTAACCTGAACGGTTGTTTCGCGAACCACTTGCGACACGGTCTCCCTCAGCTGGGCGGCCGTGCCCGGCTTGGACAAGCCCTTCGCGAACTTCCTCTCGCTCATATTATGTGATATAAATCATCTCCGCCGAAAGAGATCACGCCAGCACATCGGATGTAAACACTTGCACAATCGCCGCACTGGATCGCAATCAGCGTGTGTTTATAATATTATCGCGACACTGACATACCGCGCACTGATGCACACTCCGCGCGCACTACACACTACTCTTCCCTACTCGCGGCAGCAGTAAATGTAAATCGTGTAGCTTCCCATGCATAATATCTACCAGTCCGACTGGTCTACTATTGCTATAGTAACTAGGAAATGGGATTCCGCTTGATTACAATTCACACTGCGGCGAGCACAGCGGCCGTGTGCGGTGTGCGGCGACTGTGAGTAATGTTGCCTACCCCGCCGTTCGAGAACACGCACCTTCCAGTTTTACTTTCATCTTTTTCACTCCTTTATCGATCAAACCACCGCGGCGGCCGCACTTGTTTCGCCATAAACTTGCGCCGCTACTGTTTGCTTTCTAGGGTATATAGGTTAGCAGATGTTTGCGCGACTTTTCGAAAACACGCACGCGATGACAATAATGCAAATGCTCTGAATACTTTGCTCGCGTTTTCCTGTGAGTGTGTGACTGTGTAACCGTATTAAAGATAAAAAATACTGCAGGTATAAGTATCGGGTTACGATTACCATTGATTGATTGTCGTTTGTTTTAACAGTCGCGCAGCTCGTATTTCAATGCCGTATGTTGATGTAGGGGTATAGAGTAACTGAATAACGAAACCAGAGCCTTGCCCACATTGCGTGACCTTAAAATATTTGCATAATTGCGTATGCTGTGTACAGTTCACTGAAAGTTCGCGCAGTTTATGCGCAGTTTATGCGCAGTTCGACGATATTAATTTCAAAATGGCAGTTTGTTTAGTGTTGTCATAGCAACGCGTATCTAACTGTAACATATCGTAATATTATGCAACCCAATAATCACCATGATGATGACTAGAATTAGATTTTATTATTGGATTATTATTGGTTATCTTGTCAAATTATCAAGTTTACGAATAAAAATGAAGAAAAACGGATTTGAATTTAGTGGCAGGATGCGCACTGCGCACTAGAGCCGTTTGTAAATAGTACAAAATTAAACGATTCACTAATTAAGCTAATGATCTTGACACGAAAACCTGCACTTGCCCAACAATTGTATTCGGTCGTGGCGAGCATGCGACTTATGTAAGGCCCCGGTCGGTATCTTTTGGCAACGCCGTTGTCGCTGCGCATCCGCGGCGTCTAAATTTAGTGCGTGCGATTGCTGCGAGCGTCGACCGCGCCAGACGTTGCTCGCTGTAAGGTGTACACTGTGAACGAAAAAAGCGTGTCGGACGTCTGTCTGCGGCCGAACGCAGCTCGATATTGGATCGACTTCAATACTCGATTGGCGATCGCCGTACTACATACGAATGCCAACGTAAATCGCGTTGTATCGGCCCGAAAAGTGAAACAGTCAGCGGTTCATCTACCGAGTATGACGAGTGCGAACACGACGACGACGACGACGTGATTAGTCCCCCAGTGCACCAGCCGCACATAATTAGCCGCCGGGAGCTAACCAAATTGCGCTGTTGTGCGCGTCCGCCTGCCGCGCTTAACGATGGAAGACGAACTCGACGATAAGATCATCTACCAGACGTACGTGTCGCACATGAAGCTCGTCTCGCGCGTCGCCTGGGGTCTTCCCCTCAACATCTCGCCCGTCGCGTACTGCGCGCATCTCTTCCGAATGTTCCGCATGTACGTGTTTAAACCCGAGGTGCTCCTCATTGGCACCGTGATGGTGTTGATCTTGGTGTACATACATTCGGTGGATGTATGGAGTCGTGATTTACTAGGGCGGCTGCAATACACCATCAATCGACCGAGGAGCAAGGAATCCAAGTTGAATTTCTTCGGCAGCGCCGAGGTGGAGAAGGCCAGCTGGCAGTCGAAGATTGGACCGATCAGCGCGTACGCCGTCCAAGGACGTCGGCCGAAGATGGAGGACCGTTTTGTCATCAATGATAACATCAACGGAACCGGTGTTTCGCTCTTCGCTGTCTTCGATGGTCACGGCGGTGAATTCGCAGCTAACTACGCAAAAGACAAACTCATTCAGAACATCTACGGCAAGATTCTTGAAGTTAAAAATCTCATGGACGGTAAAGAAGCACCGAAGGAGATCAAATGTACAGAAAAACCTGATGAGGAAAAACCCACAACTCCTTTAACACAAAGAAAGAAGAGTTTTAAAAAGACAACATCCACTACTGATGAATGTATCAAAGGCGCAGGCGCATCTGGAATCACAGATAAAGAATTACTGGATAAACTAGATAGTTTAAACAGACCTATAACAAGAGAAGTCAAAAATACAAAACTACCTGAATTGAAACCAGTGGCTGCTTCCACTTATTTCAACAAAGCAGGTGTTATAGATATTGGTAAACTAATAACAGATGAAGTCTTAGCTGCAGACAGACTTTTAATACAAGACGCAAAGAAGAATTATGATGTAGCAGGCACCACAGCACTGATTGCGATGCTGCATGGATCAAAATTAGTTGTTGCCAATGTAGGAGACTCACGTGGTGTGATGTGTGACTCGCGCTCACAAGCAATTCCGTTATCTTTCGATCACAAACCGCAACAAATGCGTGAACGCAAGCGGATTCAACAAGCGGGTGGTTTTGTAATATTCAACGGTGTATGGAGGGTTGCCGGTATTCTGGCAACCTCCCGAGCGTTGGGAGATTATCCTTTGAAGGATAAAAATCTTGTGATTGCCGATCCGGATATTTTAACATTTGAATTAAAGGACCACAAGCCGCAGTTTCTTATCCTTGCGTCCGATGGACTCTGGGATACATTCAGTAATGAGGAAGCTGTGGCTTTTATTCGCGAACGCCTGCACGAGGATGATTTCGGTGCGAAAAGTCTTACACTGCAAGCGTATTATCGTGGGTCACTGGACAACATCACAGTACTCATAATAAACTTTAAAGAGAACGCGTTCAGCTATCAGAAAGCCTCTTAAATTTCGTTATCTTTGTCCATGTTTAACCCAAATTGTAAAACGGCATTCGCCAATTAGCGCTAGTTACCGAATGTTGTTACCAATTTCAAGTGATTTTAGTGATTTAATTTGTAAATTGTATAAATTATACTGTGTTTTAGTCTATTTAAACTTATTCGTTGACTATTTGGATAAGTACCGCGTCTACTGAATGTTTAAACTAACATAAAAATTCAATTTCGGTTGGCATGAAGCAATCAGTATTTGTACATGTTATTTACATATTGCATATTGATGCAAAAAAGGTGCTGATGTTGAAGTGTTTACTGGAAACGTACGCTTGCGATAAACAAAGATCATGTGACCAATATGATTACGATTTAGTATCGTTTGATAAAACGAAACAGATAAAACTATTTTGCTACAACCACAACTCAATCCAAACTAAAAACTATTCTTGTCGAATCTCAATGTAAATGTAATTTTCCAATTGAATTAAGCGTGCAAATATGTAATCGATGCACGTGTTACGCTTCATATCACATATTGCTGCACTGATGATGAATCCAGGCGAATTTATTACACACCAAGATTATAAACCTATTTACGATTTGTAAAATAAGAGATATTTTGATACGATTTGCTAAAACGACTCAATCACTACGAAATGTATAAAATTCGATACAAATTCGATGCGAACGATTTTTGATTGGGATTGCTCTTCACGTTTGTTACCGATGCGTTGTTGTTTAACGAGTTTATGAAGCGTTATCTGTGTGAGCGAGTACAGATCCTCAAATATTATGTGAAATATTTGTATACTTATGCAACCTTCGTGATGTCCTGAACTGTCTGATAAAATTAAATTAATTTAACTTGATCTTTACCTGTCTTATGCTTTACTTTATACATAAAAAACAATATTTATAAACGACAATCACAAAGTATACAAAACAGCAGTTGCCGTAGCAATATGAACGTACAATGATTCGCTTACGTCCACAAACCTATACAATAATCTCGTATTCGTCCTCTTGTCTTTAAACTCCATGAAAACTCGGATTCGATTTGCATTGTGTGCTGCATACAGTTAGAGAATTTCGAATTCGTTCTCTGAATCACATAGCCGGTCGGAACAATCTGAAAAAACACAAATTTATTAAATATTTTACGTGTAGAAGCCGATTACTTTTGGTAGGAGATGTGTTAAGGTGTGTCCAGGTCGTGGTATCATTGCATTCAGCGCCGATTACATCCTCACCAATGCAATCAACCGACGGCGAATACTGCTCGGGACGTTCGTTGCAGATCTCGAAAAGGGCTTGTTTCTCATCGGCGATTAATTTGTCACGTATCAATTGGCAGAGGTCGTCGAAATCTCGTTCTTGTTCGCAGAAAAAGCACTGAATCAAAACAATCATATAAATAACTGCATGACTTGCATTTTTTTCACATTGTTTTTGTTTGGGTTATAAATACACGACTTACGACTGCAACCGAGGGATCCATTTGTAAAATATTAATGCGCGATGCGCGCTTGCAGTGATACGTGCTGTCCATTTCGACTTGTTCTTCGTTTTCTTTGCCTTCGACGCAGCCAGTGCGCTGAGTTGTGTGCGGATCGAGGTAGATTACTTCGTCGCCAACGCAACCAATGAAATACAGCGCTAAGTTCGGTTTGCCACCAATCACGCCTAGACTTTGAGGAAATTTGAAACATTTCTATGGAAAATTTTGTTTAAATTTCATTTTCATTACTGGAATATAGAAAATAAAGATACCTTTAAACCAGATATATAAATTGGGTTAATTTCGTTTAATCCTAAGCGTAAAGGCACGACCAACAGCAGGGGTTTCCACTGCGGCCTCATCGAGGTATTCGAGGGCGAATTCTCAGCGAAGCACAACTCTCTGATATCGTTGACAATCATCGTGTTGTCCAGCGCCACGTGGATTACTAACGAATTCCATGAGTCAAACTTTACTAATCTTCTAAATTACATAAAACAAAGCATTACGTACATAACCTCAAAACTTAAATTTACATTAACCTTACTTTAAAACCTGAGCAATTGTATTAGGTCCAAACCACTGCCCCACTTCTTTGCCTTCTGAAGCACCCATCAAAGCAATCTGATGAATTGAATATGGCGCATGTCTATTATCCTCAAACTTTTTCAATATTTTCAAATACACTGGATCCCTGCTTATGGCATCCCACAACCAATCTCTGCCTAGATGTAGAATAACCAATGCTTGTCCAAGCACCATCTGTCCACATCTGAGCATACAACCCCAGCCTTTATCCGAAGTCAAACCATCGCCACCACCTATAGGAACGAATCCTCGACGGTATGTGAACCACAGTCTTGATTGTATATCCTGACGAATCATTGTGAGCTCTAAAATGATAAAAATTAAAAAATAGCTTGATTTTGTTGAGTTTTACCTTTGTTGGCATCATATTTTATTCCAAGGATATAAACCGGCTCCTTGGTCAGTGGTATATCGTCAGTTTCCGAGTTTCCATCAGTGAGGTATGCCTCAAACATGCAGTCCATTATTTCTCTGGTAGCAATACACATAAACTATTAATAAATTCTATTGTTCCTGAAGATTTAGTAGGTAGCAAATGGCGAGGTTAGATGTCTATCGTATGTATCATTCACTGCACTTAACTATCACTCTGACGATGATTGTTATCAGTGGATGCGGTTTGTTTTGATGAAATAACTAGCAATATTTACTGGAGCATGCGACACATGGAAGTTAAAACGCCATTGTTGGTACAACTGATCAGCTGATTCATCAAAACATGTCAAATGGGATAAATTAGGTCACAGAGTTTTTTTAAAGCTCAATTCACGTGAATACTAATTTAAAATTTAAATATTACAGATGATTGTATGAATTTAATGAAAATATTATGATATTTTTGAGATTTTTACGTTTAGAGATGAAATAATTAGTTATTTTTTGTTCTAACCTTAAAATTAAAAGTGCCATCATCGCTTTGATGCATAACTGCCGAAAATACAAATACAAGCGCCGAAAATAACTAATGCTGTTTCGTTCGGCCTTTATCATGCCTAATCCGCGTGAATATGTCAATAGGAAAACTACAATCTTGCGTTGATGAACTTTGTAAATTGTTTGCCGAATGTTTGCAAATACAACGTGATTAGTTTATTGCATTAGAAAAATATTTTCACTTCAGTTAATCTTTTAGTAAATAGAATGCGCTATGATTAATATTATAACGAATATAATATATTTGTTCCAAGCAACACAATAAATATTTGGAATAATATCTGGAATCAAAAGAATCAATAATTTTTCCAAGTTTTACAAAACTTTAAATTGCACAAATTGCAAATCACACGTTTTCCGCCATTACACTTTGTGTAACTCACGCTCGATTACTAATAATATATAGATAAAAATATACAAGAGTGTAAAGTTAACACTAGCCACCAAAAAAGTTAAAAACACACAAGTTTTACATCATTTGCATTGATTAGCATAGTAAAAGTCTGACAAGTTTCAAGAGTTTAACTCTGAACCTGCTGATTCTTCTCACAGTGTCGCGTCCGAAAGTGCGCATTCAGCGTTCCTTTACTATAAAATGACTTGCTGCAATGTGTGCAATTGAAAGGCCTCTCCTGTGTGTGGGTTCGCGTATGAATAATCAGATTATTGTTGGTGGAGAACTGTTTGCCACAATAGCCACACTGGAATGGTTTGATCTCTTTGTGGGTGATGCTGTGTGTCAATAAGTTGCCCTTGGTTGTGAACCTCTTGGTGCACACATCACACTCATAAGGTTTGTCCTTGTTGTGTGATCTCATGTGGACAGTCAAGTTACCTTTGGTTGTGAAACCTTTTCCGCATAATTCACAAGCAAACGGACGAAATTCTGAGTGGGAAATTAGATGTGTGTTCAAATTGCCTTTTGCTGTGAAACTCTTGCCACACTCACTGCAAATGTAGGGTTTTTCCAGTGTGTGTGTCCTCTTGTGCACAATTAAATTCCCTTTTGTGCTGAACGACTTCTCGCAGTACTCACAAACAAATTTCTCAGCTTGGTTTGTGTGTGAGCTGGACTGCGAGAGGTTCTGATTGGAAACTTTACCATTTGATGGTCCTAGCTGGTTGAGTTCTTGTGTTGGCATAGGTACTTGCAAAGGCTGTGGATGTGGCGGTTGTTGGGGTGGCGGCAATTGCGTATACTCCTTGGAATATTCCAGTTTCAAATTCATCTCCAGGTAATTATTGTAGATGCCATGATGGATGTGATCAATGTGTTCATTGTGTTCTACCTTGACTGACTGATACTCCATTTTGATGGGGTCTTTGTACATCATTGAGGGATGATTGCTCATCATGTTTAGGCAGTTTGCGCAGCAATTGTTGATCAGAGTAATGCATTATCTTCCATTTTGTTTAAAAAGTTTCACACCAGTTTGACAACACTTGCTACTGACCTAACCTCATTGCAATGCAATTGTTTTGGTTGTTTGTTTATTTAGATTTTGTTGTATGATTCGGTTGTATATGAAATACGACCGCTATAAACAATTTACTTTGGAATTTAGGTGGATTAATTTACACTGGAAAAGTAGATAAGGGTTTTGCATAGCAGGACTTGATTGGACAGACTGTAACTGCAGGGAAATGAATGGGGAATATGAATGTGTCTCAGAAATACGTGATTATAAAATTTAAAATATTGCAAATGAGACTAATTTAATTGTTAATACCAATAAAAATTGTTAAAAATTGCTTGGTTTTATGAATTAATTATAAAATAAAATAAATTTGTTTTTATTTGTTAAATCTTTTGACTAATATTTAAAAATCAAGACAATTTGATGTATTTTTATGATAATAAATTACTGTGGGGTTTAAAAGATTAAAAATCGGTGTAAATAATGAAATAAGATTTCATTTTGCGAATTTTGACAAACGAAACATTTTCGAACCGCGATTCTAGTTATTTCGTGTTTGTCACCAACTGTTTTGAACTCGACGAAGGCGATTACTTCATCCTTCATCCTTCGCTTGTGCGCCTGTTTGACAAGGCCGCTGACACAGAACACCGCCGTGCCCGCCGCACTCGTTCGCTCGATAATACTCCGATTGCGATAGGCGCTCGCCACAATCGAGTAAACACGCTAACGGCTGCGAGCGATTAATGTGCGCGAGCACTACGTGAGGAAATTCACGCAGCGTGTGCAAGTGCCGAAGCGTTAAGTGCCCAGAAAGCCGGCCCAACGGTTTTGTAATCATGGAGGCTCTCATACCAGTCATCAACAAACTGCAAGATGTGTTCAACACGGTCGGTTCGGACGCGATTCATTTACCGCAAATCATCGTCCTTGGCTCACAGGTACTTATCACACATTAAATCCATTAAAATTAACCCTATTTTTACATTTAATCATCAAATTATTCTATAGAGTTCTGGAAAAAGTTCCGTCATTGAAAGCCTTGTTGGAAAATCATTTCTCCCTCGTGGCATTGGCATTGTCACTCGGCGGCCGCTCATTCTTCAACTGGTATACTGTCCCAAGGAGGACAAAGAACACAGAAATGCCATGGATGGAACTGCTGAGTTGGAGGACTGGGGTGTGTTTCTCCACGCGAAGAATCGAATATTCCGGAATTTCGAAGAGATCCGTAAGGAAATCGAGGATGAAACCGATAAATTAGCCGGTGCCAACAAAGGCATCTGCCCAGAACCAATCAATTTGAAGATCTTCAGCACCAAAGTGGTGAATCTCACCTTGGTTGACCTGCCAGGCATCACAAAGGTGCCCATTGGTGATCAACCAGAAGACATTGAGGCACAGATCAAGGACCTGGTGCTGAAATACATCGCCAATCCAAATTCAATCATCCTGGCTGTGGTAACTGCTAACACAGACATGGCTACCTCTGAGAGTCTGAAGATTGCCAAAGATGTGGATCCAGATGGCAGGAGAACTTTGGCAGTTGTCACAAAGCTGGATTTAATGGATGCTGGCACCGATGCCATTGATATATTATGCGGGCGAGTGATTCCAGTCAAATTGGGGATTATTGGCGTTGTTAATCGATCTCAAGCGGATATTCTCAATAATAAAACTATCAAAGATGCATTAAAAGACGAAGCTTCGTATCTTCAGAGTAAATATCCCACGTTGGCGACGAGGAACGGCACTCCCTACTTGGCGAAGACTTTGAACAGATTACTCATGCATCACATTCGAGATTGTTTACCGGATTTAAAAGTGAGTTATCTATTATCGTAATCTTTGAAAATTTATCATAATTCATTTTTATTTATCCAGACGCGAGTTAATTTAATGATGTCACAATTCCACTCACTCTTGAGTTCTTATGGTGAAGATATCTCTGATAAAGCAAAAACTCTTCTGCAAATCATCACAAAATTCGCTTCGGCTTACTGCTCTACAATTGAAGGAACAGCTAGGAATATTGAAACAACTGAATTATGCGGAGGTGCTAGAATCTGCTACATTTTCCATGAGACTTTCGGCCGGACACTGGATTCCATTCATCCGTTAGCCGGTCTCACAAAAATGGACATTCTCACTGCGATTCGTAATGCAAACGGGCCACGACCGGCTCTATTCGTGCCTGAAGTGTCTTTTGAACTCTTGGTAAAGAGACAAATCCGTCGTCTTGAAGAACCATCGCTGAGATGCGTTGAACTAATCCACGAAGAAATGCAACGCATTATTCAAGTAAATTTCTATTAAATTCACTAAAAATTAAGTAAATAATAATAAAAATAATAATTTTAGCATTGTGGAAGTGAAGTACAGCAGGAAATGTTACGTTTCCCAAAACTTTATGAACGTATTGTCGATGTGGTGACACAATTACTTCGTAGAAGATTACCGACGACGAATACAATGGTCGAGAACTTGGTGCAAATTGAATTGGCCTATATCAACACAAAACATCCGGATTTCTATAAAGATATCCAAATGGTGCCGACAATGATCAAAAACCAAGATGGCAACCGCGCTAATCGACCCAAAAGCGTCATGATTAATAAATTCAACGATAATCCAGTGCCACAAGAAGATATGGTAAGTGCGCAACGCTGGCGAAGACCGTCGATGAATATGAGTGTCAAGTTTTCAATCAAGGTGTCCCTTACATTCATTTTTATTTGTCTTAGATTAATAGTTATCCGAGTCAGGATCAAGTTGATTTCTTTAATTATCTTTTTCGCATCTTGCCTGTAACTAGTTATAACGATTTCGTCCAACTGATGCAGGTATTTCGTGTTGTACGCCACAAGAACATTTCGTGACGAATCTCTAACCAGTTTCATGTAGTCGCTAGTTTTACTAACCGAATCTAATCGTTGTGCTTGCAGGCTCGTTCGAACAGCAATCCGCAGCTGAATGATAAAGACGCCACTTCCTGGGTGTCCAATTTGATGTCCAGTCAGAATCAGAGCAAGGATTCGAACCAATCGCCGAATAGTATCCCGGATCACATGGCACAACAGAATGACGATCTTCGGTCGGTGTTGAGTCCGGTGAAACCGGTTAATTTGTTGCCACAAGTTCCGATTAATAGTAATAACTTCAGGAAGCTCTCTGAGAATGAAGAACACGACTGTGAGATTATTGGTGAGTGAAATTACTTTGTTAATCGATTAAAAATTAATGTTTTGTGTGATTTTCAGAGCGTTTGATTAAATCTTATTTCTACATCGTGCGTAAATCGATCCAGGACACTGTCCCGAAAGCAGTGATGCATTTTCTTGTCAATTTCGTTAAGGATAATCTACAGTCTGAGCTGGTGACACATTTGTATAAAGCCGATAATGCAGATACCCTTCTGGATGAGTCTGAGCACATCGCACAGCGGCGTAAAGAAGCTGCGGATATGTTGAAAGCTCTGCAACGTGCCGCACATATTATTAGCGAAATTCGCGAGACTCACATGTGGTAAAGCAGCTTTTCTAAGGTATTATTGGTGACTCATCCATTTTGCCAAAAAACAAGAAATCACAGATTACATTTCGAGTTAGTAATTGTTTTGTGCTCATATTAAGTATAATTATCGACGGAAAACCAAAGAAATCATGCTTTTTCACACAATCGTCAGACGTGTTTGTACTTAAAAACGAATTGAATTCCTACACATCTCTAAAATTTTTGGAACAAAAACGACGATGCCATGTTGAACGTACCAGTAACAAGTTATGCAACCAAGATTGTAACCTAGGACATTGATTGATTGTTGATTTGTTTGTAAATAGATTGTTAAGTAGCACTGTGTTATTAGCAATTACTTTTTTCACTGGATGAATTGGACAAATTACTGAATCTTTTACACGATCGACTTTGTTTTGATATTATTTTTTCGTTATGGAAATTACTTACTGGCTGGTTTTTGTTTTTCCCTTTTTCATCGTTGTCACTCACTTTTCATGTAGTAGACGAGTAGATTTCAAATAAAATTATTTCAAAAACTCACCAACTACAAAGTACTTGCTTCTTTTTGGGAATATTGTTGTATATTCTTGAAACACTATGATTTATAATCACATAAAACTTATTTCTCTTTGCTGGATGCAAAGAGGGTTAAAAATCGTTGGCAATTGCAAACGCTGAAGATTTATAAACAAAACAAAAAGATAAAATTACGTGGTAAATGTAAATGCTGCCGTTTTTTAATTGCACACTTCACCACCAGCTCCAGTTTCTTCCGGAGGTGGATTTTCGATGACTGTTACGTCGTGTTCGTAGTCCATGTCATCATCGGACGGATTTACAGGCAAAGATGGACGCTTTTTTGTTGGATCACTTGCCGGATCCGAAAACAGATCGCTTTTTGGAGTTATCTTCGATACTGGATTGATTACAACATCACCTTTGGCGTTATTCGCTCCAGAAAGGTCCTTAACATCAACATCCGGCAACCTTTACAACAAAAAATTGATTTAAAGAGACATAATAACATATATTTTACATCTTTTAACTTACACTTCAAGTAATTTAAAATCACCAGAGCTTTTAGTATCACCAATATGTGAATTGGTTTCAACACAAAGCCCATAATCAAAACAATCACGAAATTTACAGTTTGCAGCATTAAAACTGCACAAATCATAAATTTTTACACCGACATTCGCTTCATAAACATCACAATTAGTTAGTTTAATCTGCGAACCGGAATTACCAACAATCGCCGTGAAAAAACCAGCAATCTCACAATTTTCCATCTCGAGTTGCCCACCTTTCAAAACAATGATTCCTTGATGAGTTGAAGACTTGTTATCACCATGCAATTTACAGTTTTTCAATGTAGTTTTTCCAGCACGAATTAAAATACCGCATTGGGAATAAGATGCGTTGATTGTTAAATTTTCAATTGTCACATCACCTCTGAAATCCAGCATTATATCTTCATTTGTAGTTGATAAAGTTGTAGATTCTTTATCATAAATGCCTTTAAGTGTTCCACCACATTCCAAGCCACTTGTATTCTTAATAATATGTCTGGATTTGTTCAAAATAATCATGTCATGATAGTGGAAGTTTTCTAGAACATCACACAAAGAATTTGAGAAAATAAACTCAGCATTAAACTCAGGATCATTTTGTTTAAGTTGCTGAAGAAAATCTGTGTAATCTTCAAGTTTTCCTTTTGGAAACACAGCCCAAGTTTGTGGAATTCTATCATCTTTTTGATTCTTTTTCTCAGATCTACTAATAATAATGTTTCTGGTGACAGGGTTTTCTAGAAACGCCATCTCACTCTTGATCTCAACCATTTCCATATTCAATGATAGCAATTCCTGCACCTGAGGATCATTTGTATCATCAATTTCAATATTCTTCTCAGCAATTTCATATTGTAGGTTTTCTCTGTGATTTTGAATACGACGTGCTTCTGTTAGCAGAGTTTTGATATGTTCGGCAGTTTTACGTGGGATAACACCGTTTTTCATATCATAATACAATCGCAATCTGCTGCTTAAATTATTAGACAGCCAATTGGTATCATCATCATCATGATCCCATGGCAGGAAAACATGCATATAAAAGAATCTGTACATGTCAGTTACATTTGCTGTGGTTGCTAGATCTAAAACCACTGATTTATCTTGTTCTTTGGTTGGCCACAGTTGCATTAAAGGCACAAAGTGATGCTCATGAATTTCAATATCATCCTGAACACCTATGACTTTGATGTGTGCAGACAATTCATCAAAATCAACGGAATCTACATATACTAATATTAATGAAGGGAATGGAATCTTGAGTTCTTGGCAAACAAGGCGAGGGACTTTCCATACCGCTTGCCAGCCGTTGAGATCGATTGTTAACTCCAGATAGAAACTCCATGCTTTGCGGATGGAATCTGCCGATGTTACCTTGTCGTTGGAGAGGATCTCCACGTATTCGTGAAGGCGTTCTTGGAGACTCTTGTCGAAATGAAACACCTCGTCCATTTTCACTTGGTTTTATTTCTTTAGGAACTGATTAACGTATGTATGTTTACTTATTAATGTTAAAATAACTTCTAGACGTCTAATAACGGTTATTTTCAAAGTCTACCAACGGCTGACCGTGACAAATAAATAAGCAGAGTAAAAGGCGCGAAATCGAAGCGCTCCTGTCGCAAAATCAGCGCCATAACCTTTTAATTTTCAAATTTTTGATTATTCAGGTACAATAATTAAATATATAGTATTTAACAAAGATCTACATTAACTAATTGTTTAATTATATGTTTTATTTGTTGTGGGTTCTTTGAAGTAGAGCTAAATATGAGTAAGTAGCTTTCAACGCCTGAAAAACAAGATTTATGTTAACAGTTTTCTTTCTAGTTTAAAAACAAATTAATACTTACAGCTGAAAATAATAGAAAATCGCAATATGTTAGAGAGCCAGCAGGTATTCTCAAAGGTCGTTGCGTTTGTTGTAACATAAACAACATCATTTTTGCTGTGGGCGAGTCTCCATCAAATGGAATTGTTTCAACTACGACCTTTGCAAGTGCTTCGCTCTTAAAAAAATATTTATAAATATTTAATGTTTATAAATTGTTTATTTTTGGTAATTTTATATGAATTTACCTCGTTTAACATCCGCTGGCCCATAAAACAGACAACAAACAAAGTCATTGTCCAAATCGCAAAAATCAAAAAGCACTGAACTTGAAAATCAATCAAAAATGTGTGCATCATCATTGCCATCACAACTGGCGTCGATATTGCATGCACCACGAAGATTCCTTTTGCAATAATGCAATAATTCTCATACAAACTTAAAGTATAACAACTTATGTAAAAAAAATCCTTCTAATTTGTATAGAATATAACATACAATAAAATTCTTTGATGATATTGCACAACATATCGCAGATGGTTTTGCCTCTCCACAAAACTCTCAATCAAAGACACTTTCTTAGTTATAGACTGACATTGTTTCAAATATAGCACAATATATTCGGCCATATGCATTCCAACCCACACACTTCCGGTTCCCAACAATACATACATCCACGCAGAAGTTATTTGCACTAAAAGAAAACACCTACGCCGAAACGGTGTCATCATTCCTGGTATATACGCCGGATAAAGAAAACCGCAAGAATAATCATTTTCAGCGCATTTCATCGGTAATAAAAATGCTAACAACACAGGTGTTAATATTATTATAGTAATGATTACAGATTTAAAAATGCCATTTAAGAAAGCATCGGCAAATTCAATACCAGAAGGTTTTTCAAATTGACGAAAGTCACCCAATTGTTGCAACAATTTCTTAGCTAGATGGCGGTGCCTGTATAAATGCGTACAATATTGATAACCGGAAATGCCAAGAGTAAGCAGTGCAAAATCTACAGCAACGTTATCATAATTAAAATTACCAGAAACATCTGAAACAAAACAAACAACTTCAATAAATTGATAATTTTTTAGTGTTACTTATATTAATGGTACATAATTTAATAATGTGTCCCCATAATCCTATCATTATAATATTGCAGTAGAGGAAAACCAAACCATAACAAAATCTGCTTTTAAATGGCGTTCGTGCCATCGGCCATGATTGCAAATACTTCAAAGTAGTGACAACAGTTGTTGCCAATTCTGTTTGTCCATCAATAATATTTGGCAATTTAACCAACTTGTTAAAAACCTGAAAAGGTAACTTCGCCATTATGCGTCCAATTAGACTTTCAATTCACGTGTGTGTCATTTTATAACAATTGCTTTATGATTTATTAAATCTCTTTTGTCTTGTTCGCGTGTTTACTCTAATGGGTTTGAATAAATTATTAACTTTAATCGGCGCTTTTCATTGCTGAAAAGTTTCTCGCACGTTTTTGGTTCTCATAGGCGACGGTAATTTGTCAAGAAAAAGATTTATGTAAACATTTGCTTAGAAAAACATATGATTTTGTTTTGTATTAAGTTTTTAATCGTTTTTTGCTATTTGCTATCGTTATTTGACAAAACTAAAAGTTTTTTTTTACAGTAATGAGTAAGTAATGAGTAAGTGAGTGAGTAATGAGTAAAACATACAATTAAGTGTTTAAATATTTATATTTTCTGTTTGTAAACTAGGTTATGTAAAAAAACAAGGTTATGTTGCACAAAAAAAACAAAAACTTAATTTTTCTTTGATTTATATAACAAAACAACTACTTATATTCCTGTATTATCACGAATGTAACGTCTTAGATTTGCTTCCCCTACATTTGCATACACACCCGGAAAACCAGGCTTGGCACAGCCGTCCCCAAAAGATACAACACCATACAATACACCATTCATTACAAGGGGACCACCTGAATCGTTTTGGCACGCATCTTTACCGTTATCAGCGGCACAAATCATACGATCTGTCAAAGTATTCCCATAACTTCTTCGACATACACTCCAGTTGACCATTTTGACATCCACGGCACGAACTATCCTCGGGGAGGTACCCTGGAAATACTGATGACCCCATCCGGATACCCAGAGAGTAGAACCCACAGCAGGCACTTGACCAGACCCAGCCAGACGAATAGGTTGTACATTTTGGTTGAAAGACATAGGGCTCACGTTAATCAAAGCAATATCAAAATCATGTTCACTCATTAGTTGGTATCGTGGATTTGACAGGATTTGATAAACAACCAGCAATTGCCCACCAGACATATAGTCAGATGAACCAACACGTACTCTCATTTGATTTGGAAATACACCTGGGACGCAATGAGCTGCTGTGAGAATCCAGTTGGAGCTGATGATTGAACCACCACAGAATATTCGGGAATTGCCGGCTTCAACTAAAGCAGCTTGATAGCTGATGTATCTGATGTCTGTTTCAAATCCACCGACGATTTTGCCTTCTTGGTTGGTATCCGTGTCATTTTCGCCTGAATATTAACAATAAACAAATTGAATGAAATTTGTTGAAATTAATGATAATGAATGGTATTACCTTTGACAATGGCAAAAATTCCAACGACAAACCACGAAACAAGCAACTTCATGATTGATTCAAATGAAGTGTAATATACAAACCAAAATATTTCATATTTATATGTTTCATGAACTGTTAATATTTAAAAATATTTTAAGTATTTAAGTATTTTACATAGGTAAATGCTAATTATATTGTTTTGTTTATAATACAATCGCATGCATGCCAATATCAAGTATCAGTTAAAAGATCTTCAATTGCCATTGAATAATTTGTTTAGAATGACGCAAAGTAATCTATTATTATTGTGCAAGGTAACTTGGTTATTCAAAAAATGGGAATATGCATGAAATATGGTGTGGTACAATTTTTTAATCGGTATTATTGTTAATTTAAAAGATAAAATGTTTAAAAGTAGCGCAATAGGTAAAAAATATGAAATATATTAAGTAAATAATATATAATATTATTATTTTCTAAGTTGAATACGTAATCCATGGTAGTAATTTATAAAATATATTTATTAAAATAATTTTGTGATTTTCATCAGTTTCTGATGATGCCCACAGGGCGAAACATGTAAAACTGGCATACAAAATTGTAAAATCCAAGAAAATCACAAAATTATTTTAATAAATATATTTTATAAAATATATAATAGAAGGTTTTAAGTGTTATTGAAGGTTTAATAATTGAGCGTAACATCACTGGGTACCAACAATACGCATTCCAAGCTAAAGACCTAAAGACAGAGGAAACCGGGAAACCTAGAAGACTGCGACTGGACTGCTGGACCACTCAGACACGACTGAGCACATGGCGCGCAGCGCGCTACCCTTTTATACCTGCGGCCGACCCGCATAAAGTGGTGGGGGTAAATGCGTCAGCAAGTGTTACGAAACTGCACGCACACGGGTGTCTAGCGGGCAACTGAAAATAGTGGAGGGGGTATGAGGGTAGACGGATGTCCCTATCTCGTCCAGACCATTTTGGACAATACTGCAAAGAGGTCACTAATAGTTGATGAAGAATTTGTACAATTCTTAATGTTATTGTAATCAAATGTAATTATAATAACGGAATTAAATACTGCATTATATAATATTTATTATTTATTACATATAATCCTTGAATACAAGCCAAATATCATAACTTTTATATTCCAGTGTTATCACGAATATAACGCCTAATAACGGGAGTAGCAACACTAGTATACACACCAGGATAACTAACAAGAGCACATCCTGACCCGTGAGAAGTAATACCCACCAATACACTACCACGGGCGGTAGGAAGAATCAATGGGCCACCAGAATCAGCCTGGCAGGTATCCTTACCAGTATCAGCAGCGCAGATCATATTATTCGTCAAATTTGCATATCTCAACCTACACAGCAAGTGAAATGTAATTCTTACAAGCACAGCTCGCACAATCCTACTTGGAGTGCCTCCTGACTGTTGATGTCCCCATCCGGAAGCCAAAACGCTTGAACCTGTTGATGGGTATTCTCTTTCATCAGGTAATTGGCACGTAGCAACCGTACTGTTATTGATGGTGATATTGTTAATCTTAATTAGACCAACATCGTAATCAAAACGGTAAACCCTGTCAAAGTTAGGGTTTGTCAGGATAGCGATTGCATCAACCAATTGACCACCTTCAGTGTAATCAGAGGATCCAACTCGGATTTTTATATCTTCAGGACGCATGCCAACGATGCAATGAGCAGCGGTGACGATCCATTGGTTACTGATGATTGAACCAGCACAGAAGATTGAGTTATTTGTAGCTGTGAGTAAAACAGCTATGTATGGGACTTGTTCAATGGTTGTTTGGTATCCTCCGACAATTCTGCCTTCTTGGGGGAAGACGGAATCATCTTCGTCACCTAAATAATACAAAAATTATGTTTATTAATATTTTAAATTATATTTGTTAGAATTTTTAGTTTTTACCTTTTGCAAGGGCGACAAATGCAAGCAGGGACAATATAATCAAGTACTTCATGGTTATCCAAGTCAAATAACCAGAGTGATTAGCTTTTAAAAATTGATTGGACTTATATATTCACACCATATTCAAATTTGTAGAGTAGTATAGTATAAAATGTATTTTATCAGCTAATTTTACATATTGATACTTGTTGTTGGCGTCAACTACCAGAATAGAGTGTTTTGTAACAACTTGGTTAATGTGTTTTTCTTGCATATTTTTAAATATTAAAAATAAACATCAGAAACAAAATATATTCCTCTAGCAATGATTATGGGTAGGTTATATTAGGAGTTAATTTCAAAGCAATTTTATCGAAATGAAAAAAACATTGTTTTTGTTTTTTTTTTTACAAAAATTTTAAACTCACAGCGTCTATAAATTGGAAAATTTGTTTCACAATGTTTTGGTTTATCCAAAAAAATGCTAAGGTTTTGAGGAATGCAAAACATAAACGTTTTTCTTCGAAACACATTCTAAATATCAAAATAACAATTTTTTAATTGAAAAATTCTATTATATTTTATGCCTTATACAATCGTGTATTGTTTCAGAATGAGAGTCAATTATAAACTAAATAATTACGTATCTAACTAACGCTATTACCTATAGCTAATGCTATCTAACACATCAATCTTCCTTATATTCATATAAATGTTTATTGTTTATCATCGCATTATGCTGCGTTATGCAACGTAGCCATTTGCGCGAATTACGTAAAACATTAACAGCATTATCAACGCCTTGCTGGCAGCTAGCCGATAGTCAATACATTGATATATTTATTTATATATATACATATATCCAACAAAAGTCAATTTCGAGTGTGCGTTCGTTCGTGTATTCAAATTACGCCGCAACCTCGCTTACTCGATTACGGCCGCAGCGAAACCAGTTCGTATTTCAAATTTCACCTTCTGCAATTGTTTCGTCGCACGAGAGAGTAATGATTTCCAATTTCCGCGTATTGATACGCGCGACTTCGCGCACCGCTGCGGCTATGCGGCTTCTTTTTTCCACCAAACGCAAGTCCACTTACGCAATGTGTTCTACAAAATCACACCTAGAAACACATTCGGTGTGCGTAACAAATGTTTTACTGATTCTAAACGTACGTAGTAATCGAAATCGAATTCTAGAATAATAGTGAGTATTATTGGCACGTGTTGTCAGGCCTGCGCTCGAAACATATTATTTAGGTAATAAAACTTAATCGTAGTCATTTTCTTGGTGGTTTTCCTACTCGTTGCAGCTAATATCAAATAATACCAAACACAAAATTAATCAAATAAAATAAATACACAAGGAAATCATATGTCTACAAATAAAAACATGACTCGCATTGTCATGACGCTTCTTTCTGCTTTTTTTCTTCAGTTATAAGTTATTGGTGTATCTCGTTGTTTTTGTTTTCATCTAGCACACATAGTCTACATTCCTAATCTCTTGATGCAAGATACGAACTGAGTCGATCGTGAGGTTACATTTAGGCAACCGTGCCGGGTTGTCGCAATGTCAATCGCCTTCGTCCTGCTAGTAATTTGTTCAATCCTTTTGGTTCCTCTGTGGTGCTTGTCGTTGAACTTGCGGCGGCATCAGTGGCGCCCTCTTCGGCGTCTGATGACGAAGCTTCGGTTGATGCTTCCGCAGGGGCAGCTGCTTCAGTTGTGGAAGCTTCTCCGATTGGTTTACGACGAGATATCAAGGGATTTGCACGACGTACTTGAACGGGGGCACTGGCTGCAGCTTTCGGGGCAGCTGGGCGGACCTGCAGGGGAGTACGTTGTCTGTTGCGTAGACGGGAGAGGGGGTTTGAATCTGGAGCTGGAGTTACTTCAGCTTCCTGTAATTAATGTGTATATATTAATATTAAGGTCTTGATTATTGTGAAAACAACAAACCTTTGTTTCTCCTTCTTCTGCATGTGTCTTCTCTTGATCTTCTTCTACAACAGGTGCAGGTTCAGCTGGGTTCTCAGCTGGGGCTGCTGTGGTAACACCAAGACGTCCTCTACCTCCAGTTAAATTAATCCTAGGTCCTGGACGTAGTGGACGTACGTTGGATCCGTTAAGTTTTGGTCTGGAGCGGGTTGTTGTTGATGCTTCTTGACCTTCTTCAGTTGGAGCAGATTCTGCCTCCGGAGCTGGAGTAGGTCTCGTCCTTCCTCTTAAATTGAAAGTAGGTCTTGGTCTTAGAGATGATGCTTTGGTTGGTGTGGCAGGTGATTTTGCCTCATTGGTACCTTCAGGTGCTACGGTGGTGACTCTTGTGCGACCAGCACCAAAACGGGTACGACTACGTGTGGCACTCACAGGTTTTGCTTCTTCTTTTGTTTCCTTCTGTTCGGTTTCACCTTCAGTTGCTGTAGCAGCTGGTCGGGCTCTAGGACGAGATCCAAAGGATGGACGTCCAAACCGACTCTTTGGTTTACCATCGGAAGATGCGGGAGCTTCGGTTGTTGTGCTGGTTGATACAGGTTTACGACCACCAATGGCAGGTCTCGTGCGGTATTTACCTCTACCGAAAACATTTTCAGGAGCAGCAGAAGAAGGAGCTTGAGTGGTGGTAGTAGTAGTGGTTGTTGTTGTTGAAGGAGCTGCTTCAGTAGTAGGAACTTCAGTTGTAGCCTCTAATGTAGTGGTTTCAGCATCAGCCTCAGTATTCATTTCAGTGTTACCTTCAGATTCTTCACCTGATAATCTTTGCGTACCCTGAAGAATCGCGTATAAATCAAGAGCAACTTTATCCATTGCAGACATCATAGTTGTAGCTTCTTCAGTAGCTACTGCAGCTGGTGCAGCGGGTGCAACTTCACTTTCCCCTGATGCTTCCTTTTTATCCTGAAGATCCATGCGTTCATTAGGAGTAGCTCCCAGGAATCTCACAGGCCCAGCTGGTAAATCAGCAGGGAAAGTAGGTCCACTACCATTTGGTGGTTCACCACTAGACGTATGCGTGTTGAAACTAGCACTATCAACAAGTTCCAAAGATGGTCGTCTTACATTCGCACGTGTGCGACCTCGAGACCCTTGCGTCTCGTCAGAAACACTATCTGAAGTGTTTTCAGCTGAAGTTGCAGCTGCTTGAGCTTCAGGACGTCCTCGACCACGACCTCTTGGTTTAACCTCTTCTACAACTTCCTCTACAACAGATGGTGTTGTGTTCAAGTTACGACTACGTGGTGGAAAGCGGGTGTTAGCTGGAAGGCGTTCATCAGCAACATCTTCATCTTCCAATTGACGACCACGTGTTCGTGACCCACGAGAAGTAGGCAGAACTTCATTACTAGCAGGTTCAGGTGTGACAGCCGCCTTGGTTTCACCACGAGATCCACCTCTTGATGGTGTATTTTGTGGTGTGACCTCATTTCTTGCTGGACCATCATGGGCATTAGTCTGTTTGGGATCATCATCATCATAGTAATAATAAACGTATTCATATTCATATTCCTGCCCGTTGGGACCCTTCTTGATTTGAATTCTTGAACGTTGTTTTTCACTTCCACTGGCGACCAATGGAACATCATCGTCTCTTTCAATTGGTTTCAGACCTGCCGCTGATGTGGTTAAAACAGAACTAGCAGTAGTTGGTACAACAGATTCATCATGCGCTTCCTTCTTGGAGCGTTTGTTAGGAAGAATAGGGTTTAACCTAGGTTTTCGTGTACTTCTAGTGCTAGTCTTTTTTGTTGTTGTGGACGATGGTTTTGCTGTAGTGGAAGTTTGAAGTTCTGTTTTGTATTTAGCAAGAAGTGCCTGAACATCAAGTTTGATGGCACCTGCAGGCGCATCGGCAGCAGAAGCAGCAGCTTCACGCTTAGGTTTACTACTTTTAGAGGTCTTGATAGGTCCTTTTGGTTCTTTTAGAATTTCACCTTCTTCAGCCTGAGCTTGATTCAACGCGAACGTCAAAGAAGGTGGTAACTTATGAGCTGTTTCAAAAACACGTTCATTCTCCGAAGGTTTTTCTTTGCGTTCGACTGGTCGCGAACCCGCCGCTGAGGTTTGCAAAAAAACATACTCCTGGCCCGGTTCGGGTTTGGTTATCAGCTGGACTTCACCATTTGTGAGACTTAAAGCAAGACTTAATGTCGCAAATAATATTAATCTGAAACAAAAGTCAATTGTTTGGTAATGATGTCAAAAAAGTAGTTAGGTGCAAAACAATCAAACCGGAAGTAACAATTTTGTTTCAATTATACACTATATTTCAAAGAAAGGAAAGAGAAATTGGCTAAAGCAAAATATTTTGATTTCAACACTTTGTTTTTGGTTGAAATGAAATCAAAAGTCAAAATTATTAAAAAAAATCATCTGAGCGAGAGTGAGAGTGTAAATTTTTGACCATCGAAGGCGTCGAAACTTTCTTAAGAGCTCCGCCTCAAGCCCGCAAGTTCGACGCATGTAAGGTCACAATCTGACCTTGATCGGAAATTTCTCCTCTTTCACTCGTGCACGACGCGCCCGCCGGGCAAAAACCGAAACTTGGGATTAAAAACGACATTAACAACACTTGTGCGCTCCACAATGGCATACCACACAAACACAATTCAACCTTGAATTGTGCCGAAGCAGCAGGCAAAGTTTCCAAAAATTAATTTCCCTAAATAGCCACACGATGTGCCTCGACCATACCGGTTTGATCCAACTGGTAGAATTTCAAAATTGAGAATGAAAACCACGTAAGACGTATTAAGGACGAATACAGCAGTAAAAGCTAATTGCAAGTCGTAATTCTCGGATTCTTTGATTTTGTTGCGACTTGACGACTTCTTGCACGTCTGGTCCGATATGTTTGGCCTACTTTGGCGAGTTGGAACGATTAATAAACGCCGGTATCATAGACACGACACACGCCGGCTATTTGAGTGTTGAGTGCAGAAAAAAATGAAAGAAAAGTTTTTCTCCAAGCATGAACTCGTGCTGGCGCGCACGATTGCTTTCCTCATTTCTTCATTGCTTCGGTTTTACGTTTAAATACAGAAAGTTGCACGAAATCGCACTTGTGCGCAATTCTCTTTTAGGTTTAGTTTTTTTCAGTCATTAAATTACTGGTTTATTAGAACTAAAACTGAAATTAATAATTTTAACCTCAATTTTCTTCTTAAAATAAAACAAACACTAAACTTTCATTAACATGAATTATTTTATGTTTATAAACAACAACCGGTGGAAACAAACATGAGGTGGTAATGTACGGTAGCATTTTTGTTATGCTCTGATTGAATTTTGCATTTTGCCACACATTCCGCGCATAATTCTGCACGCGTTTCAGTAACTCGGCTCGTTTTTCGAATTTTCTGCTTTGCATAAATCGTTCACGTTCAGTTCGCTAAACGTAGTGCACTCAAAGCGCATTATTAACAAGTTGCAAGTTTACTCAACTTCAAGTTTCCAGCAAATAATCATTGGTCACAAATTGTAATAGTAAAACCAAAATAAAAGTGATCCATTTAAGTTTTTAAAGGTAAACGAGCAAAGTGTTTAAAAATCATTAACATTAGAAATAACAAATGAATAAAAGAACAATTAGAGTGCTTTGTTATAACAATACATGAAATAATACTAAGCATTAAAACATTATATTACATAAGAAAGGAATTAAAATTAAAAATTGGTTTTTAAATTGTTATTTTTTAATAATAGCGGTATTTTGAGGTTAGTTTTTGAAAAATAGATTTTTTGTCTTAAAATAATCATTTGCTTTGAGGCAAGTAATTATTGGCAATTGTATTATGCGTATGCTTTGTTTACCATGTGAGTTTAGAAAACTTTATTTGCTTTTTGTTCTTACAGAAGTTAATGGTGTAATAACAAAGTAAATTGACATTTCAACATATGTTAATTACCAAAATAATTTACATTTCTCCACCATTCTGTCATCAGTTAAAAGCTAACCTGTTTAGTAAATATTTCATTAGTACAAAAATGAAATGGTAACTAAAAGTTTAGAATGTTTAACGATGTTAAACGCATCATTTATAGCCAATTTAACAGCGAATCTAGCAAAAGAGTAACAGACTGGTAACCGATATTCAAGGATATTCCTTGCTTTTACTCCTTGTTAGACGATGACAACACAGAATGCCATACGGCATATGTGCAATTATTTTCAATTGAAGATTCAATGCGCAACTTTAATTTGATTTCGATTCTTGTAAATAAACGAGGTTTTGCGCCGAAATGGAAAACCGAAAGCTGACGATTAATTATGAAGGTTATTATGCGCTGAATCGAAGGATATTATTGGCGAAAGTAAGTTATTAATGTCGTTAATGAAACAACAATAACGATATCAGCTAAATCGTGTGAATACTTTGAGCAAACTGATGAGAATCTGATAAATTTCATCTTCCCAAAAAATCATGTGAACTAATAATAAAAAAAAAATTAATATACAATGCTTATAATGTTACCGTTTTTAAGTTCTAATAAAAGTTAAAGAAATAGTCGCCTTGTCCAAGGTTATTATTACTTGAAAGTCACAATTCCTCGGCTATTAGTAGCGTAGTTGGAGTTCGTCGAATGCAAAGTAAAGAAAATGAATAAATTTATCATAATGACAATAATGACATTTCCAATTGAATGCAAACTGGTAATGTAATGCAAGTGGAATTCATTATGTACAAAAGAACACGCTAATCGTTCGGTCGCAGCAATAAAAACTACGGAAATGAAACTTCCAACAATGTCATTCACATTCTTGTCCACGGCGACAAAAGTTACAGCTGACTTCCTCTTTTAAGGCGGCTAGAATTAGCGACAAGAAACACAGATGCAATTTTTTTAGGATATATTGTTTTTAGGTTGCGATTTAATCAAGAGAAACAATTTCCAGTTAATTGACACACAAGAAGATTTTACTTTTAACTGTTTTACTTTCTTGCGCTATGCCTGAGTTGTGTTGTGAGTTGTGTGCTTTGCACACAGTGTAAAAGCAGATTAATCAGGTTCTAATTGATTGGAATATCTCGTTTTACAAATTAGTTGTTTAGCGCGCGCTGGCGCGGCTTGCTTTTAAAATAAACAAAAATGGAAAGTGAGTAGAAAGCCACACAGGGATGGTTTTTTCGTCTCAGTTGCGTTTTCGATTTCATTAAGCAAATTTAAAATTTTGCTTTCATTTCGTTTTAAATTTAAATACGATGATAAATAAATAAATAATTAATAAATACGTGTGATATGACATATCTTTACTTTGTAAATATAGAAAGTTGTTGCGTCAAATGTTGATAATCAAAGATGTCGTCTTCAAAGTTGATTAGAACGCATGAAAATGTATCTTTTCGTGAAAGTGCCGATTGCATAAATGCACCAAAGTGCACACAGCTTTAAAACTCACAACATGTGTGTGTGTGTAAGTGTAAAAGTTTACGCAATCGAATGAAAATGTATGAAATGTAAACGTGCATAACTTACATCTTTCTATCCGCCATCTTGAAACTTCCTGGTCGTCGGACGGAATAATAAATCAACACGTTGATAACTGTGTGCTTGGCAGTAAACTAAAGTTCAGGAGGTGTCCGCGGCGCCCAAAAACCGCCTAAACTAACGAGACATCGCAAGAAACGGCACAAGAACAAATGCTGGATGCGGCATTCCGCATGCCGGGCTTATACCCGCGCCCGTGTTTCGTTTCGTCCGCGAACGCAGTCGGGACAACTTTCGCCAGCCAGCGCGCCTTCGCCAACGAACACACACCGACACGCGATCGCACGCCGCCGAAGGAACGGCCTTTGAGTTCTTGTACGAGCAAGCAGCGAGCAGCGAAGACCGAAAACCTCGCACAACTTCTTCGGCGGCAGCAGCGGTGTTTGTAACCGGTGCGCGAGCCGACCGCGACGCCTTTTATACCTCGGACACGACGCCAGCAGCGGCACTCTCTTGCTGGTTGCATTACTTGTCTTCCACGGGTTCACCACTGACCCATTTCCATTTTATTTTCCTTCGACTTGTTTTACTCATCTCATCATCTTAATTTTATAAAAAAAAAAATTTATTTTTGCTTTGCAAAAGTTATAACTTTGGTACGAATTTCGAAAGGTGAACAACAATCGATGTCACAATTTTTGTTCGGTAGTGTATCGCTATTCAAATCTAACATCACGCCGAATACAATACACCTTCTAAAAACGTGTAGGTATGGTACATTCACCTGCTGCCAAACGTCGAGCAAAGTGCAAGCGACGAAAACCTGTTGCACGCAAAAATTGAAATTTTGATCAGCTGTGAACTTTCGACTATTGGGTCAGGTCATTATTACAACAAAGTTGAATGCCAACTTACAATCCGCGCCGAAATTACATGAATCAAATTAACCACTTGATTGTGCAAGATAATGCTTGACAAATATGATCTTCTATTTATTTCAAAATGTTAAATTTGCGCATCTGTCGAAAGTTAAACTCAATTTGTAAAATTTCGTTTTTATTTTCAATTGTTAAATCAACTGCAGCCATATATCAAATTTCTAATAAGAAATTTATTTATAGCACATTGTAAAATAAGAATTTTAGACAAACAAGAATGTTTACGTTGTATTTTTTGTGAACACACTGTGAATATGTATGTGAATATGAAATCGAGTATTAATTAACAATGCAAGGAATTTCTTCAATTCCCATTATGCTTTGATTGCTGCTGATCGTTTCGTTTCTTCAACGTCACCACTTCGATTAAAGTCGTTTCTTTCAATGGGAAACATTTGCATAAATCTCACTAATGTCACGTGTTTATCATGCCTCTTCGCGCCTCTTAAACGCCGCCATGTTTCCACACCCAATCGAATCATTGTTTAGAAGAGAATAATGTAATGCAGATTATTCCAAACGCAAACAAAACGAGTTTATCGTCAATAATCTTTTATGTTTCATGTATTAAGCATTCAATTGTTAGAGTATTGTGCAATACATGAAAGAAAAACTGATTTTTTGGCATTTTTTGAAGAAAAATGAGCAAAAACCAAGTAAAAATAAATTATCTTTAAGTTAACATAATTTTTTAAGGTTTTATGAATTTAAAACTGTAGAAATTTTGAAAAAATGAACCAAAATAGTAAAAAAATAATTTTTGTTCAAGAAAACTTGAAATTTTTGCGGTTTTTTGGTAAAAGTTGTGCAAATTTTGTAAAAATTAACCAAAATCATAAAGAAATTAATAATTTTTAGGCAAAAATAATTTTTTTAATGTTTTAATATCCTCCTTTACTTTCTGTTAATATTTTACGTTATGATTTTGTGTGTTGGTAACTGAAAGCGAATTTAAACAAACAAATAACTAGTACATTTAAAACGCACATAATGCAATACGCGGAGAGAGCTTACCTAATAGCTAAGAGCATAACGCCTAATTGAATAAATTGAATTTAAGTAACACAAACCCAAAAATTAACTTTTGCATAACTGCCGCATATAGCGCGCTGTGTTTGCGATAATGGGAACATAGACAATGGCCATTTGCAGGCGCGCGAGGTACTTACGAGTATAACGGTCAACATTCTTGCGTTCATCGGCTGTTTACTTGTCGTTTCAATTTTAAATAATGTATCATTACCATATAAAGTCAATAAACTGCAAAAGCTTAAACACCAGCGCGCTATAACACGCCTAATCACGTAATATTTACTGTTGAAACTCTTCAATTCAAAATGTGTCTGAAATATTAAAACGTTTTCAATATTTTTTTATGAAATTTTATTTTATTTTCAGAATTTTTTTTTTTTTTGAATTGGTGTTAGGGTCAAAGTCAAGCCATTTGCAAAACAGGAAAGTCCTGACACTGATGACGTGCGCACGTTTTGAAGAATTCTGTTTTCACGCTTTTGGGCAATCGTGAAATTTCTGACCCGCCAAATAAAAGTGAAACGGTCATTGCCATCGCAGCGCACAGATCTCTGGCGCAGCAGCCTCTTCTTCGCGTGCCAATTACAATGTCTTCGCCTCTTTTACTTTCATTCTTTCGAATATCTTCACAAACTGTGAACATTCGGTATACGTTTCCGATGGCGGTGGCATTCTTAAAAAGAAATTAAACACGCAGGCGAGGCAGCGCAAAAATTGTGAAATAATTTCTTAGATGTATACATATGTTACGTTTGGCATTGACATTAAAAACCATTTCAAACGCGCGCCGCTGCAAATATTACAAACATGCAAAGCCTGCAAAGCGTCTCTCCTTCACGAAGTCGGGAATAAATGTGTTTGGCGTGTCGCTAACGAAGTTGGCCTCTTCTAAACACTTAAAACGCCATGACTAATAGATGTATTCACAATTATGCGCTTATCGGCATTTGGCGATCTAGATGTGTGCATAATATAACATTAAAATGTTCACACTTGAAAGAAAAACGCAGAAAAAATGAAGTAATGAACAATGCAATTAGTCAGCGTGTTTGGGTTGTGCAACGCGGCGAATTAAGAGATGAAACACGAAATTATGAAAACAAAGAAAACATCAGCAGCGGCCAACACAAGATTCGACAAATGATTATTAAAATTGGTTTTGGAAATTGTTGTGAAATGCAAACATACTTTTATCTACATTACACCGTAGAATACAACATTTTATGAAGTAATTTTGATATTAACCATTAAACTATTGTTTTCACTTTCATTTTTTAAAATAAATTTTACTTATATCATTAATTCACTTAAATGCACCGCTTTACGACTTTTTACTTGACGTTCTTTCAAAAATATACCTTAAAAGGTAGTTGACGACGTCAAGCGTGACTCAGAAGTTTGAATTCATACTAAATATGTCATTTAAACCAATAATTAACGCAGTTTAGTATCAGGTGAATAATTTTGATAGTTTTGTATTTAGTTTTATGACGTTCAGAGAATAAAACTTTTATTTTCTTGGAGCAATTTGCAACCTGATCGAAGGTCGCCGCGTTGATCTTGTTTTCCTTTCTTATTGAATGATTTATAAATCACGTACGTGCACAACTCAAACAATATTTAATTAATTAATGAATAAATTCTTCATGCATCAAAGTCAATGAAAAGCAGAACAAATTGCTAATATTATGCTTGATTTAAATCTATTTGATGCTATGTTTGAGTTCACATTAGGAAATGTAATTTATTTACTTTCTTATTTAAACGTTTTTCATGTTTTAAAAATAAAACCGTTGTAAAAGACATAAATAATTGAATTCGCGTCTTAAAACAGTACGTTCTTTATTTGCCTTTTTAATATCAATTCGAAATTACAAGCACATTGTTGAAAATGATCAAGTCAAGCCACGATGAATGAAACCGAGACGAAAACACTTCCCAGAAAATCGTTGCCCGTTTAACTCGTACGTGAATTGATTGCCAAACACTTATGCCCACCTCGCTCGAAAAGCAAGAGTTCATGACGTGAATCATCGAACGTACCTTTTATAGTTTTACACTTGTATAAATCTCTTAAGGCGCTAAAGTCTTAAGACGAAAACAATTCTCTCTTCGACGCTTGTCGCCTGCGCGCGGCTTGCCTCACCTTTTATCTGCCGTCTGAATGTTTGCCAATAATCACGTGCGTCGGCCCGCAATTTGGTAACGATTTTATTGAATAATAATTCACGCTTTATTTGCTTTCGGAGCATTGCAACAAACGGACGAATGGTCGCTACAAGAAATCAAATCAATGATAAATCAACGCGGCACGAACACACGGCCTACTTTTATCGTCGTGTTCTGATTCATTTTCATTTCGATGGCGAATGACGGCAGATAACTGTTTGTGTATTTGCGGATAATTGCGCGTGCTTAATCACTTTCTCATCGGGATTATACTCGAGTTTTGAATGTTTTCATCGGGCTTTTAATGTAGAAAAAGATTTAAATATGCGCGTGTAATGTAGGCAACTTCTTTTACATAAAGTTTAATTTCACGAAGGTATGAAAACATATATTTAATTTATTTTAATTATTAGGTATTGTTTTGGTATTAACTGGCATCCTACACGTGTTTACTGCAATTTTCTTCGCCAGGAGAATAGTTATAGATAATAACAGATAGTTAGAAGCCTACTTAAGTTGATGTTTACAAACAAACAAGTATTTTACGCGCATCGTTGACTTGAGGTACGAATAACGAACACTGATTTAATTTAATTTATCTATCATTTCTTTTTTAAGCTAAAACAATTAATAAAAGTTAGCTAAATACTAAAAATAATTAAAATTGATAAGTTATTATCTCAACTGCATTCCCAAAACAAATGATTATATTATATTTCTATGTAAGTGACAAACAAAAATTCCCATATCGAAACCATGGTTTGATGAGTGTCGCTCAGCTCACCGTGAGCGCACACCAACGCAGTGTTCTTAATAAAAACATGGACGTCGTGGTAGCAACATATGACTTTCTATCATTTGCATACGCGATATTCGCGCGGAGATCCCTTCACTTTCGTTTGCGCTTCGAAGAGGTCGAATCGATTTGAGCGGCTGGAATTCCATTAACTTTTAGGCGCTGCGCGAGATGAACAGGATTCGACTCGCCAAAAATCTCAAATGACATAATATATTTATGGCGCCCATACTAAGAATAATAAACAACAATATTTAAACAATGCAATGAAAGTTTTAAGTTTAAATCAAATCAAAACATGTAATAAATTCTTTTAGAAAAAGCACTTCTCTCAGTAACATCAACATAAATTTAAAATAAATTTTATGGTTATCTACTGGTAATGTTAAAGAAAATAACTTCCGGGTCATGCTTCCTACTCGATGACTTTAATTTATTTCGTTGTATGAAATGAGGATGCAATATGTTACCAGCAAATTTTAATTTAATTATGAAGTCAAACATAACACTCGCGTAAACTTTAATTATAAAATTTTACGAATGCCAAAAACACAGTTCCGCTTTGCAATAGTGTGAAGTAATTTCAAAGAAAGTAGAATAACACTATTTGCATATTTAGTGTTAAAAACTGCCTGAGAATTGGCGAAGAATTGCCAACTTTTGTTTTCACTTGGTTTACTTTTGTCCAATTAGGTAAAAATACAATAATCAATGACGTCAATATAAAATTAAGAAGAGAAATGCACATAAACAACATTTTTATAATATTTGCAGCTTTTGTAATAATTTACGACTACCACTTCTTTATTATACAATAAACCAGCTAATTTGCAACATAAATCACATCAACACCAAACGACATCATAATAAATGTGATTTTGCACGTTTTTGCACAAAATTGAATTATGTAAATCAAAACGCAGCAATGTGGTAACAAATTGAAGTTGACGACCTTGCAATCGACTTACAAATTCTTAAAACGATCGAATTTACTACGAATTAGGTATGCGCTGTATACATAATAAGTGAGTAATCAAAATTATCGAAAAACCATGAAATTTTATTACTGCGATTCACTTATTAATCGATAATTGAACACACTGAATGTCAAATACATCAATGTGTGACTAAATCAAAATAAAAATACGTAGATTAACAAATTAAGAAATACCAAAAAGTAAACAGACCCTTGAAATCAATACATATTAATTAATCAATCAATTTAGTAATTAAACACTTCTTAAATATGAATGCTAATGTCAGTGTGAAGGCGTCAGGAATTAATATTTAAATATTGTTCTAGTTTTATTCAAAACTCACATTAAATCTATGTTTATCATTGATTAACTTATAAAATATTAATTATGCCATAATAGTAACTTTAAAAATTAAAATTATAATTAAAAAATGCTAAATTTTTAAATTTTAGAAGCAAAAATCAAAATTTTATTTATTTTTTACGTCAAAGGCTCGTTAACCTTTTTACATTAGATTAATGCAAATTCTGATAATGAAACATTGTAAATCTAGGAAGTTTAGCATAAATTGCTAATAACTTATCTATATCAAGGTTCTATGTCATTAATGATCAGTAACATAATTTATATGTGACAATTTCAAGACCAGTAGCGATTGTTTCTATTTCCGTTCAAATCCACCACTTTAAAAATAAATATCAAGGCATTTCCGCCTTTTTTGCAATTCCTCTTCCTTCCGTAAGTTACAAACGTAATCGTTTTGGTAATTCATTGCGTAGGTAATCCGCCGCACCCCGAATCGAAAACGATGACAGGATAAAGCCTTGGTGTCACTTCTGGTGTATTTATTTATTTTTACATTTATTTATAGAAGGCGGAGAATTACGGCCGCGTGCGGCGAGTGCAGTGCAGAGAAAGTCGTCACGAAGAAGGTGGCGAAAGTGATGGTCCGATGGCGCATCTCCGATTCAAATCATCGGCCACACTTACGAGTAATTCATTATAAGTAAGCGCAATAAACAACGGCCACGCATTCCAATAAGAAGAAAATCAACAAACGTAAGTCACGATTTGTTTACGGATGTTTAAGGTTACTTTTTTTAAATTTTGTATATTTACAAAAAAAAATCAACACAATGAAATCCTTAGAATTACAATAATAATCAAATCATTTGAAATTTTCATTTTTCTCGTCTCACAAAAACATTGAACATAGTTTTAGATCGTATCAAGTTCCGTTATCTTCTCGAAATAAATATTGATTTCGTCACATTCCTCAAAATTTCGTCCCTTAATTAACTTTCACATAAAACGTAGTATACTAGAATGACTTAAATCTCTTTTGTTTGCAACAAACTGTGCTTAGTTCCGGCCCGGAAACCTCCTTGCCGCTCTCGCGGGCGCAGGTGTAGCGGCGTTTTCTTCGGGATTGCTGGCTTCCGCTGATGCTCCAGCTTTATTGTGATTGAATCGTTTGCGGCCGTTGTTGACACGGTTCTTGCTTGGCGCTGGAGTTGCTTCAACCGGACCAGATTCCTCTTCTTGATGCACTGCTTTCGGGGCTGATTTATCTACAAATTTATTTAAATTTTAATGTGTGTAATGTAAATTATGTATTTTATTATATTATTACGGGTAGCAGCTTGTTCCCTACGGCGTTTCAACGCCGCTAAGAGATCATCATTGCTGCGGAAAGGGCGCACGCTGCCTGCCTTGAACTTCTTCGGCACTTCAGTCGTGGGCACCGCCGCCTCGCCGCCGATGTTCTCGTCGAGCGGCTCCTCGTCAATTTCACTTTCTTCCACCTGTGAACCGGAGAGCAAAACGGAGGCAATAAATAATCGAGTTCCGTGTGCACTACATGTGTGCCAGAAACGAGACACGCGTGCGTGGAATGTCCGAAAGGGGAAATTATCATATTAAACGAATGATCAAGTGAGAGTTATTTATGTTATCGAATTCTAGGAGATTAATTCTTTATAAAAATCAAGAAAACGTTGATTTTACATTACCTTGGCTGGAGCAGCAGTGGTGGTAGTGCTTGCCTTGCCATTCGACCTACCCGCCAGCGGGTTGCGCCTGTTTTTCAAAGGATTTGGACGCGTTGGTTTCGGGGCAGGTGCAGGCGCTGGTTCTTCTCCATATTCGGCGTATTCCTCATCTGCTGGACGTGCATTGCAGAGGGCAATAAGACACACCAACCCAAATATACACCTAAAAATTTAATTTTACTCTATATAAAAGGAAATACGATATAAATGCATTGATTTATATTGGCAGCATTAATCTTAGTGTAAATCGCGTTTCATTTCCTAGTTCGTGATTTGCTTTTGCCTCCGCACACGCTAAAAACATTTTGTTGTGATTTGTGTTTTGACTGTCAGCACAAGCAGACACACTTTCAAAGTTAAAGTTAAAACTTAGCGCCTAAAAACCAGTCGCCGATCCTTCTATTTCACAACGCGTACAACTTTGAAGCAGCATGGCGGCTGTGCCGAAAGACTGACATTTTGAACCATCCGTAATGTAGGTCCTATATATCGCTTTGGCACGGCACGTTCGCCGAAAAAAAGAATGCTAAAAATTGCATAAACGATTGAATCGTCTTTAGATTGTAATAAAAGTTGCGCAAAAAACCACGAACGAAAGTTCAACGATTGTTGAGCTTAGATTTCAATTATTAAATTGATGTGTGTGTGTTGGGGCAAGACATTTCGTTTTATTGTTTAACCCAGAGTTGTGCAACCACGATTCAAGAAACGATTCAAGATGGCCGACAACTAAACAAGTGGTAACATTCACCCAGTTACCCAGTTTATGACCTAACCATCCTACATAATCGATTAATCAACGATTATGTCAATAATACTTGTTCCGATTGAATTCCATTCGATATGATTTACAACTAGGAATTGATGGAGGCTCAGATTTCACTTTTGCTCAACGTGTAAATAATTTACACACTAAAAATCACACATTGTAGGTTGTGATTTTTTATTATTGTTTCTAATTAATTTACATACCGGTAACTTGATTTCAGATTATTAATTACTTATTGTATATTCATATAAAAGTCAAGTGTTGGCAATGTCGTTAATGGCAAACACTTAAAATGAACCTTGATTTATGATTTTCTTGCCATTTGCATGAATATAACTAATGCGCGACGAATTAAAAAAAACGAATGCGAAACTAATTGGATGCTAATCACAAGCTCCCCGCTGATTGATCGCGCGCCATTTCATTTTTTTCGGCAATGAAGTGAGTTTCGCACACGTTGCTGCCACTCTTTGGGTCTTTAGGTCAAAAAATGCGTGACGGAACGAACGCAGAAGGACGCTGAGTGACATTTTCATTTCATGCGCTGTGGTAATTGCACACATCTACCACCTGTTAATATCAGTCAAGACACGATTCTCCGTGGCGACGTTATTAAATTTATGCAGATGTCTCGCCGAAATTTGATGGGACAAAGTTAACGCGCTGGGAAAATACGCGTTTTGATTGGCACGCGGCGATTTTAAATCTCAATTAAAATGTTAATCGAATTCTTGTGACTTCGCCGAAGAATTTTTACCGCGTTTAGGTGCAGCAGGAATGTCGTCCGAGAAATGGCATTGCCTCAATCGAGTGTTATATAAATCGGTTCTTATCTTCATCGTGACATTTTTTTCTAAACATTGACAAGTTTACTAGCTATGTTTTTATGTGAAAATAACGGAAAGACTAAGAGGTAATCGAAAACTTAACAATTGATAGTAAAATGAAGCAAAATTGTGGCCGCGGAGCCCACGTCTGACTATCGGTGCGCCTCGGCATAAGAATGACGTAACGGCGAGCCTAAAGGCGCGCGGCGCGGCGACAAGAAAATGAAAGTTAGCAGGCCGTAATGATAATAATGCATTAATTAATAAAAACGTGTTTTTCGCCTTTTACGAAGACTTTAATGAACCGAGCATGCAAAACAAACGCGTTAAGCTTAACTAAGAACGAAACAGGAAACGAAACACTTACAGCAGATTGAATTTCATCTTGATTATTGTGCCTGTGTGTGATTAGTGCGAGATTTCCTTCTTCTCGTGTATGGATGCGGAGAACGCCGGAGTGGCTTGCGGCTGCTGATGGCGTCTTTCGCGAACTTAGGCGACGTTCGAACAATTCTCGATTGTGTGCGATCGGCGTGCTAATAACGAATGGCTCGCCGCTGTGATTGTTGATATAAATTTCGGTCTCGCTCGTGCCGGTGATGCAAAAGGTGGGTGTCGATTTGGGGAAAGGGTTGGTTGCGGCAGCGCGCAGAGTGAGGAGGCCACTGGAAGCCGGCCAGCGCCGCATTCCAATATTTATAAATTCTCCCGATTGAATACTTTTCCCTTCACTTTACAATCGGCCATATTAAACGAGATACGGTGTATTAATATGCGCTCGCTTTCACTCAATATCTGCTTCACTATACTCCGGCTGTGTGCGTGCACACCTCGCTTGCCTCATTCCACTCTGGAGGTAATAATGCACCAATTGTTCAATCGCACACAGAATTCAAGAACGCGCGCAATAAATTTGCAATCATTTTTATCTCATCGTCGTGCAGATAACTGCTGGTTGTAAATTTAGGAAATAAAATGTCACCTTCCATCGAAGGCCAATTCAGGATCATATTCATTTAATTGCTTCTAATAAATTGTTATTAGGTGTCTGGATTCTAAAAAATAATAATACATAACAGTAATTATATTATGAACAATGTTTCATCATTAATATTTTATACAGTCATTACGTCAAACGTCGCTAATAGTTGAAAAAATGAATGTAAGCTACCAAAATAGACTTTTTACTTTTACCACATAAAAACACCTGATAAACTTTAATTATTAAATAAAATTATACTTGTTTTATCTATGTCTGTATCAAAAAATCAAAATTTAAGTTAAACTTAGGTATTATCTAATAGATATACAAATGATGAAACTTAGAGACGAAGCGAATACACGATATTTGTCAAATATCCTATTAAAATTGATTGTAGAAAAATTCCGATATGTCCTTTACTAAATAATGAACATAGTGTTTTTCTTTCTTGGATTGTAATTAAAAGGCTCTCCACAACGTATAACTAGTTCCCACCCTATGAACCTATAAAATTTTCTTTAAAATCTAATATAAAATTGATATTGATTTCCAAAATTTAAAAGTTTAAATTTAAAAGTTATAATTATTGGCGGCGAAATCTTGTATACCCTGGATAAACAACTTGTCGCATTTAACAAGTGCAATGCAACGCGCAACAGTACCCTGTATTATAAACACGTGTCTTTTAGCATTGGGTTTAGTTCCGTGTTAAAATGTTTGCATCAGGAGGCGCTTATCAGTATTTCGCACTATGTAAATAACAGCGCACACGTTATAAAACTAGTTTGGTTCTGATCGCCGGCAAGTGCGCATTACTCGTATTTTATTTAGTTTTATTCAATATTTTCATTTTTGTCATAATTATATAATAAATAGTGCTAGTGTTGCCCATTGTGATAAGCGTTTGCAAAACTTAAGCTTTTGTCGGAATGGAATTCAAATCAAGGCCCAAATTGAGCCTATACGAGAATTATACCGCAAATTGCATGAAATAAGAACTGTTATCTTTCTCAGTTTCTAAATTATATGTGATTAACTAAAGTATTTAAAATCATAAAGATTTCGAGGTATTAATTTTTATTTGTTTTTGGGAACTTGAATGAAACGGAAGGGCCCTAAATCAATCACTAATTTCAGCAATTGTGGTGGTGTTTGAAAAGTTATGGTGAAAAATGGTTTGTAACTCGCGTTTCCCTGGCTCGATTTTAATTATTTCTGTTTCAGATAAAAGAAGAAGAGCCCTATAATCATTGAAACTTCATTTCAACACTGTGAAGGGTTGGGAAGTGCCCTTACATCCATCTCCAATTTCAGCAATTTTGGTGGTTTTTGAAAAGATTTTGTGGAAAATGGTCTGTATCTCGCGTTTTCCAGGTTCAATTTTAATTCTTTTCGCTTCAGATAAGAGAAAAAGAGCTGTTTAATCAGAAAAACTGTATTTCAACACCGTCAGAGGTCGAGAAGTGCCCTTAAATTGATTTCCAATTTCAGCAATTTTGGTGGTTTTTGAAAAGTTTTTGTGGAAAATGGTCTGTATCTCTCGTTTACCTGCTTCGATTTTAATTCTTTTTGCTTCAGATAAGAGAAGAAGAGATATTTAATCAAAGCAACTGTATTTCAACACCGTCAAGGGTCTAGAAGTGCCCCTAAATTGATCTCCAATTTCAACAATTTTGGTGGTTCTTGAAAAGTTCTTGTAGAAAATGGTATGTATCTCGTGATTTACTGGTTGGATTTTAATTCTTTTTGCTCCAGATAAGAGAAGAAGAGCTGTTTAATCCGAAAAACGGTATTTCAACATCGTCAAGGGTCTAAAAGTGCCCTTAAATCAATTTCCAATTTCGGCAATTTTGGTGGTTTCTCAAAAGTTCTTGTGGAAAATAGTCTGTATCTCGCGTTTCTTTGCTTCGATTTTAATTCTTTTTACTTCAGATAAGAGGAGAAGAACTGTTTAATAAGAGAAACTGTATTTCAATACCGTCAAGGGTCTAGAAGTACCCTTCAATTGATCTCCAATTTCAACAATTTTGGTGGTTTTTGAAAAGTTCTTGTGGAAAATGATCTGTATCTCGCGTTTCTCTGCTTCGATTTTAATTCTTTTTACTTCAGATAAGAGAAGAAGAGCTGTTTAATAAGAGAAACTGTATTTCAATACCGTCAAGGGTCTAGAAGTGCCCTTAAAATGATCTCCAATTTCAACAATTTTGGTGGTTTTTGAAAAGTTCTTGTGGAAAATGGTCTGTATTTTGCGTTTCCTCGGTTTGAATTTAATTATTTTTGCATCAGATACGAAAAGAAGAGCTGTTTAATAAGAGAAACTGTATTTCAACACCGTCAAGGGTCAAGAAGTGCCCTTAAATTGATCTCCAATTTCAGCCATTTTGGTGGTTTTTGAAAAGTTCTTGTGGAAAATGGTCTGTATCTCGCGTTTCCCTAGTTCAATTTTAATGCTTTTTGCTTCAGATAAAAGAAGAAGAGCTGTTTAATCAGTAAAACGGTATTTCAACACCGTCAAGGGTCTAGAAGTACCTTTAAATCAATCTCCAATTTCGGCAATTTTGGTGGTTTCTGAAAAGTTCTTGTGGAAAATGGTCTGTATCTCGCGTTTCCCTGATTCGATTTTAATTCTTTTTGCTTCAGAAAAGAGAAGTAGAGCTGTTTAATCAGAGCAACTGTATTTCAATACCGTCAAGGGTCTAGAAGTGCCCTTAAATTGATCTCCAATTTCAGCAATTTTGGTGGTTTTTGAAAAGTTCTTGTGGAAAATGATCTGTATCTCGCGTTTCTCTGCTTCGATTTTAATTCTTTTTACTTCAGATAAGAGAAGAAGAGCTGTTTAATAAGAGAAACTGTATTTCAATACCGTCAAGGGTCTAGAAGTGCCCTTAAAATGATCTCCAATTTCAACAATTTTGGTGGTTTTTGAAAAGTTCTTGTGGAAAATGGTCTGTATCTCGCGTTTCCCTGATTCGATTTTAATTCTTTTTGCTTCAGAAAAGAGAAGTAGAGCTGTTTAATCAGAGCAACTGTATTTCAATACCGTCAAGGGTCTAGAAGTGCCCTTAAATTGATCTCCAATTTCAGCAATTTTGGTGGTTTTTGAAAAGTTCTTGTGGAAAATGGTCTGTATCTCGCGTTTCCCTGGTTCAATTTTAATGCTTTTTACTTCAGATAAAAGAAGAAGAGCTGTTTAATCAGAAAAACGGTATTTCAACACCGTCAAGGGTCTAGAAGTGCCCTTAAATCAATCTCCAATTTCGGCAATTTTTTGGTTTCTGAAAAGTTCTTGTGGAAAATGGTCTATATTTCGTGTTTCCCTGGTTCGATTTTAATTCTTTTTGCTTCAGAAAAGAGAAGAAGAGCTGTTTAATCAGAGCAACTATATTTCAATGCCGTCAAGGGTCTAGAAGTGCCCTTAAATTGATCTTTAATTTCAGCAATTTTGGTAATTTTTGAAAAGTTATGGTGGAAAATGATCTGTATTTCGGGTTTCCCTTGTTCGATTTTAATTCTTTTTGCTTCAGATAAGAAAATAAGAGCTGTTTAATCATAGAAACTGCATTTAAACACCGTCCAGTGTCTGGAAGTTCCCTTAAATCGATCTCCAATTTCAGCAATTTTGGTGGTTTTTGACAAGTTCTTGTGGAAATTGGTCTGTATCTCGCTTTCACTGCTTCGATTTTAATTATTTTTGCTTCCGATAAAAAAAAGAAGAGCAGTTTAATCATAGAAACTGCATTTCGACACCGTCAAGGGTGCGGAAGTACCCTTTAATCGATCTCCAATTTCATCATGTTTGGTAAAATTTGGGCCTTGTTATTAATAATTTCCATTTTGGCGACGTAGAAATTTTGCCTGGCGCACAAGTAGTACCAAAACTGGCATTTCTGTGCATTCATAGTTTAGATATGTACGCGAGATGCTTGTATGTAAACAGTTTTTTGTTGCGTTCAGCAAACGTATCTCGCAATACTAATAGTGACTTCGTGTTGGTCGCTGTTAGATATGTGCAATTCGCTGCACACTCACTCAGTTCTATTCCGGTCATCGCATGAAACGCGCGTGTTCGTAGCGACTAGTCTTGTTCCTTCACATCATAATTTAGTAAATTGTTTTATATTCGGTAAACAATCGATGACATATATTAGAATCGTGCGTTACCGGGGTTTTGCAAGTGTGATTGCACGCGGTTGTGTTTATCAATCGTGGATTTATTTTTGGTTCATCTGTGCGCGCGTGTTTCCGCCGACTCTTGGATATCTTTTCGCACATGAGAATAGCGTGGATTTATTATTAATTCCAGCAAAATGGACAACTTTGGTGACGGCAAGTTTGTGAGTACACGAATCGAGTTTGCAATATTTATAACTGAAGTGTTGGAGCACTTATTGGATGCACGTATTTTAAGGTAAGTTTTTACTGCTTCCGAATTTGCTACCTGTTAATATTTTTGACGTGATAACGTCTTTAAAATCGTTTTAGTCGGGTGACATGTTCAGAAACTTGTGTCGCGAGTCCTCACGAGGCCGATCGCTATAACGAGAGAGAGACGGACCGATCTCCCGTCTCATCTCGAGCGCTGCCAGTCATTCCGTGAAACTTGTGACGCGGAATCCACACGAGCGGAGGCAGGCATAGCGTTCGAGTGAGTTGACCGATCTTCCGTCTCTCTCACTCTAGCGGCATACAAACGAATGGAGCTTTTCTTGTGCGGTTAAGATTTCGTTGAATGTTTAACAGTGAAACAAAATGTGAAGTGCAAGTGAAGTGTTACAACAATTGCAACAAAAAAACTTATATCACCAATAAGACGTTATCACGTAAACATCTCGATCGTAAACCTACTTTACAAACAACTTAAATTTTTTATTTAAAAAATGTATCTATTATTGAATATTGTCAATAAAACACAATGAAAAATTATAATTTCATTCATATTTCTTTGTGGTATCCTCTTTGTTGTTTTCAGTATACATATCTTAAATCATATTGCTTATAAATCTTATGCGCATGGAGCGAGTGCAACATATCTGAAACTTGTGTTGTTGTTTTTAAAAAGTTGAATAAAGTAGAAACATAAATAGAAGAATCAAATATCAATAATAAAAACACTCGGTGGTCGAGTGGAGACGTGCACCTGCTGGCATGCTAGCAGACACGGATCGAATCTCAGGTATAGAAGGCATTTTTCTCAAATATAAAAATATCAGGTGAAATTTGGGTTGCATATATGAAATGCAACGAAATATAAGAGAAATTGAAATACAAGTGGAGGCAAAATAAGAGAAGTAAGAAAGTAAATGGAGAACGGGAGAACAGAGAAATAGAAGAATGGGAGTAGTAAAGAATAGGAGAAGATAGAAGGAAGAGAACAGAGGAGTAGAGTAGAGAAGAGGAGGAGATAGAAGAAAGAGAACAGGGGAGGATCAGATTTTTAAATTTTTTGGCACGTGTCGTTATAAGACAGTGTACGGTCGACTACGGCCCACTGCTTCGATGCGTCCATTGCTCCCGGCCCAACCTACAGCTACGATGTCTCTGCGCTTCATCCCCGGAATTATCAGGCATATCAACAATTTTTATGGTGGGGATCACCCCAGAGAGAGGAACTCCATATAAGGACAATCCTTATAAGGACTTGTTCAAATATTTCTAAGTTTTAAGTCGCCTCAAGAGAGGTGACACTTAAAAATATTCTTACAAGTTCTGACCTGTAGCTGAAATGAAAGAAGGAGCACACAAACCACAAAGGATACCTTAACAATTTTTATAGAGGGGATCATCCCCTGAGAGAGGGAACTCTCTTAGAGACCTGTTCCTGAAATGATAGAAGGCGAACACACAAATCAAAGCAGTCAATATATCTTACTATTTCTTTATTAACAATACAAGTTTAGATTTTACATGTCAACAAAATACATTCTTAGTTAAGAACACTCTAACCGCGACAAATCATTAAACAAAACCGCCACACATGCCCGTCCCGAATATTTTGCTGATGGCCAAAAGAATACACGTCGATTAATTCAATTAAAACATCAAAACGCGTGGCAATTAGAAAGACACGCTTGCAGACCACGCGGTGTAACGACTGCCGTGTGCGCTGCGCGTTGCAGCAGGTACGTCGCGTTTACGCGTCAGTCGAACAAAAAGTTGTTTATACACAAACTTAGTAGTAGAGAATTTAATTCTACATTTCTAAACACCCTGCTCAAGTTTGTGTGCAACGACTAAAATAATCTACATATTACGAGCACGCGTGAATCAGTATAAAACAAACACTCAATTACACATACCACATACCAGTATTTCACGAGGTGCAACACGCAGGCTAATGTATTTTATTTTAAATCCGGAATCGACCGTCGAAACGAATCAAATTCGCATTCTAATTTACCTCGTGAGTCGGCCATCGGAAATCAAAGGGCGATTGCTAAAACAGAGAAGAGAACGTTAGTTAGTTTATCGTAGTATTATTTAACTTCTATGGCTCACTTAACACATACATTTCTGTAAAGGTTACTTCACACTTTATATGTGTGTAGAACAATAAAATATTGCTTATTTCTATTTCAGTGCAACGGTGATACATTAATAACACTGCACATATGAAAATTGAAATAAATAAATATATAAGTTATTACATTAATTTAATAAAAATAAAAGTAAAATTTTATATACTTATGTTTTATTTACTATACTTCGTGTACTATATGTTAGGTTTAATTGTGTCAACCTGCCAAGGCTTAGTTAACGCATTTGTGGTGTGTAAAGCGCACTTTACACTTTATAAAACAAGTTTAAATGTCAGTAAAGTTATATTTATTTGTATTTTAGTGTTACAGGGTTATAATTGTAACCCTACACCTTTTAAAATAGAAATAAATAATTTTATAAATGATTTCGGGAACTTAATAACAACAAAAATGAAATTTCCAAGGCGTAGTTTACACAAACGTAGTTTGTAAAGGTTACTGTACACTTTATATTGATGTAGGATAGTGAAAAATTATTTATTTTCACTTCTTTCAATATAATTTTCAATATAACTCGCATTACGGAATTTTCTTGCAATAAATTTTAATACAGGTAGATACATAATTAATTATGCATCTACGCTTGTTATACTAAAAGAAACTACAATTCCAAGCGCAACGAGTACCTACTACGGCGCACACACACACACAACTTTCAATATAACTCGCGTTACGGAATTTTCTTGCGTTCAATTTTAATACAGGAATTTACAGAATTAAATTTTGCATCTGAAAAATTCTTCCAAACATACTGTGACACCGCGTTCGCGTGTTATACTAAAAAAACTACAATTCCTAGCGCAACGAGTGTACGGTGCACACACACAACTTTCAACATAACTCGCGTTACGAAATTTTCTAGCTATAAATTTCTTTACTGGGAGATACAAAATAAAATTCTACATCTGGGAAAAGTTCTTCCGAACTTACTGTGACACCGTGTTCGCGTGTTATACTAAAAACTACAATTCCTAGGGCAACGAGTGCTACGGTGCACACACACAACTTTCAGTATAACTCGCGTTACGGAATTTCCTCGCTATAAATTTCTATACTGTAAGATACAGAATATAATTGTACATCTAGGAAAATTCTTCCGAACTTACTGTAACACTGCGTTCGCGTGATATACCAAAAAAAAAACTACAATTCCTAGCGCAACAAGTGCTACGGTGCACACACACAACTTTGAATATAAATCGCGTTACGGAATTTTCCCGCTATAAATTTCTATACTGAGAGATACAGAATTAAATTCTACATCTGAGAAAACTCTTTCGAACTTACTGTGACACCGCGTTCTTGTGTTATACTAAAAAAACTACAATTTCTAGCGCAACGAGTGCTACGGTGCACACACACAACTTTCAGTATAACTCGCGTTACGGAATTTCCTCGCTATAAATTTCTATACTGTAAGATACAGAATAAAATTGTACATATGGGAAAATTCTTCCGAACTTACTGTAACACTGCGTTCGCATGTTTTACCAAAAAACTACAATTCCTAGCGCAACTAGTGCTACGGTGCACACACACAACTTTGAATATAAATCGCGTTGCGGAATTTTCCCGCTATAAATTTCTACACTGAGAGATACAGAATTAAATTCTACATGTGGGAAAATTCTTCCGAACATACTGTGACACCGTATTCGCGTGTTATACTAAAAAACTACAATTCCTACTGCAACGAGTGCTACGGTGCACATACACAACTTTCAATATAACTCGCGTCACGGAATTTTCTCGCTATAAATTTCTATACTGAGAGATACAGAATAAAATTCTACATCTGGAAAAATTCTTCCAAACATACTGTGACACCGCGTTCGCGCGTTATACTAAAAAAACTACAATTCCTAGCGAAAAGAGTGCGACGGCGTACACACACAACTTTCAATATTACTCGCGTTACGGAATTCTCTCGCGATAAATTTCTATACTGAGAGATACAGAATTAAATTCAACATCAGGGAAGATTCTTTCGAACTGACTGTGACACCGCGATCTTGTGTTATACTAAAAAAACTACAATTTCTAGCGCAACGAGTGCTATCGCGCACACACACAACTTTCAATATAACTCGCGTTACGGAATTTTCTCGCTATACATTTCTATAATGAGAGATAAGAATGAAATTCTACATCTGGGAAAATTCTTCCGAACTTACTGTCACACCGCGTTCGCGTGTTATACTAAAAAAACTAAAATTCCTAACGCAACGAGTGCTACGGTGCACACACACAACTTTCAATATAACTCGCGTTATGAAATTTTCCCGCTATAAATTTCTATACTGAGAGATACAGAAATAAATTCTATATCTGGGAAGATTCTTCCGAACATACTGTGACTCCGGGTTCTCGTGTTATATCAAGAAAACCACAATTCCTAACGCAACGAGTGCCACAGCGCACACACACAACTTTCAATATAACTCGCGTTACGCAATTTTCTCGCAAACAATTTGATTACAGGGAGATACAGAATTAAATTCCCCATCTAAGAAAATTATTTCGAACTTACTCTGACACCGCGTTCGCGTGTTATTCGGAAAAAGCAACAATTCCTCACGCAACGAGTACTACGGCGCACATACACACAATAAATTTCAATACAGGGAGATACAGACAAGACCATCGAGAGCCGTCGAGGGCCCCGGGGCAAATCCGCGGGCCGCGGTAATCATTAATTTTTCGTTAATTTTTTTTTGTGTTAGCGATCAACCGGACCCCGGGGAATTTATCCCAGTTGACCCTGCAGGTAGGTAGTACGTGATAAATAGAAAACTTGTTTATAAACAGCAAATGCAAATTTGACCGAAAAATATGATTGAATTATAAACTTACCAGTGTACGAGTACAGCTTATCGGACTGCTAGGTACGAGTGCTGTAACTAAAGAAAACATAAATTAAAAATATATTTCATATAATTGAATTATGTTAAAACATAACAATCAACACAAAATAAACAATCTGTGCTGTTTAGTTAAAAAATGCTTACACGAGCCTGATGGATCTTTCTTAGATGAGAATCAACATGGGAGCAACTATATCTTATTTTAGTAACCGACACCAAACACAACGCCGAGTGAAGAATGTTATCAAATCCTCTATCACGTGACTTGTAATATACATAACAAACGCGATCAAAAACCGGCACTTCCGAACATTAAACAAATTACTATAGTCGCAAAGTATAAATAAATAGCCGATTGATCTTCGAGTATAACACAAATTTAGAATATTGAAGTCCGAATAAACGATATAAGTCTCTCAAAACACGACTGGATTAATCAGCGACCGGCACGAAACTGGCTGCATTCCATCGATAGTGCATGCTGAAACTGCGTAAACAACGACGGGACAGTATATGATAAGAAAGTAAGAGGTGCGCAAAGGCGGCGCGTCAAAGGCACGCGATCTTGTGTGCGAATTTGCAATAGGCACATTACCTGTGATCTAAACTAAACTAGACTTCGCTGCATGCAGCAAGTTGATGCGGCGCTGGGAGACGCGCGCGGGACACATGCGTTGAAAATGTTGTTTACACCGAATCGCAGATAACAGCATTGTATACAAAACTATTCTCGTGCCCACGCTTGTCGATAAATATAAAATTAAGCCGTGGATTTTATGATTTTTAGTGCATCCTAGTGATGAGATTTAGACTATTATAATCAATAAATAATTAATGTTTAATATGAGCCCAAGATGTAATTTTTAAGAAAAATTGCTCTTAACAACAATTTTCAATAATTAATAATTAATTACAAATGATACTTTTTTCGACGATTTTCAAAATTCATATCTCTTAAACTAAAAGAGATAGCTACCAACCAATTGTTGATTATGAAAGATTGTAAAATTCTTTATCAGATAAAAATATAAAATAATTATATTTCCTACAGTAAAAGGGCGAAAAACGCGATTAAAAGTGCTAAAAAGTGACATTTATCAATTTTTGCCCATTTCATTCAATCGCGAATATCTCGTAAACTAAAAGAGATAAAAAGGATCTGATCGCAGGGTCTTAATCTACGCACTTTTCTCTATCAGATAGGACAGTTAAAACGGAAATCTGAAAGATGAAATTTTAAGTCTTAAGAAAAAATTGCCAAGGGGGGGTGCTTGATACTTTTTTTCGACGATTTTCAAAAATTAATATCTCTTAAACTAAAAGAGATAGCTACCAACCAATTGTTGATTATGAAAGACTGGAAAATTTTCTATCAGATAGAAATATAAAATAATAATATTTCCAAGAGTAAAAGGTCGAAAAACGCGACGAAAAGTGCTAAAAAGTGACATTTATCAATTTTTGCTCATTTTATTCAATCGCGAATATCTCGTAAACTAAAAGAGATAAAAAGGATCTGATCGCAGGGTCTTAATCTACGCACTTTTCTCTATCAGATAGGACAGTTAAAACGGAAATCTGAGAGATGAAATTTTAAGTCTTAAGAAAAAATTGCCAAGGGGGGGTGCTTGATACTTTTTTTCGACGATTTTCAAAAATTAATATCTCTTAAACTAAAAGAGATAGCTACCAACCAATTGTTGATTATGAAAGATTGTAAAATTCTTTATCAGATAAAAATATAAAATAATTATATTTCCTACAGTAAAAGGGCGAAAAACGCGATTAAAAGTGCTAAAAAGTGACATTTATCAATTTTTGCCCATTTCATTCAATCGCGAATATCTCGTAAACTAAAAGAGATAAATAGGATCTGATCGCAGGGTCTTAATCTACGCACTTTTCTCTATCTGATAGGATAGTTAAAACGGAAATCTGAGAGATGAAATTTTAAGTCTTAAGAAAAAATTGCCAAGGGGGGGTGCTTGATACTTTTTTTCGACGATTTTCAAAAATTCATATCTCTTAAACTAAAAGAGATAGCTACCAACGAATTGTTGATTATGAAAGACTGGAAAATTCTCTATCAGATAAAAATATAAAATAATTATATTTCCTACAGTAAAAGGTCGAAAAACGCGACTAAAAGTGCTAAAAGTGACATTTATCAATTTTGCCCATTTTATTCAATCGCGAATATCTCGTAAACTAAAAGAGATAAATAGGATCTGATCGCAGGGTCTTAATCTACGCACTTTTCTCTATCAGATAGGACTGTTAAAACGGAAATCTGAGAGATGAAATTTTAATTCTTAAGAAAAATTGCCAAGGGGTGCTTGATACTTTTTTTCGACGATTGTCAAAAATTCATATCTCTTAAACTAAAAGAGATAGATACCAACGAATTGTTGATTATGAAAGACTGGAAAATTCTCTATCAGATAAAAATATAAAATAATTATATTTCCTACAGTAAAAGGTCGAAAAACGCGATTAAAAGTGCTAAAAGTGACATTTATCAATTTTTGCCCATTTTATTCAATCGCGAATATCTCGTAAACTAAAAGAGATAATTAAGATCTGATCGCAGGGTCTTAATCTACGCACTTTTCTCTATCAGATAGGACAGTTAAAACGGAAATCTGAGAGATGAAATTTTAATTCTTAAGAAAAAATTGCCAAGGGGGGGTGCTTGATACTTTTTTTCGACGATTTTCAAAAATTCATATCTCTTAAACTAAAAGAGATAGCTACCAACGAATTGTTGATTATGAAAGACTGGAAAATTCTCTATCAGATAAAAATATAAAATAATTATATTTCCTAGAGTAAAAGGTCGAAAAACGCGACGAAAAGTGCTAAAAAGTGACATTTATCAATTTTTGCTCATTTTATTCAATCGCGAATATCTCGTAAACTAAAGGAGATAAATAGAATCTGATCGCAGCGTCTTAATCTACGCACTTTTCTCTATCAGATAGCACAGTTAAAACGGAAATCTGAGAGATAAAATTTTAAGTCTTAAGAAAAAATTGCCAAGGGGGGGTGCTTGATACTTTTTTTCGACGATTTTCAAAAATTAATATCTCTTAAACTAAAATAGATAGCTACCAACCAATTATTGATTATGAAAGACTGGAAAATTCTCTATCAGATAAAAATATAAAATAATTATATTTCCTAGAGTAAAAGGTCGAAAAGCGCGACTAAAAGTGCTAAAAAGTGACATTTATCAATTTTTGCCCATTTTATTCAATCGCGAATATCTCGTAAACTAAAAGAGATAAATAGGATCTGATCGCAGCGCCTTAATCTACGAACTATTCTCTATCAGATAGGATAGTTAAAACGGAAATCTGAGAGATGAAATTTTAAATCATATTCGTAGGGTGCCCTGAACACGAGTCACTTCTACCGCTGCCCTCGTACGGTGCCCTGAATACGAGTCACTTCTACCGCTACCCTCTTTTAAATTAAAATCGCGCGCGACCAACGGATCAAAGAATATAAAAGATTGGAAAATTCTCTATCAGGTAAAAATTAAAAATAATTTTGTTCCGTGGGGGTATATGCGATCAAAACTAAACTTTTGCGCTTTTGTAAGCGAAGGAAATACTAAACAGTTAATTTTGAGTTGAATCAGCCGAGTACGCGGCTATCTTATATATTTGCAACACGCGATTGAACGCGATAAATCAAAACAATGTAAATACAAACTAATCGAGGACGCAGAAATTAAAACGAAAAATATAATTGAATTATAAACTTACCAATGCAGAACTCATGGGACTCCAAGACACGCCTGATACTGTAAATAAACAAAGAGAACATAAGTTGAAACAAAAACATTTAATACAATTAAGTAATATTATAATCACACAGCAAAGATATACAAACACTCTTCGTTGTTTAGTTAAAAGTTACTTACATCAGCACGATGGGTCATCCTAATGATGAATATCAAATCAACATGGGGGCGATACTCTTAACCGGCATTTATGGACAATAAACGCGCAAACAGTAAATAACATTACTATAGTCGATTGATGATCGAATATAATGCGAATTTGGAAAGTAGATGTTCAGACAAACAGTACGAGTCGCGTAAAATATTGGATCAACTAGATACTGGCACGAAACTGGCTGCAAACTGTGCAAGCAACGACGCGACAGTTTAAGATAAGAAAGCAAGAGATGCGCATAGCCAGTGCGTCGTTGGCTCGCGACCTTGTACGCGAATCGCTTTGACACGTTACCTGCGATCAAAACTAAACTAAGATGTGCCAACATGCTGCGTGAGAGAATCTCATGCGTTGCATTCTCGCGACGAATGCGATAAGAAAGTGTAAGTTGTGGTCAAAACAAACACAATAGCTATAGGAATAAACAATACATGTCTATTTTACAATTTTTATTAATGCTAGTGCCATCTATAAATAGTGCAAACAGTAGTCCCGGAATTTGGATTAAAAAAATTAATAAAAATTTAAAATCCGAATTATGTAATTCAGATTTCTTATACTGACAGATTGTCCGACTTTACACAAATTATTTTAGCAATATTTAATTCGATAGAACAAGACTGATTAAAAATTAAAAGGAACAAATCGCAGATTCTTAATCTTCTAACAATTCTCTGTAAAATAAACTAGTTAAATTGAAAATCTAAGAGAAGAAACAAATCATCATCATGCGGTTCCCTAAATACGAGTCACTTCTACCAATGCCCTGAATGGGAGACACTTTTACCGCCACCCGGCAACAGTACATCGAATGAGATTCAACTATACAATTGCGATTAATTGCAATATAACTAAATAAACAAAAAATCAACGTTCTTGTCATATTTAAGTCAATAAACTTGAATAGTGCATGTCTTTTAAATTATAGACGATAGGGACCAACAGATTGAAGAATATAAAAGATTGGAATATTCTCTATAAGTTAAAATGAAAAATAATTCTATTCTTTGGGGTAAAAGGTCCAAAAACATGACCAAAAGTGCTGAAATGTGCAATTTTCTGATTTTTGTCAAAAGATAAGAAATAAGAATACAATCGCTTCGCTTGAAGTGACAATACGTCATGCAATTTTATGCACAATTATGAATATAACAATCTATAAAACACTATGAAAATATGATAATAGAGAAAAACAAACGACAGAAACATAATCAATCAATGTCGGAGAGGATATTAATTAAATTACCTACTGGTTAGTACTGTAAAACTTCCATCGTAAACGGCATCCGTCGGCAGCCCGCTCACGAACAAATACACAATATTTGCATTTCGCGAACATCTTTTAAGCGATAAATCATTAGCGAGACACTATAGTCAGAAATAATCACTACGAACACCAAAAGTAATACGAGTTACCGAATTAAATCAGAAGAAAGGAAAATCGCGACGACCGCGTGCGAACCAACCGTCGGATACGGCGAAACTAATTTTATTCCTGCAGCGAGAGCAAACGATACACGCGGCGCCATCACACGGTCGCGTATATAGTACAAAACAATACACGAATATCGTACGTGAATCACCTGACAATAAGAGATAAGAACAAACTCTAGTGTGACGTGAGATCGCAAGGCTGTTTAGACACTACCACATACAAGCATTGGACGTGTATCTTCGTCAATATAATATAAATGTTTGTTTACCATTTCTTAAGTGTTCAAATTGCTTTGAAACAATTAAATCTTAATTCGGATAAAATAAAGAGAAACAGTAGAATATGATTGATCAGTTTGAATTTATTTAGTCGCCCCTACAATTACAATTCCTGGACTAAAAGGTTCAAAAAACAATTATATTTTATGAATACTTTTCATAAGTCACTTTTACCGCTACCTTCGTACGGTGCTCTGAACACGAGTCACTTTTACCGCTACCTTCATACAGTGCCCTGAATCGAGTCACATCTACTGCTAGACTTTTAAGGTGCCCTGAATCGAGTCACTTCTACCGCTACTTTCATACGGTGCCCTGAATCGAGTCACTTCTACCGCTAGACTTTTAAAGTGCCCTGAATCGAGTCACTTTTACCGCTAGACTTTTAAGGTGCCCTGAATCGAGTCACTTCTACCGCTACTTTCATACGGTGCCCTGAATCGAGTCACTTCTACCGCTACCCTCGTAGAGTGCATTAACCATCATCATGTGAACCAACAAACTCGACTGAACTGTTGTCGAGCGCAAGCATGGATCTCAGCGACGGCACAAGGCCGATGCAAGCGATGCAATATAGAACGCGATAAGGCAGTTTGAACGCACACATTTTAATAAACACATAGTGAAGATACAAATAATTCCAATATTTTATATATTACTTTTAATCGAATAAAGGGATTCAGAGAAACATGTTTTTAATTAACAACTCTTTCACATTAACATTAACTGAAAATGCGCGAAATATTACGGACGTTTTAGGGTAGTTCTAGTCAACTAAAAGAGTTGAAAACACAGCATTTTAAATAACAACCCTTTCTCTATAATGTGGGAAAAAAACTCAAATTTATCAATTATTTATTTATTTATAATACGCGAAATGTTGATTTTATCTGCGCGAGCCTGCATGAGATTAATTTAATTATTTTCTTACCAATAGCCTTCCATACATCTATGGCAAGTTCTGTAACAAATAATAAATAGTATGTAATACATTTGGCACAACACTACGATACTACATATCCAGTACCGTCCGATGAAAACTTGAATTCAAACATGATTTAAGAGTATATACATTGAATTATATATATTACTTACAGGGTATAATGTCCGCGCGACAGTCTTCGTAATCCATGACATCCAAGAACCGACGGAAGAATAATTTCACGTTTTTTAATATTGCACCCACTATAAATTATTAGAAACACAAAAAGTTTGTTATTATTACATGGCGTTGATTCGTGATCGAATATAACTTGATTTCCCGAATTAATTACTGTCGGAACATGTGCCGACGGCACATCGCCTCATGGACGTAAACAAATAAAGATAACAGACAAAAACAAAACTTGCTGCACCACATCGCACGATCTCACACGCGATACTACCTACAACAACTAGCAGAGATAAGTGCGCCTAGAATTTATTGCAAATATGTGCATTCTAGCGCCACCTTGGCTTCATTTAAAGAATTATTGATAGATTCATTGATATTTTGGTACAGGATAATTCGCCGCAATAAAAATGTACATTTCTATATAATTTTGACGCTTAAATAAATAAATTTAGCAGAAAATTACACAGATCAATAATGATCAAGAGATTTGCGAATATTTTGTTTTATTCATTTCTAGTTTTATGTATATGTACACAGAAAAACTTAAAAAACAAATTACATACCATGTTTATATCTCTCGCAGTACAATTTATCGCTTAAAACTATCTACACTTTGTTTATACCCTAGTTATGGTAGTAGTATCATTAAAAAACTAGACATCTCAATCAGACAATCAATCAAATGAATTAATCCGAAGGCACAATTTGGCAGTGGAATAATGAAAAACAATATGAACGTAATGCATAAATTCAATGGATTCAAAAAGAACAATACTCCTTGTCCCTAACAAAAGATATTAAACCAAAAAAATAATTTCGAATGTGCTGCCAACCAGTAAATGAATCATACGAACACTTTAACGCACATATACAATTGTTTCAAACATCTTTTTTTAAAACATTGAATAAAAAAAGAACAAAAATCGAAATGTTTACATAATACGACTCGTTTTAACGTAATTATTATGTATTAGTAATTATAAACGTAATGAACACATACTTTTTCTCTTCGTTTGTTACATATTTTGCAGCAAGAATTTTCACGCAAGTAAAAAAAATTAAACTAACATAAATGGCATTAAATATGAACTTGTGATGCATCAATGTTTCTACTGCTTTTATCGTGCTACCTACAAAAATTATTATTTAATAGACCAGATATTTTCGGGTGCATCGCCACATGCTGAGCAATCATCCAAATGATCATCCAATCTGATGGCCCCGTTGACGTGAAACCCAAAAACTAACAAAGCCTAATTAATTATTCAGCAATAAAATTCGTTTACCTCACATTTTACTAGCGATTATAATAAATGGTAATTATGCAAAATGTAAATATAAAATTGTACTACATATTTCTCTTGTTTGCTTCCTTAGCATATAAATAAAGTCTGTCTCACCTTGTTATTCACTAACAAAATATTTTCACATTGAATCACTGCATTTTCGTACGTTTAAATCGATTAATTATATTAACAATTAAATGCATTTCTCCAATGCGCTATGTACAAGCGATCATCTTTTAGTTAGGTAGTCCATTTCGTTACTAGTTAAAAGCCCATTGAACGTGTAGTTATTTACAATACAAAAGTTATTTTTTACATTCATCAAAGCCGCTTCTTTTCAAAGTCAAGTTTTACTCATTGCTGGAATCTTTACTATTGATCTATCGATTTGTTTTCTTGCCCTTGGCATGGGCCAATAGCGTGACCAACTTTTTAGGCGAGTCGCCCACAATCCACCCGTGCTGTGGTCGATCTTCTTCATCATCAATTTCATCCCGAACCGACTTTACCTCTATCAGGTTCTGGGTATCATCTTCGCTAGACGATGACCAGTAGTACAAAGTGTCGACGGCCGCTCGTTTCCTGCGGTTAGCCGCTAATGTTTCCTCGTCCTGGGGTGATCTTGGTACACGTGGGTGTTTTGCCTTCGGCGCTCTGGGTGATTTATTCTCTCTGCTGTCGGTTCTACTCTTAACACTACTGCTGGAGCGTTTCGTTTTGTTTTTCGGTGGTGCACTTGAAATGGTGGTAGTTGTATCAAGGGCTGGTGGTTCAGTCAATGAATCTTCTACTGGACCATCAAATGGATTGGGTGATCTAAGTATCTCTTTACGTCTCTCGATTTTATTGTTTTGCACATCGTCAGTGTCGATATGAGTATCGTCGTTGGCAACACTCTTTAACTGCGGAGTGGGTTGAGATGCTGGTGTGGTTTTAGGTTGCCGTGATTCTTTAATTTTCTCAGTTGTTCCCGACTCTTGCATGCTCAATCGCAACATAGCTTCAAATTCTGAGTCATCTGAACTCCAGTATTCAATCAAAACGTTCTGCTTTCCGCTAGTGCATTTACGTTGACTCTTTCGTCCTGCCACTCCCATGCATTCTTTAATTTCTTCATCTAGGTTGATACCATTGTCACGTGGTTTACTTTTACGAATTTGACGCTTTTTGGGTGCTTTGGAAAGATTAAATTCGTCGTCGCTTGATTCACTGTGTTTTCGTGAACGTCTACGACTGTTTTTCACTGATTTCGGTGTTGATTTCTTAGTTTTGATTTCCTTACTCTCTTTCATCTCAGAGTCATAATTTTCTGAAAGACTTTTCGGTTCATTTCTGCTCTCAACCTTTTCAATGGGAGAAGCAAGTGGTGTGCTGGTGTTGGAAGGCGTTTGCGTATTAACTTTGAGTGGTTGCTGGTCGTCTTTACCTTGCAACAACTTGTCAAACAGCAAATCCATCTCTTTTTCGGACATTTTTGGCCGCTCTTTTGGCGCCGGAGACTTTTCAGGTGGTGGCGTTGCAATTTCTTCCACTGGCCCGCCAATTATATACTTATCAAGAGCGTCCCCTTCATCAACCGGCGTACTCTCCTTGCTTCCTTCAACTTTAGCCTTAAATGCGTTCTTAAAAATCCTGCCCATAATCTGACATTTCTTTTTAGTGATATTTTCTTGTGGTGTAGGAATACCAGATGGTTTTATGGAAGTACTCGACTCTGTTTCGGTAGAGAATGAATTAACGGATTGAACTTCGGCACCAAAGAGATCTAAATCTTGATTGTTGCTTTCAGATTCACTTTCAATAATATCATCAATAAGCGCAGCTAGCTTCGCTTTCTTGGTTGACTTAATCTCTTTCTTTTCCGGCACGATATCTTTGTCGCCAAATTTACTGCCATTTCGGAAGTTCAATTTAGAAGCAGACGAAAACAAGTCGGTATTGTCCTGAGTCTCCTCAAAATCATAAACATCGGGTAATTTATCACTATCTGTAAGATAATCGCCTTGTTTTCGCGTTCGGGTGTTGCGTCTCTTCGTCACTTTCATCCCCAGCTTGTTTCCAAAGTTGAGACCTTTTGATTTACAAATAATTTTAGCAGATTCTTCAATTTCGAGACGTTTTGATGTTGGGCTGCAGTCCAAAACTTGATTCATGTCAATCTCATCAGTTGGTATTGATACTTTCAATCCTTCAAAGACTTTCATCGCTCCTTTAGTCATAACTTTCTTGCTGTCATTGGTGAGGTCGGTGAAATTATCAGTACTGTTTGATGAACTTTTAGGTGTCAGTTGAACAGCATAGTCAATAATAGACGTTTGCGTGGTATCGGATTTCCTTCTAAAACACACAAACAAATGTATAAATATTTTACAATTCTCAAGGGGAAAACAAAATACAAATTATCTAATACTAACCGTTCTTTCTGCTTCTTTCGTTTAGGTGATTTTCCCTTCATTGCTTCCGCGATTAAACCAACAAACTTAGCGTTGATGTTCTTCCGAAAGTCCACGCTATTGCTGCTCTCGTCAATATCGGACTTAGAATCCAATTTAAAGTTAAACGGTTTAAAGTTATTTTCTTCACGTCCTACGTGCGGCACTGAAGATTGTGAGATGTCCTCATACTCTCTTTTGTTCATCTTAGTGCTCCAATCAGTTTTGATCGAGTCCGAATTCGAGAAGTCATCAAACGTGTCTCCAATTGGCGTATTCGGACAGGAATCCGACATGAAATCATCGTCATTGACCAATCTCCGGCTATCCAGGTCCTTCTGTTTGCCGCAATTATTTGTGTCATCGGATCGATTTTTGATGTTATAATCAGACACGAGCGTCGCACGTGACTTCTTACTTTCGCTAACTTCTGAACTACTCTTAAGTAGGCTACAACACTCAAGAAAGAGTTCTTCGTCACGGTTGAGAGTCTTTCTAGAACGCTCCTGTTCGTAATTGCGGTTATTCATACTATCTTCGGATATCTCCTCGTACTGCGCGTTGGGTTTGACAAAGTTCCTCTCATCGCTGTAAGATATGATTCTGGAAGAGTCATCGGCCTTAATATCGCTCACCAAACTCATATCAGATGGACACCTATCTGATTTATCGGACCCAATAGACTGTACAGATTGCACTGTCGTATCGTCCATATACTCAAAACTGGCTTTATTTTCTTCGATGATATTCTCCAACAAAGACAATTGATTCTTCAAAAATTCATCGGAGGAGCTTTTGTTGATTAGGGTTGACGCGGGGCTAATGTTAAAAGTCTGTGTGGGTGTGTAAGCAACGGAATCAGAGTCGAAACTTTTACGTTCGCCCAAACTTTTGTAACGTTTGGGTTCCTGCTGGCATTGTTTGTCCACGTCGGAATAATTGTCCATATTTTCAACAGGTTTATTTAGTACGTCGCTTATGATATCGGCAAGCCGCAGAGAATCGTTGTTAGTTTTAAGACTAAACGGGGACGTTACCAGCATGCTCTTTGTTACATCCGAATGAGATCTACCACGCATAAATTCCGAAGTAGGTGATAGTATATTTGTTTCATCCAATTTTTCAATTATGTCCTTTGTGGTAATGTTGTCAACAATTTTCTCAACTTCTTCTGGTGGTTCCACAACTTTCTCAGCATCGGCATTCTTTTCTTCTTCTTCAACGGGCTGCTTTTCAGGAATGTTTGATTTTGTTTCAGGCGTTTCATTGTCTTCTTCTTTTGAATCATTTTCAATCAAATCATTCTGTTTCTTCTTTGCTTCGGCTTCCAAAGCTTCAATTTCAGATAATTTTGCAATGTGCGTCAAGGTTCGTTTATGTTTGTTTAAACTATCAAGCCGTCCGAATTGTTTATTACAAATTTCACACAAATGTTCTTGAATTGTTTCAATCGGTATTTTTTTAGCTTTCGAATTCTTCCCTTTCTTTACCTTGAAACGACTTACGAGTTTAGTAGCTAACGCTGAGTCATTAAGATCTGGAGTCTGAATGAACGATTCATTTTGTACATCTTTCAATGGTGTGTTTATCTCCTCATGGGTAGTTTCCTGTGTCTCTTTTGATGTTAATAATTTCACAGATTTAGTTAATTTACCATTATTTTCATCATCAACCACGTGTACTTTGCTTGGACTGTGTCCGTTGCGTTTACTTCGTTTGATTGTTTTAGTTTTAAGATGGTCCATGTTCTCTTTCGAATTGTCGCCAGTGCATTCATCGTCCTCTTCATCAAAATCATAGATCGCAATTGATTTCTTAGGTTCATTCTCTGCCGCATTTGAAGGGGTTGTAAGATTAGTGTCTTCAGTTGCTATTGTTACCGGTGGCTGAGAACTGTCATCATCAGATTTGCGCTTCCGCGATCGTGTTTTGGTAATATCCGGCGATGGAACAATAGATGGTGTTTCCGAAATTGATTCTTCAGGTGTTACAGTGACGTTTTCAACAGTATTAGGATCTGATAAAACTCTGGGAACTGCTCTAAATTTTCTCTTCGGTTTTCGGCCGCGTTTTCCTTTGATTTTGATCGGGGTGGTTTGCAATTCGTCAACGACCTTTTCTTCAACCGGAACCAATAAATCATTAATAATTTGTTTAGTTTCTTCGGGTTCCGGTACAAGTGGAATAGTATCGGCAATCGTTTTCTTTCCCTTTCTTGTTTTTGATTTGGACTTTTTATTTCCTTCCGGAGTTTCTGTCACTTCGACGGCAGGCTCCAAATTCTCAACTTTTTCTTCCACAACACCAGCCACTTCAGAAACTAAATCAGGCGTTTTGTCATTTTCCTCTGTGATGGTAATTGGCGTGCGGTGTTCTTGACCAGCAACCACATCAACGTTTGAACAATGTTCGAGAGAAGTTTCTGAAGTTAAAGATGGAACTTCTGCTGCAACCTCAGGAGTTACTGTAGTTGTGCCTTCTGCTGTATCAACATTTGCTTCAATCGGATCATCTGAGGTTTTAATTACATTTTCCACTTCTATTGCAAGACTTTGTTTTGTAACCGATTTCTTTGACTTTTCGAGCATTTTAGTGCGTCTTGATTTAGGCCTGCCAACTTTACGTACTTTTAGCGTGACTTTTTTAGCTGAACTTTCTTTTTTACTATCAGATTCGGCAATTATTTCAGGATCTTTTATAGTTTCTACAGGTGTGCTGACGTCATTTGGCGTTTCCTGCTCACTAACTACATTACTTTGCGTTTCTTCAACTTCAGAGGTTTTAATTTCCGAATGTTGAGCAGAAATACTTTCGGTCACCTCGCACTCTTTCTTAGCAACAGAATTAATCGCATTTCCAAAATTCAAATGATTGATTGTACAATTAAAATCGTTAATAAGTTGTCGTACCGATACTGTTTTCTTCTCTGGTGTCACCAACACAGGTAATTTAGATTTTGGCTTTCGACCCCGTTTAGATTTGGGTGCTGGAATCATAATAGCATCGTAATTAACATGATTACCATTATTTTTCAATCCGCTTTCGTTCATAAGCTCTTCAACTGTTTTGCCTGTATCTCGATTACGATTACATTTAACAGCTTCGGAGGGTGAAATGGAGACAACCGGTATTACGTCTTCAAAATCAATTTCTTCCACAACTGTTGGCATTAGCATATCTTCAATGGACAATCCAATATCTGGGGTGCAAACCACAGACTCCCCGGAAAATATTATAGGCGTTTCAAAACTGACTTTATTTTGATATTGAAGTGTTTGATCAATACTGATTTTATTTTCTAACTGAGATGATAAGTTTGTGGATGTTACTACTGCAGAATCTATTTTGGACGCTTCTTTCCTAATTGCTGATTCTTCATCGCTGATAACAATTGGTTCCAAAACCGGATTGAAATACGTGTGCAAGGACGCCACCTCAGATTTCCTCTTACGATTATTTTTATTCTGCGTTTGCGGATCATTTTTACTAGATTTCTTGACTTTCTTTAAAAATGCTTCCTGTATTTGTGATTTAACTTTCTCTGGAGTAACAATACCGGCTGGAATATTCGAGACTTCTTTATCAATAGCAATAACTTTTTCACATTCACCACTGTTATCCGGGTTGCTAACAGAAGGGCCGATGCTTTTTAACAAAGTGGCAAGCGGTAATTCATCTTCAGACTCACTGTTGGTCTCGATCTGAGGTGGAGACGGCTTCGGAATAACTTTGGTCTCCAATACGATGGCTTCATTTTCTATTGGAACGTTTGACTTAAGATTGAAATTAACAGTCTCAATGGGACGCTCTGGCGCTACTTCGTAAGGCGTGTTCTTCTGGTCGGTCACATTATCATTTCCCGGCAATATAATGTCAATTACTGCACATTTCTTCGTAGATAAATCCACCGGTACATCATCTTCAATCAGCAATTCTGGTTTCCTAGTGAAAGACAAATCAACCGGCAGTTCATCCTTTTCCTCAGAAACATTCGTAGATAAGTGATTTTGTTGGACAGCGTGAACAAGATGTGGTGTTTGAGGTGCATTAGATATAACCTGAGATTTATCAGTCGCACACGTTTTGGGCACGTAAATAGAATCGTTCAACAATTGTGACTCCTCTATAATGGTGGATAGTTTTTTGTTAATTTTCGGAATTTTCAAATCGACAAACGTTTTCTTTGTTTTTCGCTGCGGTAAGCTCCTTCTATTGCTGCCCATCTTTCGTTCGAAATCATTCAAAAGAAGATCCTGCTCCAAGCGGGCAACGTTCAATTGTTCCTGAACAAACGTCCTTTCAGTGCGTTTATTTGGCGGCTTGCGGTTGCTTCCAATTTTCCTCACAACTGGTTTGGTCGACTTTTTAGTCAAACCCTTTAAACCGTTAATAACGTCAGCCTTGGCGTGGTGATCCAAATGCCCATTACGAATCTCTTTCGGATGAATCTCTTCAAAACACTTGATCAAATCGGCTACATCATATCCTTGTTTGATCACAGGCATCAAAGTCTTCTGCTCCATTTCAATATTTTCCTTATCCTGTTCAATAACTGGACTGGACAAGTCATTAATCGTAATGGCTGTTTGCATGGAAGGTGCAATGGCCGCCTCGGGTGGTGAATTCTTTATGGGCAAGGGTGATGGTGGCGCCGCTTCTGGTTCCTTGGCACTCTCCAAATTTTCCGAAACAGTCTCCTCAGGAATTACAACATTCTGTTCCTCCGTTGTTGTATCATGCGGACTAACAACCACCACTGGTGTCTCGGGTTGTTGTTGGACAAGAAGAGAAACTGTTTCTTTTATAGTTGTGACAGGACTGTGAACCACAGTTGTCGCTGGGGTGTCACTTTTGCATTGCAGCTTTGAGGTCAGCATCGCAATGCAATCGTTTAGGCCTTTGGCACGTTTGCATAGTTTGCTTTTGCTCCTTCCTAATAACGGTGACAATGACGGCAATGAGAGCGGACTAGTGAGTTGTCCTCCACACGTCGGCGTCGTGATGCCATCAGTAGAGAGCTGGCATTGCGTTGTGTCTGATGCAGAATTAATGCTAACGCTGAGAGTTTCATTCAGAGCATTCACAGTCGTTAGTAAAGGTACACTCGGTGGGACATTTCCTGTATTACACAAATTATCCATGCTATCGATATCCTTATCAGCTAATGTAATTGTTATGTTTGGAGCACACTGAGTTGTAGTATCTTTATCACTAGCGGAGGTCTGGTGCACTAAAGTGTCTTGCGCTTCATTAATGTTTTTGACAAGTTTATTATTTATTTCACTAACACTACTGAGAGAGGGTGCAATAGCTGAAGGTCTATTGTCATTATCACGTTTCTCTATCTCCTGGGAGTCACTTATAGTCCTGATAGCGTCTTCGCGGGTACTTTCTTCTAAAAAATGCTCGTTTGACGGCACCTCCACACGTTCCTCATTCGCAACTAATTTCGTCGCTTTTTTATCACTTTTATTCTTTTGATTAGTCACTTTCAACTTTTTAACCACTTTCCTAATGCCCGCAAAGCGCTTGCGTTTTTCTTCCGGCGCATTTGCAGTGGATGCGGACGAAGTCGACGCGGTTTCCTCATCGGTTTTATTCTTTCGGCGCATGCTTAGTGTACGCAGCAGTTTGGTACCAAAGTTCGCGCGCAACTTTTTCTTTTTCGGTGACTTTGCAAGCCTATCACTAGAAGCACTTGAATTATCCGTAAGATTACTTGAATTGCGTGTTTTACGCCAATTGTCACCCACTTTGCGCAAGTGTCCGCTAGTGCCGGCTTCAGGAGATAGTTTTTCGACGGAGCCGCCGCTACTCGAGCTCACCTTGGTCGTTCGTTTTTTAATAACCGAACGACGAAACTTCTGCACCTTTTTAAATAAACTAATTTTCTTTTTCACTTCCTCCGCACGCTGCTCCTCCGTTAATTCTACAGGCGCTTGCGGCATATCACCGCCTCGTGCAGGTGTAGCACGCTTTGCCTGTAAGGCTTTATACTTCCGCCGCACCATAATGTTATTATCGATAAGCGAACTGGAGATCACTTTGTTTAAATTGCGCACTGATTTTCGTACTTTATTAACGGGATTGCACTTGCTCGCGACCAGCACTTTGCGTTTAACTAACGTCGAGCTTTCCTGGAGAAGCTTCTCGGCGCGTGTCTTCGGTAGTTTTTGATTCTTCGCCTTCTTGACGTCCACTTTCTTGCTGGCCTTCGGGAAGCCATCCTTGAGGGACATTTCCGTACGTGTGGCGCGCTTAGCAGGAAGGTTGGCCAACATCCGTTGAATGGTTTCAGCTGTACCGAGAAACAAGAAACAAAATTTAGTGAAATGAATTACGGGAGCGTTTAGTAGATTACCGTCGCTCGGTTTCTCCCGTGGCCGCTCAGTACGCTTGTAAGTCTTTTTCTCTTTGTTTTCTTTCTTGGGTGGCTCGTGTCGTTTAAGCAGTCCTATAAAAACGGAAAGACGAATAAAATATAATCAAAAATTCTCCACCCTCGCTTACCTCTGCGTTTTCTTCGCGTCTTGGCGCCGTATGGTCGATATTTGCACTTCTTCCTAATGAGCATCCAGCTCCAGTCCTCGCCGCACTCGAGAATATGCCGATGCAGCTCTCCCAGCGAGTTGCACACTTTTTTGCACTTGGTACACTGGCGCGCAGTACTACGCGTCCAGCTCTTAACCACCGGCGACTCCTCTACAAAGTTCATCTTCCCCAGACCCGGAATACTAAGATGCTTATAATACGCGCCCTGCTTCCCGACAAACTCGTAATGTTGACACCAAACATTCTGATGCACGATATTCTTATGATCCATTAATTCCCGCATGTTGGCCGGACGCATTCCGCACGCAGCGCAAATGAACAGCCTTGACCTCGTCCATTCGCCGGATAATTCGACCAGCGCGTGCTTGTCCCGCGGGGACACTTGTGGCGCCTCGAAGTTCTCCGTCTCCTCCGAGGAGCAAATCAATGTGATTTTATCCGAACGATCAACGTGTGTGTCACCGGCCAAAGAAGCCCGTCTCAAATTCAAATAGGCAGGCATTTCGGAATCGGTCAGCTCTGTTTTAACACCCGGGACTAAAACCTCCGGTTGCGTAAGGTCAAACACCCGCTGGAGCACATCCTCCAGGAAACAGGAGACTTCAACACGAGCTTCCCGGGAAACACTGCCATCCAACACGGCTTGTTTGTTTGCCTCCAGTTTAAGATCTTCAAAAGGTCCACGCCGGTCCAATATTCGATTCAACTCCTCATTTTGTTTCTTGGCGCGGTATTCGTCACCTTTCTTATAATCCTGCTTTTCCTTCTCACTGCGTGCTGTATTCGCAATCGCCTGTTGACGATTCTTGACCACATATTGTGTCCACATGTCTAACTTAGACAAATCACGATTTTCTTTAATCTCCTGTATACTAGCCTGGTACTTTCTGCGTGTGAAATATTTGTAATGCACCTCATCGGGTTTCGGTTTCTTTTTGGAAGCTTTCGATCCGTATTCAATCTGCGCTTCGGGATCGTCACCTAATTGAGGCGCGAGAAAAGTCGCAACGGGCGTGGCCGCGTGCAATGATATTTCGCAACCGTAATTATTCTCGGCGGGTTTGATCTCGGTCTGCGTTTTCTCAAAGTTGGAAATCCGGCTTTCGGACTCCTCATTTTTGAAGAGCTTTCCGTCGATGTGGTTTTGCAGGTTGTCGGCAATATTGCACTTGATCCGGGTGTAGAAAGCCTGGTCGAAAACATCACTGAATGTCAGCGATGTGATTCGGAGGTTGTCGATCGAATGATCAGTGATTTTCTTGACCCGATAGAAGGCGTCGAATGTCGGATACGGATTCTCGTGCGTTGCGGCTTTCTGAATTTCCCGTTCGCTCGCATCCGGAATCACTTCCTTTGCTTTGATTTTCTTTTTCGACGATGTGGATGACGAGGATGACGTTGTGCTGGATGCGGAGGAGTTGTTCTTATTGGGTGACGGTGATTCTTTGTTCTGCAAGCGCGCCGAACGCTTGGTGCCTAATTTTGTACTTTTAATCGGTGTCTTCTTACTGCGCAACTCTTTATGCTCCATGATGATTTTCTCATCTTTCGAATTATGATCCTGGCTATCATTCGGTTTGAAATCTTTTGTTTTGCTCTTATGATTGAATCCTTTACTCTTCGCGCCAGTCTCCTCCACGCTCACACTCTCCGCGTCCACGTGCTCCTTCTTAATACCATGTGCCTCCTCTTTGTGCTCATCCAGATGCGTCTTGAGCACAAATCGTTCGCGGCAAGCGACGCACGCGAAATATCGATCGGCGTGCTCGCCCACGAGATGACGAAACAGATCGCTTAGATCATCGTCGCCAGCCGGCGGCTGAAACGCGTCGCAGAATTGGCATTGCAGCGTCGTTGTTGGGGCGGCGCCGGCGGTGGTGACGGCGCCCTGCTGGAAGCGTGAGCTGGAACGACGCGCCTGTTTCACGGAATGGCAGCGCTCGACGTGCTTCTGCCGCAGGCCGTCTGCGACAAACGTGCGCTCACAATACAAACAAGGCAGTTTGCGTGTCTTTTTGCGCTCCGGATCCGTACTCTTCGGAAAGGTATCAATGATACTCTGCACATCGCGACTCAGCGGCAAGCTACAATAGAGGCTAGTGGAGCTAACTCTGTCATCCTCCTGCTTGACCACAAGTTGATCATTCGACAACGATGCGTCCGTATTGCCGCTTGTTTTGAGCAACGGTTTGTCGTCGTTATCGCTCCCATCGCTCGCCTGCTGCTCCTGTTCCGCATTGTGCTCCTGGGCGGGTTCAACCATCTCGTCGACGAGATCGTCGTTCACCATCCTCCTGCAAGCAAAGAACACACAGTCTATTTACTCTAATGTTGCGTATGTACCAATGCAGATTATGCATTAATTAAGCGCCGAATGGTTGGGTATTTTTAGGCTGACACACTTCCGAGTGTTACTTGTATATTGGCATCTAGCATGCCATGCGTCTAACAAGCTTCAACTGGAACGCGAGTGCTTCTAATGTTTACAATTGTCTTGAGGGACTTTGCATTAAAATATTTACACCAGAACTTCGACCTGCAGCGCATCAAATCTCAAAATGCAGTATAATTACAAAACTTCTCTTTCTACTCGCACAGAAAGTCAAAACTATTACAACACAATCGCATTAGCGACAAAATTATAAACTCCATAACTAAAGAGCACACAATTCAAGTTAACCACATTATATGTAAATTTTGTGCGAATCTACAAAGTAAGTACATTGCATCGAATTTAATTCGCATAAGGAAATAACAGGGAGCTTTCACATTATTGGATAACTTCGCAGGTACTGCGGGGAAAATATTACAAGAGACACTGAATGTCATCGTGGGTGACTTTAAAATATTCCACATTCGAGGATAAAATATTTTATTTTGATAATTCCGGCGGAAATTTTTTGATTATATTGAAAAATTCAAAACCTACATTCGTACGAAATGTTTGAGATGCCTCCATTCGCCAGTATAAAACTTTCCTGCGCCGAGCAACTAGTTACATCCGACAATTCGAATACGTTGAGCATTTCGTACGTACAATTCGCGCACACATCCGTTCAATTTCGACGTCGTCCTGCCGAGTTTTCCGAGGCTGAAACTCTGTGGTCGGGCTGTTCGACGCGCTGCTGACTGAACGCCCGCCGAACGTAATGGAAACTTCATCCTCGAGCGAACCGTCTCTCGTCTGGCGAAGAGATGCCAACTCGGCGCGCGCGAATCGATAAATGAGAAAACATTTCTCACAAACGTAATAAAAAATTCTTTTGTCGAAACAGAAGTTCTAGTGTCGGACGTGGTGCCAAGTGGGCAAAAAAATCAAAAAGTGATCCCTCTTTTATATAGCTTAGCTGCAATATTTTCAGCGGCGTTACCACATTAATTAGACATCAAATTTTAACCTATAGCTCAATAGACAATAAAAAAATACAAATACAATGAATAAACCATGCGTAAAAGAAAACCCATGCAGGAAAAAAATAAAAATTCCAATCAATTTTTGCGGATGCCAATAAATTTCGAATTTACCCGTCCCGTGCGCAATTTTTCCACCGGCAAACGTTTGACCTCGCAATAACATCCGTCAAATGGCAATATTTTCAACCGTCGTGCAATCAAATGCAGAAACTAACCATCGAAGCGCCAGTAAAACAAAATCTACGCCAATAAAACAAAGAAATACGAAGAAAACGAAAGTTTTTCTTTTTCCCATAAAAATTTAAACCTAAAACTTCCACCTTGGGTCTGACAAACAACAGTTAATAAATACGCTGTTCACTTCCATCTAATAGAAAAATATTAATGGTCGTACATCGCGAAGTGGATGTTAGAAAACGTTGCTTTTGATAAATTTCTGTGTCGCCCGCGACTGCCGCTCACACAAATAGAGAGAAAAGAAAGAAGCGCGCGCCTTGCAAATGGAACGAGCGACGGCACACACACAAATACATCGTCGGCATACACATACAAACACCAAAAACGCAGAGGGGCACGAGCTGGATGGCGAACGCGATACAGCGTCGAAGATACGGCACGGCGCACGCGGTCATACCTCGCCTCCTCTCTCGGTCGGCGTCCCGACGCTCGGCTCGGTTCCCAGCGCGCAAACAAAGGCGTCGGGCTTCCCCCGCATCGATCTCGCCCGCCCCACCAGCGTTCGTGTTTCGCGCCCGCTGCTCTCGGCTTTAAACTTCACTACCAACTTCAGCAAACCCGCGAACACGCTGTATGCGCACCGCACCGACATAGAACTTATACATTTTGCTCGCGCTCCCGGCTTCAATTCCAACGCCGAACATAATGCTTCCCAATGCTTCTTCCTAGCCGCCAAGTTTTCTGCTCGAGCACAGCGAGTTCAGCGGAAAAAATAATGATAAATTGCTTTCGGTATAGTTATTTTTTATTTTGCGTTCTTTTTCTACCATTTTGCCACATCACACTCGGCGCCATGATATAATGGCGGTGTTGGCGGTTTTTGTGGCACTTGAAACATTTTTTTCGGTTCTCAAAACGAAAAAAGCGGCAAAAAGTAACGGAAGAAAAATGAAGATGGAAAAAAACGTATAATACTAACAAGCGAGAGAAGAAAGCCAGGCTATGGATGGAAATTTAATTAAGATTCAATGCCACAAACACAACAAAAAGAAATGTCATAGAAGAAAAAAATAGTTAAAAAAAAGCCAAGAAAATTCAATTAAATTCTTCTATTTTGACATTTTTTACTAAAAACTAAGAGCAAACAACGAAATAACAAACATTTTATTGTATTTTGCATTAAATTTTGGTAATATTCCAGAGTAGTTTTAAAAAAACAGCAAATAAATCCTTTTTTCGTCAAAAAACTTCGCTAAAATATAAATTTTACCAGAAATATTGAGCTTTTTATATGTAAAAGTACTTTTTATACATTTTACAACTGTACAACTCTCTAAAATTCTAATAAATCTAAACTTTTGGCATTTTGGCACTCCACTTGCATGATTCCCCAAAAACTATCCTCCACCACAATCTAAAATCCTCATTTCACGCTCCTAATATTCCAAAATACAAAATTTAACAATATCCAAAGTTCCAAAAGTAGTGTCACCGTTGTTCTACCTGTTAGGCGCGCCAGCACCAGGCGAGACACACTGCCACAGCCACAAATGCATTATGGAGGTCATCAGCAAGGTAATAACAGTAAACGTGCGTTCGCAGAGTAGCTCGAGCGCGCGAACGCTAGCCGTAACGTAACGTCCAACGTCCATATGCATTACGCCTCGTTCGTATATACACCACAATATTCGTGCATACGTTATTATCACCGCGCCGGTCTCGTGATACCCCAAGTGCATTCGTGGATTTCCGAGCCTTCGACACGGTATCGACGCGTTCGCAAACTTCCCGCAAACCGATCCGTTTCGTACCATTCGGATACACGTGCTGCAACACGTTCAGTTTCGATTTGGAGCGTCTGTCTGCCTATCTATAGACAAGAGTAATACTAAATCTGCTCGTGGCTAGAGTAAAACTTTTCTTAGGAAACATTTTCGTGCAGAAATATTCCACGTAATCAGCGATTATTGGCCGAAATTTAAAAGATCTAAAGATAAACTTGACCTTGTTACATCTTTTTTGTCTCCGCCACATAACATAACCAATTTGCGCGTCTGGTAAACGAGTCTAACGGTTTTACGTTCGTTTTTCGCCTGTAACGCGCGTATCGTGGAAGCGTCTAGCTCTAATCGCCGCTTACTTTTTATGCATCGCAAGTTGGAATTGTAGAACGAACCGGGATGGTCCGGTGGCCTTCTATTGCAACACACACACACACACACATTTGATTCTAGAATGCTGCGCACTGACCAACATAACAAACTAGCGAATACAAGAAGAAAAAAAGCGACTGTGTAAATCTCATGTCGTCGCATCGTCAACACACGAATAGTTGAAATACAAAAATTCAGAACGCTTTTCGTATGCAAGATGCGTGGCAGCGTTTTAGGGTTTATACGCTTTTTTGCTCCCCCTTTTCGAAATTTAGGTCTGGCACATCCAGCGGCTGTTTGTTCGCCATGTCTGTCGATATAGCATGGCCGGTTGGGCGAAAAACAGGCCAAAGGATGAGGCGGCGTGGATGTGAATTCAAAATGCAAATGGCTGGACGTGCCACACTTGCCCAGCAAGCGGCAGCTTGGGTCGAACCCCCCGATGAAGTTATTCCTCATTCTTCAATCCTTTTTATATTCGTGAATAATATATTAATATTTTAATATATTTTAATATATATTTAAAATCACGTATCGAGAGGTGATAATTTCGAGATTATTACAAAAATTAAACAATTAACAAAGTGTGATTTGATAAATAAAAAAAATCACGTCTTATCTGTGTGTTTGGCAAGTAAATTTTGAAAAAAATGTAAACCTACTGTAAAGTAGCCGCAATGTACACTTTGAGTCACCCAACATAGTAACACTGTCCTCGGGAATTATATTTTTATCTCAAATCGTTCAGCGTGGCATTTAAAGCTTCTCTCTATCACAAATAACTTTTTAAAAAATAGTGCAAAACACGATACAGATACAAATTAATATTTTATAGCGTAAATACACAATTTTAACACGTTGAAATATTCAGAACAAAGCGAAATTCGACTGTATCATTTAATTTTACTCAATTTATCGCCGAATTTGCGATCAATACATCATAAACGATGCCGACATATTCCACCTACATCCGAACGCAAACAGATCACTAATGCATTTTGCATTCATCCCAAATTTCAATAGTTTAGCTCAGCGTAATTGATAATTAATGCAAATTAATACAAAAATTAAAAGTGAAACAACAATAATCCGTAATTAGAGAATACAATCAACAATTTTGTAGAGACATGTTTCAAATGTGAATTAACATACCTAGTAACAACCAACTGTCCTTCGTGTCTATAAGGTAGGATATATAGCAAAATGCTCAATGATTTTACAACAATTACAAAGCCGTTTTATTTACGTGCGGCACGCACCGCAGCAGCTGCTTCGTTTACAATCGGTGTGTAACGTGATGCAACATATTTGCTTTGCGCGCTTCTTATCTTGGTGTAATGTGCAATGTATGTGCAAATTGTATGCTAGGCGACACATTCGGCATTGATAACGCAAAATTGCGCCGGAATTGTAATGCATATTTTATATATTGCAACAAAATCGATCAATAAAAGATAATTCAAGGTGTGTACATTTAAAATTGTAGCACGTTATATCGAGAAACAAAAAAATAAGCAAATATTGTGATTCTATGCGCATCTACATCTGTT